CGACGATGGACTGGTTCTTCCATGCCCTCGTGCTTTGCCGCCTCCTCGGCCACCTCGTCCTTTACCTCTACCGCTCATTGTCTATGCTACGGTAGGTGGACTATTTCAATTCGTTGTTTTTTGATTGACTTAGCTCTTTAATTTAAGTTCTCGTCCGACTACTTATTCGTCTTTTGGCTATGGGGCGATAACTTCAAATTTATACTCCTGGCTAGGGAGTGTTAAATCTATTTACTAAAGATCTTGCAGGGAGGGAACGATTGCTTCACACACTGTGCGGTCGTTTCCACTCCGAACCCGTTTCTTTGTATTGTTGATTCCTTGTTGGGTGCCCGTCCTTTGGCCCCTGTGCTGGCACTATGGCTTTCGCGCTTGTTGTTGGCTCTGACAGTTCCGGCTGGATGCTGTCGGCTCTCGGCAATCCTTGTGGATTCTGCCGATGAAACTCTTACTGTTGCCGTCGACCGATACTCGCGTCGTTGGCTGCAGTCTCCTCTCGCGTCGTCGCGATCCGTCCTCGGATCCTTGCGTCGTCGCGGTGCTGTCGATCCTTCGACAGTCTTTCTTCACTCGTGTGCCTTCAGTTCCACCGAAGGGCTTCTCTCTTGTTGCTGTCGAATGACAGGCTTGGTCTCTATCGATCCTTGCACTTCGACGGTCTCGTCGTCGTGATCGGCGTCGGCTTCGGCGTCGGCCGATACTCGCTCCTCTTGCGTCGCGAGCTTCCTGCTACCGTTGGCTTCTTCGTTGCTTCGATAGGCTCCTCTTCTCTTCTTCGTTTCGATAGTAGATCGATCTTTTTCAGTAGTATGTTAGTTGCTCTAAGCTCTCTTAGTTGTTACTGTTGTCTATTGAGATACTACTGAAAAAGTGGGTGTGGGCTACCAGCTTTTACTACTGGCATCAAATTCTAGTACAGAGGTACAGGTTGAATCCCTAATCGCGAATCCCCAACAGTGATGAGAGTTCAGGTTCTGGCCCAGGTGTGTTGCTGGAAGATGGATCATAGATTTCCTGGAGATGATTTGGGAGCTGGACCAGGAATTGGTCCTGGTGATGGGCTTGTGTGGTGGTTTGGGGGTTGGTTGTCCGGGCCAATAGTGCGACACGATGGGGGCGACAAGAGGGCGACCCGTCGTCGATCCACGAGAATTTTGAGGAAGTGGGGCATGGTGTGGATCGAACCACGAGTGGCTTACATCTGTTCGACACCGTTCCTCCCAACTGCCGACGCATACATTCCTATTTATCAGTCTTGATTTTGGCAGATTTTGGACTCTTCTCTTTGGCGTCGTCGCCCTTATCAATGTCATCGGGATCTGCTTTTCGCTTTTTCGATACCCCCGCGTTACTTTTGGCCTCCTGGCCCTCCACGGCTTTTGTGTTGTTGTCTTGTTCGCTGTTGTTGGCCCCGTTGTCTGCAGCTGTTTCCCCTTCATCGCCGTCTCCTTCCTTCTGGATTACCTGGAGAGTACCATATGCATCTCGAAGCGCATCCCACATGATGTTTGCTGTGGGGCGAAAGTCGTCTCCCTCAAACCCTCTTCGGCAGCAATCGAGGAATCCCAACGGTGTTGTGTAGTCGTGCATGTTATCCTCTTCATTGTCAGAAATCGGTTGTGAGAAGAAGAACTCATGCAAAGCCACAGCAATGGCAGTCCTGGCTTCTTCCCCCATCTTGCCGGTCGCTCGAAGTGTTTCGTACTCAGGTGGATCAGGATTGGGATCGCACAACACCGTCAAACTGGCTTCGAAAAACATGGTTTGCTTCTACTCCTACTAGAAAATAAATACTAAATAGATACGTTAAGGAGCGAGGGGGGCGAGGCTAGGCAAAGCAGTGGCTGCGGTGGTGGGTGGCTGGTGTGGTGGGCATACGGGGAGAGCGATGAGGATGCGAGCAGGGCAAAACAAGGGGGGGCAGGGAAGGGGGGTGCATGGAGGAAAACCAGGAAGGACAAGGGAGCAAAATTAGCGGAAGAGTGCAAGTGCACCATCGGCATCCCAGAGAGAACGACGGTAGCTCATTGTGCCAGCAGGGACACGAGAGCCACGCATGCAGAGGTGGCGGGCCCGAAGAATAGCTAGGCTGAGCCGAGCATTAACTTAGCCACGCACCACTGAGTAAGGGCGTTCCCACTTTGCAGCGAGCAAAGCGGAAATACGTTTCACGAGTGCCTCAGCTTCGGCCCCAAGGAGACCATCAGCAGAGACAACAAACGGAGTAAAGTGGCGGCGTTGGGAAAGACAGGCGTCGAGATACTTGCGTTTCTTGTCACGTTCGCCATTGCGAAGGACCTTGTCAGGATCCTTGCGACAGTGAGAAGCAGCGTCAAGATTGATGACACGAACATCAATTATGCCGTCAGTTCCGCGTTGCCAGAGGCCACGGATAAGGAGATCACCTCGTTCCTCGGATGGGGTGAGAACTACAGGAGAGTCGCTGGAAGGCGAATCATCCGTAGCTGCAGAGCGACTAAGTTGGATACGGGGTTCGTCGCGAACTGCAGATGGGATGAATGCCTTGGCAGCGAGATCACCGAGTTCATCACGCACTTCATTGTGGCGTTGGAGAACCAGACCGCCCTTGGTACAGGAAAGGGCGTGAGTGACACTGAAGCGCTCTCCACAGCTTGTTGACCCGGCCACTTTCCGATCTTTGACTGTACATGTAGTTTCTGATTTCAAAAGATCCAAGGTTTTGGTCTAACCCCCCATTTAAGGTTTTGGTTGGGAAGGAGAGAAAAGCCAGCAAGGCGGCAACATACAGTGTACATTGTCAAAGGCTTCGAAACGAAGAGAACTACTAGAAAGTCTAGCTAGGCCCCCAAAGCCAACGCGGCACTGGTACCGGTACGGTAGATGCAACGGTGTTGACGAAGCTTCAAGTTTTGACAAGCAAGCTTTCTACATGTACCTAACCGGGGTTTAGAGTAGGGAAATTATCTACGGAAGCCAGCCGGGGCAGCTTTCTACCTGATTTTCATCGTGATACCAGGCACCACTACCGAAGTGGCTTTACTGCTTTTTCTATTTGCATGGTAAATGTTCTAACGTATTATCGTATTCATGAATTCATGAATTCGCTCTGCTCGCGGAGGCAGCCACTCTCTGTTCCATCTTGGACGTGATGTGGCAGTCCCCCCCCAGGGTAACAGTCCTTGGTTTCCGAGACCTCGAGCTTCTCCATTTCGCAACGATATGTAGACCTGGAGCTTCCACCTCTGAAGACAACCCCAATGCCTCGCTCCTGGCTCGCGTCGCAGGCTTTGCCGACTCGAATCCACCATCTTTAGGAAGAGTCACGTGTAGGTGTGTCCAGGCTCGAGACAGTAGTATGACAAGATTTTGTGTCCAAACCTAGTTCGATCCAGTAGCTGCAATTTCAACGACGGCACAAATATTGGGTTAGCCAAAGCATAACCACGTCATCAAGTTTCAAGCAAACAACATAAACACTCACGTTTGCAGCTCTCCCTTGCCCTTAGCGACAACCTTGTCTTCTCGTGCCTTCAACCAGGATCTTTTGCCAGATGCGATCAGCTCATCGGCTGTGGTTTTGGAAGCATGAATACGTCCTGGCTGGCCATTTGATTCCATCCTACTCGCAGTATTCACTGAAAAGAGAAAACCAGATGTTAGACCCACTTTGCACATTTGGTGCAGATGCCGTAGAAAAGAGAACACACCTGTATCACCAAAAAGCTAAATTGACAGGCAAAAATGTCAGATAAGTGTCCATCAAAGCTACTCCTCTAGCTAGAGGCATCGACCAGCTTTTCGTGTCTCACCTGGAAACGAGACTTTTGTCCGCGCAGCACCCCAGCCGTGACTGTAGAGGCATAGAAAAATGTCATGAGCACAAAATTACGTAGCTCCAATTTTGAAGGCCAAGATCTACCTACCTGATCCACTGTGCATGCCTATCCTCAGCTTCAGTGTTTCTGTATCTGCACCTAAGTGCCTGGAGAGGGACACGACAAGCTCTTGCATCTTCTTCTGGCAGTCATCTGCAAATCGAGCCATAACAAGGGCATGCTTTGGGTTGGGGTGCGGTAACCCGCAGACACCAAGCCAGCAATCTCCAATGGTTTCCACTGCATAGCACCGTTTGGGGAACTGGTTAGCTGTTGATTAAAGAGACAAGACTGCATATGGGTTGAACAGTATTACCTTTGAAAACTTTGCGTCTTAGCGCAATATTGTCAATGGCTTTGTAGATGGTCTCAAGCAATTCAAAGACTTCACTTGGACTACGAGAAGAGGACCTGTGTGGCAGAGCAAACATGCAAGTCTTTAGATTGCAATCATGTGACTTCGGCACCACTACTCCACCTCATCTTACCATGCCGTGAAGCCAGCCAGATCACTAAAGATGACGGTACAATTCTTGTACTCATCTGCAATCTGACCACCGCTGGGCACTAGGTTGGTCTTGTCCTCCCCAACCGTGACTGCTTGCAACCCGTGCTCTTGCTCTGTGTTTACTTTCCAGCTGCTTCGTGGCATCTTGTTGTTGGTATCTTGATCGCCTTCATACATGCGGTGCTGGATTTCCTCTGGGAAAAGTTCATTCACGATTGCTCCTGATTCCACAGCTCGTTTCATGACAACCCGTTGTCGTTTCTCTACCCATGTATCAAACAAGACAAAGACCAAAGCTGTTACGGCAAAGATGCATGCAACAACAGCGGTATACACAGCAGGTTTGTTTGTTGTGTACGCTTCCTTTGTGCTGTCCGTGGGATAGACTCTCAAGGTGTAACGGCCCATGGTGTCATGAAGGGGGACAGTGCGATAGGCGCGTGTCTCTGGGCTGGATCTTTCGCGGACATAGGAAGAGACATCCACAGACACCTCCATTTCATTGTAGCGTGGATCATGAAGATCCTTGTCTCCCAAATAAGTTGCATTGCCGCCATCGATGTGATAAGAGAAAGTCTGGTTGTAACTGTTAGAGAGAACAGCAATGATGCCGTGGGCATTGGGAGGTAGAACATTTTGAAAGTATACGCGCCAGTAAAGGTTTGAGATGAGGGCACCTGCCAGTTTTCTGGTAGTAGTGTTGAAGCTGTCAAACACTGGGTAAGCCAGGAAGGACAAGGGATCTTGGAGGTAGGTATCGATCTTTTCTCGATATTGGCTGATTTGGAGGTTTGCTGTCATGGCTTTATAGAACTTGGGTTGAATCATCTGGGCTCTGTTGATGATGACTTGATGCGAGTCCAGAAGGCTTCCAGCAATATCAATGCCTTGGAACACTCTGGCATTGGCATAGTTAGTATTAATAGCATTCTGCACTCGAAAGTTAACTGGGCTTCGTTGGAAACCAGGAAGAAAAGGGCCAGTGCCATTTGGTTCTACCTCGTCAGTCATGGGGTGCCAGATTCTGAGGTGATATCCCGTTCCATCCTTTAGCATATTGGGGTCTTCCTCCTCTTCTTGCTCCTGGAGTCCGCGATTGCGACGGTTGTCGCCATCATGGCCGGCCATAGTGCTGTTGGGTCCGTAAACCAGGCTATCAAAGTAGTCATCTTGTTCCTGCCTATATGTGTTGTCCTGGGCAAAGTCTTTGTTGACTTGGAAGCGATTCATGAAAGCATACTCTTCCCACTTGAGCCTGTTTTGATCTGTAACGAAAGGACACCATACCATGATTAGAGCATCCGCCAGGACACGAATGTCAGATGCCCTAACTGCAAAATCAGGGATAGTTACAAAGGGAAACTCGGCGCCTGTGGCCTGGGCATAGCTTGTCATGCCGTTCCCCATGGTCCCGATGGCCACTAGCTTTCGTTCCACTGCATTCCGAAAGGATTCCGTGAGCTGTGATGCATGGATGTTAAAGCCATCTTCAAAGTCATGCTCTTCCGACTGACTAGCAAAGATGTAGACCCCGGCCAAGACAACCACTGTAACAGCAAGCAGCAATCCCATGACAAGAATCCGGAGCATCCACACTGCCTTGTTCTCCTTGGAAGCCAAGTTCTTTGCCGTTTCTTTTCGCAGGCGCTTCTGTTGCGATTCCAAGCGAACGCTACTCATTCGACTCTCGGTACCGCCATGAGACTCACTATCGTCGTTGTCGCTATCCTCGTCGTCGGGAACGGTTTCTATCCTTTCGCCGTTCGGAGCGGCCTCCTCCATCAGGTCCAAGTGAGGTGCAAGAGCGTCGTCCCTTTTTACTGCAGCCGTCACAACGTTCGGCATATCGTCGACATCCACCGTCTCTGAGAAATCCATGTCCGCAAAGTTCACTCGATGTGCGGCGGGAGAGTGGGTCTCCTTCGTACTATCGGGGGCTGATTCCATCATGGTCTGATGCATGAAAGGAGAGAGAGACTTTTGAGGAGAGGCAGGGTTCTGTGAGGGAAAGTATGGACGTTGATGCTTGGGCTCAAAAAGCTCCCCTTTGCTTCAATTCGATTCGATTCAATTGCAATTGTGGGGTGTGGATTTTGGATTGGAGAGGTTCCCAGTGGCCTCGGTTTGACCACCGAGAACAGCCTGTAAAGACTAGAGACTAGAGCTAAGTTAATTAATAGAAAAGTGATGAGGAAGCATGAGAAGCGTCAGCATGGCAGTTCAATCTGATTTTACTGTTCGCACGTTCGCACTACCGGTACTCGTAGCTGTTGATTTAATCTTCTTACGGTTGGAGAAGTAGATCACAGTCATCTTCAATGGAGAGACTCCCAGTGCGATCACCTTGAAGTTCAAAGGCAAATCAGCAGTCACAAAAGAATTTTTGGTATTAACAGCCTTCTCTTTGGAGCTTGTCTCAATCGTGCAAACTCGGATTTAAGGTAGGATTCGCTTACCGGTAGGGTATTAATACGGTAGGGTAGAGGGTAGAGTTTGAAAATTCTGCTCTAATTATAGGGTACGTACATCAGAGCTGTGCTATTAAAATAGACAGTTCGCCACTCTTTACTACTATTAATAATCCGTACTTCTGGAGTACACTACTACAGTGCTACAGTGTTGTACACTTCTGTACTGGAAGGCCCGGTCATACGACTGAGAATCGCCAAAATCGGCATAAAGTCGCACAGGAGCACCAAAGTCGCATCAAAAGTCGTTCATAAAGTCGCATGCGAGTCGCACCAAAATCGCGTGCGACTTTCTCACACGACTTTGAAAGTCGCGCAAGTTTACTGTAAGTATGGCGATAAAGTCGCGTCGGATCGCTGAAAGTCGTTCGGAAAGTCGTACCAAAGTCGCGTATGACTTGCATGCGACTTTGTGAACGACTTTCAGCGATCTGACGCGACTTTGACCATAGCAAGAAGAATCCGGGACTAACAGTCGCATGACGAGGCCTTCCTGGTACAGCTTGCTACAGTACATGTACTGGCACCGGTGTACGAGGTCAGGGATCTGGGGATCTTTCATGGAGTTATTATTTCTTGACAGATCCAGCCAGTGAAGCTGAAATAAATTAAACCGTCGCGGGGAAACCATGCTTCTGTCTCTGCCCGAGAAAGCACAAAAGCCTCCTGTTGGGACCGCTACGATGCAAGGTACCATTGATATGCCAAGCTTTTGACTTTGCCAAGAAAGAGGAAAGAAATCTATCTAGCTAGTCCCTCCTGCTGCGGTCCATACTACTTACTTTTTCAAGTTGCAGGACTAGTTAGTATCCGGCGGCCTTGTTCACGACATTCAACAGGGGGATACCACGGAGGAATCTGGGAGTTGAGAAAACAGTTAGATTGGCGGCAACCTAGCTAATGTGGCATCACAACATTCAGTGGCACTTGCCTTGGTAGATTTTCTTCCACAAAGAAGGTGGAAGCCTCTGTCATGAATGTTTCAGTCATATCCATGTTGTGCCTGTAGCCAGCCAAAGGATGGCTGAGTGAGAGGCGAGGGAACACGAAAACTATAACCGTTCACACAATTGCAGACAAAAAGTTGCTTGTTCACTCACGGACTCAGTAAGACATTGTCCAAGCGCCACAACTCGCTGGATGTCGGCAACGGCTCCATGGCAAACACATCCAAGCCCGCCCCTTTTAGTTTGCCAGCTTTCAAGGCATCCACCAATGCGTCTTCGTCCACTACCAGCCCTCGTCCAACATTGATAAACACAGATCCCTCTTTGGCTTGATCAAACTGTTCCCTGCCAATCATCCGCTCGGTTTCAGCTGTCAGCGGAGTGGCGCAGACCACGTAGTCACTCTCGGCAAATATTCTATGCAAAGAGTCCGTGTCGCTACTACTATAGATGGCGTCGCAATAGGGATCATTCTTGTCATTGTCCCGAACATGTCGTTTGAGAGCAAGCACTTTCATTCCATAAGCGGATGCGAGTCGAGCAATGGCATGACCAATGTCACCGTATCCAATAATCCCCAATGTTGCTCCCCGTACTTCCAACACGGGGTACTTGGTCCAGTTACAATCAGCCTTTTGCTTCAAAAGACGGGGGAGATCCTTGGCAAAATAGCTGCAGGCCATGAGAGTGTACTCGGCCAAGGTGCTGGAGAAGGTTCCTTTTGCGTTGCTCATTATCACTTCGGTGGAAGAAGCCAATGTAGGGGACGCGACAAAATCAATCCCTGCGGATCGGGCATGAATCCATTCAATGGACGGGAGTTCCTGTAGCAATTGAGCCAATGGTTCCCGCGCCAGGGGGTGACTGACAAAGATGACGTTGGGTTCTTGTGGTTTCAGAGTATCCATGTCAAATTCTTCCAAACAAGTTCCAATGGCCAGAAGTGAGGCACCTTCCGGAAGGAGTGATGGATCTTTGGCGGCATCATTGACTGGGTCGTTCGCAGTGTCGTGAGGGTCTGTCAAAGAAAGGATCCTGGCCTCTCTTATGATGGGTGCCGTCACATCAAAATCTTGTGGCTTGGATAGTTCCCGATTCCAGTCTCCATTACCCGAAAAAAGACGGATTCGACGAGATCCACCACACACTGACTGTCGATGGATGCTGCTCCTAATAATCGACGCTGTCTGTCGACCGCTAAACAGGTTGGATGAAGCCCGCAAGAGCATCGGAACCGAAAGCGTTCTCATTGCTCTGCTCAATCAAAATAGGAATCGAATCTGCAGGATTGACCTCGAGATATACTTGTGAGATGGACAGATACGCGTGTTCCTTTTCTTTATAGAAGTCTCAAATGTTCGGAGCTGCAATGGACTATACAATGTCATACAGACAGCTAAACCGTACTAGTATTTCCGAAGACAAGATGATGATGTCTCGATGTTGTGGTGTATCGGTACTGCTCTTAGGGTTGTGATGCTGTGCTACCAGGTAAATCGTACTAGCTAGCTTGATGGGTGATGGGTGAAGCTTTTGTAAAATAAGCCTTAACTCTAACCATTTTGCAAAGATAGGGTGGGTAGCTAAGATAATTATGGGGTAATCATTGCTCTAATCATTTATATTAATAAAACATCATTTTGCCGCATCTACCTGAAACCATACATCTTCCACATCAGGGCGATGCGATCATCTGGCCAGAAGACAACTACTTCTCGCTGGACTTGTTAAAAACTGCAAACAGTGCTATTAGAGAACGTCGAGTCCCCGTGTCAGTCTTTTGTAGGGTTTGCGTCATGGCAACAGACGAGGTAACGGCAACGTATGCTTCTTCGACCTTCATGATGTTTGATGTTTTGTTGATTGTGGGTGGCTGCCTGGCTTGAGCTTCCTGTCTGAATGCGGCGGTTCTGCGGGGTTGTTTTCTACCTTGTTGGGTTGATTGTTACTCCTGGAGAATGAGACCAAGCTAAGCTCTATTTTCCAAGCACCACTGATGGGTGGGCTACCTTTGATGATCGTTCCAAAACGATAACTACCATGAAGGAGAACCGTTACACTAGCTAGCCGTCCCACTGGTCAAAATCTTGGCCCTTGATCTAGTAACAAAAAATGACTCGACTCCCGCTACTAGCTAGTAGCTAGCTAGCCAGAGGTGCCTCCACCAGCACGACACAACATGCAACGACCGCACGAGCGAGAAAATTCGGAGCCTGTTCGCTTCGTTTGCTCTTTTGCTGCCTCTGCTCGTGATGACCGTCTTTATATAGGCCTTATATCCTGTGTACCTTTCTGATTGCCTTTCGACCGAAGGGCAACAGTTTGTTGGACACCTGGACATGCCAATAATGACTTCTTGAAGTCTCCGACGCGACAACCCCTGGGATCTTGGAATCTTGCCTCGTGCAGCTCTCGCACCCTGCTTCCAGCTGCCACCCTCGAGCCCTCAGGTGCCTCTGCTACCGGTTTACAGTGAAAGTAACACTGCGTTGGCTACGAAGGTCTCATTGAATTGTGCTGGATCCCTCTTAGAAAAGAGAACACACCAACCATACACCAACACGAGCAGACGATCGATTGCCAATAGCTGCCACCATGATGGAGGAAGCTCTGTCGAAAACGTTGAGTTCTGATGGCAACATGAAGGAGGATGTTCCCAAGGATGAAGAAAGCCACGATGGCGACTCGGCTGGAGAGAGCCGTATGACCGGCACCGGTCACGGTGTGGAAGCCGAACAACAGCGTCTCCGAAAAGAAGCAGCCCAAAACTTGGCTGCCTCCGAGACAAAGACTGTCTGCATGCTACGATTTCTGGTCATGGCATTGCTTGTGACAGGAACTACAGTTGTTTTGGTTGGGGTATATCTGTTTTCCAGTCAGGCAGAACAAAAGGACTTTGAAGATGGCTTTAACATCCATGCCTCGCAGTTGATCGAGTCATTTGGTTTTGCCGTCGAACGCAAGATGGTTGCCATTGGGGTACTTGCCACCAGCCTGACTAGTTATGCTCAGGCTACAGGTGCCGAGTTTCCGTTTGTTACCCTACCAGATTTCGCTGCGCGAGGTGCCGACATTCGTGTATTGGCGGGTGTGGTAGGCATGCACTATTGCCCCATGGTGACTGATGAAAAGCGTCTAAAGTGGGAGGAATATGCCTTCATGCATCGATTTCAAATCAATGAAAACTTTGCACAAGATAATTTCCTGAGGGAGGAACAGGATGACTACTTTGATAGTATTCTCTATGGAACGAACATCAGTGGTGACAACCCAAACCGAAGGCTGCAGAAGGGAGGGGGTCCCGAGGACAATCCCAATATTCTAAAGGATGGTACAGGTTTTAACCTCCGCATTCATAATCCAACTGGACAACCAGAAATCAATGGAACTGGTCCCTATTTTCCCAGTTGGCAAAGAACCCCAGTCAGTGCAGGACTGCAGCGAGGAATCAACTTGAATTTGGCAAAAGCCAATCCTTATGGCGGAATTGATCTTGTTGGGGAACTTTTGAAGAACCCAAAAATCATAATCAGCAGAATGGCCGTCCCTGTGCCCAAATTCATTCAAGTTTTCACAGCAAACCTCAGGGTTAGCCAATACAGGAAGCGTGTTGACACATATCTTGAAGACCCATTTGCCTTTTTTGCCTACCCCGTGTTTGACAGCCTTAACGTCACCACTCGAAGCCTGGCAGGTATGATAAACTCCAATCTGTACTGGAGGGTATACTTCCAAGATGTGCTTCCTTCCAATGCACAGGGCATCATTGCCGTTCTCTCAAACAGCTATAACCAGACCTTCTCATATCGTATTGACGGGCAATCTGCGGTTCTATTGGGACCTGAAGATTTTCACGATCCACACTACAGTGACATGGTAGTTTCCTTGGATGTCACATCATTTGTCAAACAAAAGGCCAACCCAGAGACACGTGCATATCTTACTGCCCCACTCCATGAAACCTTTGGTCGCTACACCTTGAAAGTCTATCCCACAGACAGCACAAAGGACGAGTACACTACGAGCAACCCCGTACTTTACACAGTGGTCGTGGGGTGCATCTTTGCTATAACAGCATTGGTGTTTGTCTTGTTTGATACCTGGGTTGAGAAACGACAACGGATTGTCCTGAACCGTGCTGTGGAATCAGGAGCAATCGTCAATGAACTTTTCCCAGAGGAAGTTCAGCACCGCATGTATGAAGATGATCGCAAGCTTGAGGACAAGAAAGCATCTGGTGGTGTCTGGCGCACAAGTCCAAACCAAGCGCATGGATTGGAATCAGTCGGTGCTGGGGAGAGCGGGTTGGCATCTAGTGGAGGTCAGATTGCTGATGAATACAAGAATTGCACTGTTATCTTCAGTGATCTAGCTGGCTTTACTGCAAGACAAACAGGACACTGGCGAGGTGTCGAACTGAATTTAATTCTCACATTGTAACATGGTTGCTTTGGTTGACCAGGTCTTCATCACGAAGCCCCAGTGAGGTTTTTGAACTGCTCGAGACGATCTACAAAGCCATTGACAGCATTGCCCTAAGACGCAAAGTTTTCAAAGGTAGGAAGATGTGCTTTTCAAATCTTCTACCAAATTGTGTACTTTTCTGTCCCTGTTGTCCACTAACCAGTTCAATAAAACAACCATGCAGTTGAGACTATTGGAGATTGCTGGCTAGGTGTCTGTGGTTTGCCGCAGGCCAACCCAAAGCATGCTATGGTTATGGCTCGATTTGCAGCTGACTGCCAAAAGAAAATGCAAGAGCTTGTTGTATCCCTCTCAGACCGCCTCGGCTCAGACACAGAATCGCTGAGGCTGAGAACAGGGCTCCACAGTGGATCAGGTAGGTCTCATCGATTCAACTTGTGTTTGAGATTCTGCTTGATTTTGATTTTGATTTTGATTTGGTCCTTCGTTTTTTCAGTCACTGCCGGGGTGCTACGTGGACAAAAGTCTCGTTTCCAGGTAAGACACCGACTTCCTTGGTGGCCGCCAGTCCCTAGACTAGTTGCCGATGATTGCTGATATCCCCTTCCCTTCCCTTGTCATTAGTTGTTCGGAGACACAGGTAGGCTGTCGTACTCGGGTTTAAAAAGAGGTGGTTCTCAGTCGATAGCTAAGCTTCCATCCATTACTCTTGTCTTTTCAGTGAACACAGCGAGTAGAATTGAAACAACAGGTCAGAAAGGGCGTATTCATGCCAGCCAAACCACAGCAGATGAGCTAATTGCATTTGGAAAAAGATCGTGGCTGATTGCACGTTCTGATAAGGTTGTAGCCAAAGGAAAAGGAGAGATGCAAACGTGAGTACAGTCTTTTTCGCTTGTTTGGGGCGATATGCTACTTCTGTCTCATTCAATCTTCGAACAATTAGCTATTGGATTGAGGTCAGTTCAGATGCCAAATCTTCTGGCACCATGAGCATCTTTGATGGCGAGGGAAGTGATTCTTTAAGAAATGGTGCTGCCCAGAAACGCAATGTGATTGTTACAGCCGAGAATTCAAATGCGCACAACGACAACGAAGAGATTCCTGACATATCAGTCTAGTTTCATGTAAAACATCTACCGCTGGTGGATCTTGTGGCCTGCGGCAAATCTGTTGATGGTCGACAATAAAACACAATCAGTCGATGTCATGTTATCTACCAGCTTCGAAACGAATATCGTAAAGACCTCTCAAGCTCTCTTGGGGGTCTGATGGTTTCGTCGAGCGGCCGTGCATCTTACGTACTCAATGGACCTGTCACAAAAGCGGGCAATCCTCGCCGGGTGCAGCTGATCCAATCTTCCAAAAAGTGGCACTACTGCCACGCAGCTTCCTAAGTAAATGTACAAACAGCCATGCTGCCAGTTTCGTTCTCGTTGCGGTGTCTTCATCATTGTGATCGTCCTTCCGGTTTCATTCATCTTGTGCTGCGGACGGCTTGATTTTACTGTACGAGCATGGTAACTGTGCGCTTTGGCTACCGGGAGTTTGCTTGGAGCTGTTTTGAGGCCACGATAAATCCAACTTGGCTGACGGAGACGCTGCGAGTCGGCCCCTCCATTTGGCCAAGCACCAAAGACTAGTGTAGCCATTCCTATTGTGAGGCAACAGTGTACCGGGTCTGGTCTACTCTGGCAACGAGTTGTTTTGCTAGCTAGCCCTAAGGGAGATTTGAAGATGGAGTAAGCTATCAGCCAAGAATGCACTATGCATGGCAGGCTGCTCAGAATTCCTGGGCAGCGGTTGTGAGAAATCCTTTGAAGATTGATGACCTCCAACCAAAGGAAAGCCAGGGCGAACCTAACTTGGTGGGTTGTTTCCAGCAGGAGTGGCTGCAACAACCGTTTGTTCGCTTGAATTACATCGGAAGGATGAGACAAAAGCTACAAGCAAGGTGACTGAAAACAGCTCTGACTACTACCGTACGGTACTACCAGCTAGTACGTGTAACAGAACTAACTTCAAACAAGAACATGAACACACACATGAACTAACTGTTCAGTGGATGGCTGCAGCCAGTAAGACCAGTACAGCGAGCACCTTGGAGGAGCTTCTGGCTTCCGCAGAGAGCAGGAAGAAGGGTGTGGCTGTGTGGCTCTGGGTAGGGGCTACTAGCTAGCTACTGTAGATAGCTGCTTAAATTCCTTACTTGCTTTAGACCTGTAGCTCTTGCTGTTGCCTTTTGCAGCTCTAGCTAGCTAGAGAAACACCTTGATTGGTCCAGTACCGAATCAATGTTTCTGCCACCTCCACAAAGCCGCCACTTTGCGAACCTCAACAGAAGCCATAGAGGCAGGTGACCAACTACAGTACCGGTACCACTACCATACGGAGTAGTAGCTAATGCTCTTCTACCGTTACATCCGATTTCATGATCACATCATCATCACGTAATCAGGCATATACTAGAACTATATACCTCCCCACATCCCCACCGGTACCGTATGTGGGCAACCTGTGAAATCTGTGAATATTCCATTGTTTTGTGCGTGCGTGAACGTGAACCATGGTGGATTTATTGAATTTACGAACTGTAGTTTACAGTACCGCAGTCAGATGCCAGGGATTCGCTTCGTGGACACCTTCTCCTCTACTGTTGCAGTACTGAAGCATATGACACATTAGTTGACCATTCTTCCTTTATTTATTGTAAAAAGGAGAGCTAGATCGCGTGTGAAGTTTCTCTGATCCCGGTACAGCATTGATAAGTATGAGTTGACCGATGTGGAGCAATACTACTTAATCATGGAAGTGAATCTTTCAATTAGAGAATTAGAGTACCGTATCGGCAAAGGAAATTATTTAGCGGCAAACAGCACTGTGGGCTGTGCGGGCGTGCTGGTAAAAGTAGAAGGCTGTGCTACTACTCTGTTGCGTGCTCTCGTAAACTGGCAACTGGAGCAGCCGCTGTGGCTAATGACTCGACCATTATCATTCAACATACCGTGACAACCAGGTATTTAGGTACAATACTGGAGTTCTTGTGGTGGTTGCCAACTTCGCCGCCCATTTGCAGGCCTCTTGGTGTCTCTGCAAGCTATTAAGCTATTAAGCAATAGGTAGTATACCCCCAACCGAACCGACTGACATGGAAGGAAACTCGGGGAAGGACGAGGCCAAGACGGAAGAACGGTGCTCAATCGATACTGCTGTTGGAGACTCCAGTAGTGGTAGCAACATTGGTCGTTCGGTCCGATTTCCGGAGAATTATCGGCGGAAGGAAGAAGATAATAATACGGGGACAGGGGAGGCTTCTTCTGTGGGACGAGGGGGCGAGAAGAGGGATATCAAGGCTGAGATGCCCAACAACGACGGCGGAGAGGACACGGCTGACGACAGTTCCAGTGGTTCTGCCCACTCGTTAGAGGATTCGAGTGCTTCGTACGAAGAACCAATGGAGGCCGAAGATGCCAAGCCCGTTCGCTTGAGCAGTAGCAGTATGAATCATTCGAGCCGAAGTCTGCGACATTCCAGTCATCATTCGACTGTCTATACAATCCACGAAAGCGACGAGGGAGATTCCGAGGAAACCGAAAGTAGTGAAAGTGCCATTGATTTCCAACGGATACCCCCCGAAGAATTCGAAGACAGCATGTCGCTCCTGATGGACGACGAGGACGAGGAGTTCTCCATGGACTTTACCGATCGGGAAGACAGCAGCATTCGACAGTCCCAGTTGTTTGTAGATACCCGACCACAACTGAGCGAGGAAAAAGAGAAAGAACCCGCCTTGATCAATTCCGATTCCACCAAGGAAACCAAGGTTACTTGGGACTCGAATGTTTCTGGTGGCGTCGCTGACCTAGACTTTGGTGGCAATGGCAACCAAGTATCACACAGACGACTCTTTGGAGCTCAGGGGAGAAAACTCATGGACAACTCGGGGAGAGCCATTGCAGGTGTGCAAGAAAAACTGCAAGAAAAAGTCGATCAGGTCGTGGAAACGGTCGAACTCAATGCTAATCAATCCGATCCCGAGGCCAATCAAAAAGAGTATGCCTTTGCCCTCAGTCTCGGTACCGTCCTGACCTTCAACATGGGATTTGTCAATGGCGCATGCTTTTCCGGTTGGGTCGTCGCGGGTGCCAACGAACCCGTCGCCGCGTTTACCAACCCCTACACCGACGCCGCACTCCAACTCGCCGATGGCAATTTCGAACGCGTCAAATTTCAATCCATCATGATCTTTTGTTTCATCGGGGGATCCTTCGTCTCGGGGCTCGTCACTCCCAACGCCGTACCCTACCGCATCGAACCAACCTACGGACCTTCCTTTTTGGCAGCTGGTATTTGCTTGTGTTTGGCCAGCTTTTTTGCCACTGTGGAAGACTACTCCAATGTCGCCTTTTATCTATCCGCCGCCGCGGGAGGAATCCAAAATGGAATTGCATCGTCCTACACGGCCAAGTTAATTCGTTCCACGGGATTGACTGGAAGTAGTACCGATATCGGACTCTATTTTGGACAGTACATTCGAGGCAACAAAGAAAACTATTCCAAACTGGTGGTGCTCTGCATGCTCACCGTCGCATTTACACTTGGCGGGTTCTTCTCCTTTTACGCGGCTCAAGTCATGTTGAGTTACACGCTCCTCGTCAGTGCAGCACTCTTTCTCTTTATCGGAATGAGTATCATGGTCTTCTTGGTCAAGAAACTCAGCATTAGTTTTCGATCGGCCATTCTGGGAACTTGGAAGTGGCAAGCTGCGGCCGAAGCCATCAAAAGTTCTTTTGGCGATACCTTTGGAGAAACCTTTGAATTGGATGGGAGCAACCCTCGTGCCATGACGGACCACGAAATTGACCTCATGTTTGATCGAATCGATGTGGACGGCTCGGGTACGATTGACGCCGAAGAATTGTACATTTTGCTACGGTCCACCGGTGCCCAGGTTTCGAGACAGGAAAGTGACATGATGCTACAATACGCTGACAAAGACGGCGATGGAGTCCTCGACAGAGATGAGTGGAAATTCGTCGTAGAGACGGCTCTGTCGGGACGAAAGAGCATGATGGAATTGACCAAGAACGTGGCAGGGTCTGCAGCAGCGGCAGCCAGTCAAGTGGCCGCGTCCACGAGAGATTTGATGGGATCGGGTGCCATGAGGATAAAGAATTCAGTGGGGTCAACAACAGACATGCTGGGGTCTTCTGCAAGGAACCTATTTTCAACGTCAAGGAGCATTGGTTCGTTTCGGGAGAAAAAGAATCCACTTCGAAGAATTAGTCTGACGATGGGTGACTCCAGTAACCGGGACACGCCGCCAAAGAGGAGAAGGCGAAAGAAGAAACGAGAAAGGACCAAGAGCGAAGATGAGGAAGAAACTTCCGCATATTTGGAAGACAGCTTGTCGAATCTCGAGGACGATTCAAAAGGGGAGAAAGAAAAGAAGAACGAGGAGGAGGCAAAAGAGGAGCTTGGTCCCTTTGGCGATGACGCAGACCAGCAGGAACAAGAGAAAGCACGGCACGAAAAAACAAACCGGAAAAAAGTTGAAAAGCTTTATTTGGCGCGGAAACAAAAGTGCAAACCCCCAGACCCCCAGCAAGAGACCGACCAACAACAAAATGTGATAACATCCACGACAACGAGGACGGGGTCAGATTGAAATCCCCCCAGAACGCATGAACAACGTAGGAATCACCACCAGCGCTCTCTCAAGTTCAAATGACAATGGGTGATGCTTCGGGCCTTAGGAAAATAAACCTGCGACAAATAACTGTACAGTAAAAGGTTTTGAGCTAGGAAAGGATTCTTTGGGCATGATCGAGTCGTAAGCCGAAGCACCTATTGAGCCAATTCGGGACAAACGCCACAACGCGACAATCCGAATTCATTCACCGCTGCTTTGCCACTGTCCAGCACAGACAAGGTGGAGTCAGTATGCATGTTGCCGTGAACAAACAGATAAGCCAAACGCCTTGAGTATCCTGGGGGCGTCATCGCCTCTGACCACCCGTTTCTGGCCTGGTAGACGAGGATTTGAAAATGTTACCAACAAATCTAAGTTGGTGGTTTGGCAAGCCAAGCCCAGAGCGTGGAAATGCAAGGTTCGGTCGCTTTTTTGCATGCCTTGGTTGTGCGAGGAAGGAATACCATGCACCCCAGCAAGCACACAGTTACCGTGAGGGCTTCCCGACGGAAAGCTTGTGTGGCTGTGGTGTACCGCTTTCATGGGCATCCACTAGTGCCGCCTGATGAAGTTTTGGTGTCTCGATTGCTTGCCCTGTCTCGGCAGCTTGAATGGCTTAGGGACTTCATCTTCGCATAAAGGGCCGCCCTTTCTTGTTAGGTCACGCCCGGCATTATCTGAACATTTGGCATCGTTGCGGCTGGGGCTAGGCGTCAAGTCCCAAGGTCGGTCAATGAGCTGGCCTCCCCGGTGGCGGTCCCTCTTTGATCAATTGCACACTGCTCTGCTATTGGCTCGTTGGCCACCCCACTTACCCAAGGATATGTGATTGGCATTTCCATCGGGGTAGGAGACAAGGAACTCCTGACGATCCTTTTTGCCGTTGTCAAGTCTCTTGTGCCACGAGATCATGATTGCCGTAAATTCGAAAGAGGTCTCCCTGCAGGTCTCATGGAGGCAATGGAGCCCTTTGCACGGCGTCTGAGGCTGTTATGGAAACATGGTTGTCCGAGCTAGCCATGTCCCCCGCAACAAAGACAATAGTGCGTGACAGGATTTCCTTTCTGCCAGATTTTCCCTCAGGACGACTTTGGCTTGTTCCCCAAAAGTTCTAGGGTAGCAATCTCATACAGCCAGCCACATGGTCCCTTGGTCACCTTCAAGATGGGCAGGGCATGGCTCAAAGCCTTGGGCGATGTGGGCAGTGGGTGGATGCTTGTTGCCATGTTAGGCAGCTTGACCTGGCTATCCAGTTTTTAAAACTACATCTGCAGTAGTAGAATGGGGTCTAGAGTAGGCTAGTTATTTAGGGAAGCTAGTGGGAGGCAGGCTTAGCGGTGGCTGATTCGGCCCATCATGAGGCTGTACCACCCGATTTCAGTCTGTTCTGTGAGAGCTTCCCGGACTTCAACTCGAGAGGTCCCAATCTAGGCTGCTGCCGGTGTTCGATGATGCCGTAGCGCAGAAATTGATTAGCGCATAGCTTTCGAACGTGTTTGTCGAGGGTCACCAGGGCCTCTTTCCGTGTCAATCGAGCTCCACGGCTGGTGCATAGCAGGACATGGTCTGGAGTCTCATATGCTTCTGCACACCGAGACATCGGGAATGGTCCTACAACTTTCTGATTTTCATGGAGCGTCCTACCGCACAGAATCCTGTTGTGTTGTTCCCAACATTTCAGCTGGTGCTGTTTCTTGTGGTCGTCTGCAACATACGCCAGTGTGACTTGGATGCCTGCTGACTTCAGCTAAACCCGATTTTGTCTGCATGCCCACAAGAGGCCATAGTGTTTATCAGTGGGGCTAAGGGCTCGTACCCGTCCAACTTGTTGATAACGGATTCACCATCGAGTTTTCAGTCTACCGGTAGCGAACCCGCAGTGATGTTGTGAAGCTGTCTTATGATATCAGAGGTGACTAATGCTCCGTAGAATCCTCTTGCTTCACTTCGGTAGGGGCTTTGGGTGTCAAAGTTGCCGGGGAGGCGGTTTTTCCCGAGGAGTGCATACGTTGGGTCGGATCCCTGGAGCATGAAAGCCGGCCTTCCTTGAATGAACCATCACTGACACCCCTTGCGGTACCCTGGGTGATGGATGCGGCTAGGTGTTGCCCATTGTCAATGCACTGAATGACTTGTACTGCCCAGTGATATATGGAATCCAGATGGTGTTGAATGCACGTTGGGATGTCTGTGGGTGCTGGGGGATCAGGTGTGGGTGCAAGGAAGTGGGCGGCAGAGTCCAGAACCAGACTGGTGTTATTTCGCCAAGCTGCTTTAGCCGGTCTGGAATCTGGCGGGAGCACATCTGTGGTGACCCGGCGTCACTGAAGTTGGTTCCTGTACAGATGTGTCTGCTGTTGGTGGTGTGCACTTCCCAATCTTCCTCGGGATCCTCCGAGGTTAAGTCATTTCTGCTGTGAGAGATCATACATCGACTTGTCGGGGGTGGGTCCACTGTCCAGAGGCCCGGGGGTGTTCGCAAGATGCTATTGGTTGACGTAGGATCCACAAAACAAGTGGAGAGGGCCACTTGCCAGAGGTCCCAGGATGCCACTGAGAGGGAGGTGGGTGATCGGGGCCAGTGGAGTCCGTTCGACCTTTCGTCGTAGATGCCGTCAAATGCTGCTTGAGTGAGTCTGGTGCCGTCTGCTGTAGTGAGGTCGGAAAGGGTCGTTGCACACATGAATTGCATACAATTGGAGAGACTGGAGGTCGTCTTTCCCGTAGTTGGAATCATTGAAGGCCACCTTTCATGGAACTCACGCTTGGTTTCAAACTGGTGCTATAGCTTGTGGAGGGCGGATGAAGCTCTCACTGGATAGTGTGCTCGGCAAAGAGCTTGTGCTTGAACGTGTGGTAGGTCTGAAGCTCACAGTTGGTTTTGCACTGGTGCTAGAGCCACCTGAAGGCTGAAAGCTCTCACCGGGTTGAGTGCTGGGAGAATCCCTTGTGTTCAAAACAATGGAAGGTCACGTCTGGAGCTCCCGCTTGGTTTCGAACTGGTGGTAGCTAGAGCCACCTGAAGGCTGAAAGCTTTGACTGGGTGGGGTGCTTGGGGAATCACCTGTGCTTGAACCTCTGGAAGGTTGAAAGCACTTGAACTCGAGCCACCTGAAGGCGGAAAAACTCTGGCTTGTAGGTAGCAGCCTTCTTGGTAGGCATGGGCATGGGCTGTGATTCATTGCGAAATGCCTGTGACAGGAGAACCTTGGCGTGTTTTGTTCTCTGCTGCTGGTCTCCGTGATACAGCCATATAGGCACAATTCCAACATACCTGAGTGCGGGGCGGCTATTCTTCACGGGAGTTATTGTGCGAAGAGGCATATGTCGGCTTGTCATTTGACTTTACTGCCATGATGTGTGGCTGTAGTTGGTAATAATTTGCGAGAGAAATAAACATGTCTAACGTTGGAAAGCTCTTTCAAAGGATCCCTCCCTTGCTGCCGTTCTGATGTTGACTCCTGGGACACACACACATCCGAGCTCTCATTGTAACAAGCCAGCTGCTATGCTGCTAGCTAGCTAGAATCGTAGTGGCTGGCAAAATTTGTTGGACCTTGTTGCTTGTTGTATATTTGGACACAGCTTTTGGGAGCCATCAATCTTGAAACGAGTTGTTCCACCGCCTGCCATTGAATATTGATCAGCCAGCTAGTGCATTCTGACTCACTACTCCAACCTCAGGTTTCCCTCGTGAGAGGCAGCCAGGACTCACGCCTGGCAAAGCACACAGGTGCATGGCTCAGCCGATGCAGCAAGCTCCTCCTTCTCAACAACAGGCAGCCTGGACACCCCTCAGAGTTTGTGAAAATTTGAAGAGTATCGCAATCTGCTCACTTGGCTTGTGTGACACAACCAGTATTTGGAAGACAAGAACATAGCAACAGTTTCACTAACGCAGTTCATGAAATCGCAGTTGTTGTTAGTTTCTTTCTAATGTTACTGGTACAAATGTTGTGTCGATCGTCAAAGCACACGAGCACACGCTTCTTTCACTAGCTAGTAGCTAGCTAGCTACTCCAATCTCATAGATCATAGATCACAGTTCCAGCAGGGGTGGTGGTCACAGTCATCAACGTTCCTGCCGACAGACCATCGCCTCCCTCTTCTTTTGCTTCATCCCGTCCCACTGGTTCGTCTTCTTGTGCTTGTGTTTTCGTCGCCTCTTGCTCCTTTTGACGAGAACAGTTCAACCCACTCCAAAAGGCAGGATTCTCCTGCAGCAATCCGTACAGAATATTCTGTTGGGCAATCTCTTGCAACGTCCCTCCCGTATCTTCATTGACATCGCTAATGAGTCCAACCAGTTCTTGAGCGGACGCGGTGGTACGAATCTTGCGTCGTCCATACTGGTTCAGCAACGAGTAGTATGCCAATCGTTGTCCTTGAGTACCGTTGCGTGATTTTGGTTCGGGCAAATCGACCCATTCCAGCGTCGTGTTTTGTTCCTCCATGACATTGGCAATAAGAGCTCGTTTCCATTCGACATTGACACTGGATTCGGCACTGTACTTGACCAAGGATGTGTTGGTTTGTAGGGCTTGCGCGACCCGACGCATGTGGACTTGATATCCCGTGACTTTTAAGGAGAGGAGGGGTGCGTTGTGGAGAATGTCACACAACAAGGTTGTGACATTCAAGTTGAGGGACGTTCCATTGTGCAAGATGAATTCCTTGAGGCATTTCAGGGACTGCAATTGATTGAGGAATCCTTGATACCATGGTTGATAAATGTTGCAGTAACTAATGGTGAACTTTTCCACTCGACAAGTATTGTTGTTGGTTTTGGTCGGTGCAACCCACTTGTTGGCAACGTAGACATCGGTAAATGTCAAGATGCGCGGTGCCGCTCCACTGATAAAGAATTCGGCCAACCGTTCTCCATTGGTCAGTGAAAAGTCACTCAAGTTGAGTTCTTGCAAACTCCCTCCCGGATTGGCTTGAATGGCATCGAGGACCCGGTTAAAGTACGAGTCATCGACTTGCCCGGTCTGTCGCATCTGTCCTCGAGTTCCCAACAATGTGAGTTTGGTAATCTTGGTGTTGGTGCGCAACAATGTGAGCAAGGTTTCCACAACGTTCTCGTCCGCCATGAGTGTCCGGTACGGAACTCGCAGACATAGATCCATGACGGTGGTGTTATCCGTGAGTTTTTGCAGGACATAGATCAATCCTTCGGCGGACCATTCATCAATAAAGGAATGAAAGTAGTCCAACTCTGGCAGCAGCGTCATGAGTACCTGGATGCGTTCCATACTGATCGTGTCTGGATAAAAGTCGGAATTGGAATCCCAAAAGAGTCCATAGTCATTTTCTTCCTTGGGCCATCGTTGGACAAAGTACTCTAGAATACGGATATCAAAGTCGAGCCGCAGCGCATAGTCAATGGGACTAAGTCCCCATCCAATCCGATCATCGACAATGATAGATTCCGGATATAGATCTACCATTTGTTGAATGACTTCATAGGAAGGACCATTGGGAGATCGTCGCATATAAATGTTAATGGGCAGCGATCCATCAAAGTCCTTCTTGTAGAGCGCGCCCGGGAATTCTCGTGTCAAAAAGGCAATGACCTCATGGGCCACACCGGAATGACAGGCTCCCATGAGCGGTGGGTACGTATCTTCGGGCCATGCCCGGTAGATGGCTTCGGGGGAATGCTGGTAGACTTCTTGGACGATCGCCAATGGCGCGCCACCGGCAATCAAAAACGACAGTGGCGATGTGGAATGCCCCGAGACGGCTTCGGCAAACGCTTCTCCCGCCAAAAATGGTTTTTTGCGCAACAATTGGACCACTTCGTCGTGATGGTCGCCCGCCAGCGGCCAGCCTCGTTCGAGAATGGATTGGAGTTGCTGTCGGGCTTTGGCATTCTTCTTTTCTCGCTTTTTATGGGCGCGTTCCTTCATGGCACGCAGAGGATTGATCATGACGACCTTTTTGGTGGTTTTCTTGACTTTTTTGGAAATCACATGAGACAGGCGTTTGGCCAAGCGCGGATGCGAATGCGGTTGTTGCCGTTGTGCCGGGGCTTGTGCCGGTGGAGCTACCTGTTGTTGTTGTTGTAGTAGTAGTGCTGCTGCTACCTCCTGAGGCTGATCCACCGGTGGAGCTGGTTGTTGAACTGGCTCGGCCATTTTTGTTCTTTCCACTGGTTACTGGGGTTTTAAAGTGAGTGACAAGATAGATAATGGAAGAAGATAACACTCAAGTTCTTCTTTCGCACGATGGTATTCCAAAAGGCTAATGGCAATGGCAATCCTGTGGTGCGTTTTGTTCGTAGCAAACAGTTGGGATGGCACTACTACTAGCTAGCTAGTATGATATGGTTGTTGAGTGGAACCTACTCGTTGGATGACAATGGAAGCGAGTGGGATGGTAGAGCCACTGCCAGTTCGAAAGGAAGCAATTTTGTGAGCAGTTCAGTGATCTCTACGGTGGGCATATTTTATTAAGAATGCTCGCGTTGCCACCAACGTAAGACATGAGGCTCTACATTAGACTACATTATGTCCTCAGGAAGTCAGGAAGGTCATCCACAGTGCACTTCTTCTACAGGCAATGACTCGTCGACAATCTCTAGCAGTGCGGGATTGGACACGGCAGGTTAAGCTGCAGGTTACTACGGTACGCCTAACTAATGTAATAAGTGGTGGGAATATTGGCAAGTTGCAGGCTAAGATTCGGAAGTCGAAAGCTGTTGTAAGGACTACTAAAGCCACTGACAGTTCGGCTGGACATTTGGTGGCAGTTGAATTCCAAGGAAACCCATGCATGGCTGCCCGACCCTTGATCTTGGACCAGCCACAAAGCGGCACTTGCATTCGATGACTGATAGATAGATACTAGATATTCCGACCTGGTGGCTGAAGGCTGTTGTTGTCGTGCGGGTAGTCTACTGGTACGGTATGAGGGCAAGGTTAGCTTGGTGGCAATCTTACTTGCTCCTGTAGTGAACCTCCCTTCTATGCATACCGGTAGCTGCCCCTAGCTAGGCTGACTGAGGAATGGAAGCTCAATTCAACACCTATATCACCTTTTACCGGTAGCTAGCTAGTAGCAGTAAACATGATGCATGGGTTCTGTTACGGAAGGAAGTCAAAGCGTAAGGGGAGGTCTTCCCATCATGAACAGGTGCAGAAACATAACAGCCAACACTGGCCCGTTGCCGGTTGCAAAATAGGCTGTAGAAAAGCCCAAGGATGCACCAACAAGCAACAAGAAACGTAGAAGCCCACGGCCAGCTTTCGAATAGCTACTAGCTAGCAGCTAGAGAAATATCCGATACTCTAGAGGCCCCTTTAACGCGTTGTTAAGATGCAATGGGTAGCCATGCACAGCATGGATGTCACCCCTCCTATTGCCTGACTAGCCCACAGCCCGCAACAGGTATCCGTGCTATTTTCACCATTTACAGCGCCTAAAACCTGACGACCACCTTGCATCGTTGCATCCCTTCGTATTGTTATCAACAGCTTATCGACTGTGATTTATTGGATGCGCGATCACAGTTCTGGTGGTGACTTGGGTCATTTTCGGCCTTTCTCCGACTTCCTAAGAGACCGTTCTCTTTTGATCTTGTGTGATCATGGTCTGCAGGGAGTGACTGTGATGCGATGCGATTCGTCTCGATTGAGATTCAATTCAATTCGATTCGATTTAGTTTATTCGAACCAACCAATCGATGGGAAGCAAAAGTCAATGGACCAAGCAGAAGTGTAGCGGCGTGTCTCGGGCAAATTTGTTTAGGTCATGATGATCCGTCCATTGGGGCCATATCCGTTATAAAGATTTTGTTGTTGTCAAATTTGTTTAGGTCAATCTGGGTATCTAGGTAGTTCACAGTACGGTTGGATAGCTCGAGGCCCAAAGGTTGATGTGGGGTAGTCTAGGTAGTGGAAAGACGAGCTCTGTTGACGGTTGCGGATAGCACTCTCACTTTTGGCTGCATTTGATAAGTTCCCCGGCCAGGGCTCCACATCCTTGAAAGAGTTGTGTCAACTTATTACAGACCTGGACCACCAATGAACCAGCCTAGCTAGCTAGAGGGCCGCAGCCAACACCCCGGTTTTCTGTACCAAAATGTTGCTGGAAGCTGGAAGTACTCAAGTTTTGATTAGATATGTTGTAGTTTGTTTCCTGAAACAAGTTCCACCAACACAAATCCTGCCTCTCTGCACACCTTTCTTTTATGAGGGCATTGTTGCCATGCCTTCCTTCGTGCCTCATTTTGTTGCTTTGCATTTTTTTGTCGTTCGTTCCATTGAAAGTCAGTCCTTTCTTCTTCGTTTATAAAATTTTAAAACAACAAGATGATCCACGCCACAAAGGTATAAAAGAAGAGTACGGGAAATACAGCAAGGAACCTTCGTTCTCTCTTGACATAGAGCCCAATAAAGACGGACGATGCTCGCGTGGCCCAAAGAAATGCGGCCGCCAAAAAGACCATATCGAGCCACTCCCAGGAAAACCAGGTCAATTTGAGGATATCAATGACAAAGGCTGCCAGCGTGAGCGGAAAGATGCAATATCCCAGAACGCAGACGGATTGAAAAAAGGAAATGTTTCCACCCAAGAGTTGTGCATTGACGGTAACGACGGCGGATCCGCACCAGACAGTGATAAAGACGGACGCAAAGACCAAACTGGCTTGATTGGTCGGCGCCTTGAAGCTCAATAGGACGGCCAGGATCAAACAGACAATCAGGGGTCCCCTTCCATATTGTAAATGTCAAATCAAAATGACACGATAGTTGCGAAATTCATCCAAAGAAGAAAAGTAGATTATTGTTGTCACGTCAATGGATCCAAGGTAGGCGAGAGGATTTCGATTTCGCAGAGTGATAATTTGTAGATTTTGATGCCAGGTATCCGTACGGTAGAGGAGGGAAGAGCAAAGCAAAGGAATTTTGTTATTAGAAACAAAAACAGTGTGACAAGAGCCAGGGACGAAATTAATTCCCCTGTGATGAGAGTGCTGTATTACATACCAAAGATCCCAATCCTTGAGTGACTGTATTACTTTGCGGTCATTCTCGCTCATGTCCTCTCCTTGGCCATTTTCCATTCCTCCGTCTTCCGACTGGGAAATACCAGAGTACCCTGCCACAAAGTCGGGCTGACAAAAGAAAGATAGTGAGCAAACCAACCAAAAACACATCTCGCTGAACTGCTGGATTGAATTGAATTGTGTTCTTACCGCTCGATCGAGAGGTAACATGACGACCTTGAGTTTGCTAACGACGGACTGGACATCGCGCATAATGGTTTCCATCACAGGTTCGTCCAGAGTACTGTAGGGTTGGAACAATGCCTCTTGGTGACCGCCGGCACCCATGCCCATGCTAGGATCGGTAGAACCCATCGTGCCGCTCATCATTCCTCCTGGCATGGAAGAAATGCTAGGATCTGCCCATTGTGGTTGCTGCATGATTGAATATGATGATGTCTCTTGGTTATCTAGTCTAGCTAGTAGCTGTTGCTGTCGCTGTCTATCTGTCTTATCGGAGGTTGCGTTGGCTGTTCACCCGCGGTTGTTGTGCTCTTTGGATTGTAGCTCTACCAGATGGCCCAGAGCGAGAAAAAGACCCGGCCAAGGATCCTTTGGACGAGATGACGAAGCCTTGACTAAAACTGCAGAGCAGATTAGAACACTAATTTAACCCAGCTGATCTGTAATGAAACCAATTTGGAGAGAACTACAATGTTTACAGACCTTGCCCGACGACTTCTAGCAGCTCTGTTAGCTATCGTTTCCAGAGATACCGCTACCTAGCTAGACTACTAGTAGCTAGCCGTGAGTAAATTTGTGAAAATTCACAACCATGGGCCCTTTGGTCGGACGGGATTGGTTTTGGTACCACCAGCAAGACGATGATCTTGCAAGCAAGCAAGGGGCTCGGCTGGAACCGCAAATTGCATGAGGTCTTGGTGTAGCAAAATTAATGATACGGTATTACTTGAAGTTGCCATGGCCCCTGCCTTCTGAGCGAGCAGTTCAGTCAGTTGCGAAAGTTTAATGTGATTTATTGGGAACTGGCTCAACTGCTTGCTGGCTGCTGCTTGCCGCTTCACTCGCTTGCTCGACTTTGATCGTGGCCTGCTATTTTCTCACCATCCAGCCATCGAACCAGCAGCCCCAACGTTGAAACTTACTTGTAGACTATGTATGCATGCCATAACGCGCCCTTCGGTACCGCACTCGGCACAAGCCCAATTGCTGGGCAGCCAAAAGTCCACGACCCATGGCGCAGCCAATGAAAGTCTAAGTGGGTTCGTGGGATAGCTACCGTAAAGCTAGTGCTGGGATTGGTGATACGGGCGTACCACACATGTAGCTTGCACTCCCACAACTTCAGCGACGACGTTACAGCAACGTTGGTGTTGTAACGTTGCAACGTTGCAAACTAGCTGAGTACGTGGTAGAAAGCTCCTGCTGGATGGAATCTTGGACTGACGAAAGGGTTGTTGGATGGGCAGTCTGTACTTATATGGTTCTTTGCTTGGTTGAAGAGCACTAGAGGCAGCAATAGTCCTTGCTAACATGCAGCTGCATGGAGAACAGTGGTTGGATGACAATCTCTGAGATGTGAATGGGTTCCACTGTGTCTTGTTTCTTATTACCCACCTTTAGAAAAGCTAGCTCCTAGCTAGCTAGCTGCTAGCTAATAATCTAGGATCCAGCTAGGATCGGAGCAGACCACCTTAAGAGGCGGATGAATCATCTATGTGGTAGGTGGTAGCTAGCTAGCTAGCTCGGCGTTGCGGCCACCGTCACGCGGCATTCAGCAGGACAACTTCTAAAGGTAGCTGCTGATGCTGACCTCGGCCCTTCGCCTTGTCGAGCGACCTCCTTGCAACGAGCGGCCGAACCAATCAAGCAATCAGCCAACAAGAAGCAAGCAACCATGACCCAGTGCGTTCGAGGAGTGTCTGTAGCAATCAATCTACATGTACATGTATGTAGCACCTTGGCTTCTTTCTGTTTGACCGTAATGGCTGGTGATCTACCGGCAGTACTATCTAATTTGGAAACAATAAAAAGAGTAGGTTGCTTTAGTAAAACCAATTTAGATTTTAATATATCCCCAAGTAGCAGTAGAAGCAATAGCTAGATAGCAAAAAACAGCAGAATGATTTTAGATTCCCATCATCATACCACCCGAAGAAAGAGGAGGAACGGAGATTCTTCTGGGTGTAAGATTCCTCTTGTGTCTAGACTCGTGTGTGGGCATGACATTTGCGGATGATTGCGCTTCAAGAGAGCGCGATCGTCGAAACTCGTTGCGAAAGAGCTTTGAGACGAGTTTGGAAGCGGCCTTGGGGTCTTCACCCTTCCGGACAACCCGTTCATCCGCCTTGCCAATTCGATGGGCAAAGACTTCGGCACACTTGGATTGGAGGGTGGAGAATTCGGCCAACTTGGTCAGCTTTTCATCTTCCGTCAGATTGGGATGCGCTTGGAGGTATCGTGCTTGCTCGACGACATCTTGCACAAAGAATCGTTTGCGCTCTACTCGCATTTCGTCGTGTTGTTGGGACAAGTGTCGTTCAATGCCTCGTACATAGTCGGCATCTGCCAGTTGTACAAACGCGTCCAGGCACGTTTGTGTGTGTTGAGGGTTGGGGTTGCCAAAGGTATCTCGCAGCAAGATACCCAAGCCGCTCTTGCGCCATTGTCGAGCATCGCGTTTAATTGCCCGCTTGTTCTCCTTGTGCTCCCATGGCTGGTACCACAGCTTTTCGACAATACCTTCTTCCACTGTGATAACAGACTGGACTTCGACGATCTGATTGCACTCGTCGTTGAAACGAACTCGTTGGGTAGGCATCTCGGCGGTTTGCTTGGGGATGATGATCATTGTTTGTTTGTCGTGATATGAGGTGACAGTGAGAGCTTTGACGGCAGTCTTCGCTTCAATTTGGTTGCTGTGGTTTCCAGAAAGTGAGATAGGAGGGAACAGTTCCATCGAGGGAATGAGGCTGCGAACGAGGAACTTGCGGGTTGGCGGCAGACGATTCCTCGAGAAGGCAAAATGACATGACATCTCCAGCCAGTGCCGCGATGATCTGCCAATCGTACATAACAAAAGAAGGCATAGCTTCTTTAACTAACTGGTTCCTGCCAAACTCATTGGTTCCCGCATCGCACCGGGCTGGGTGGGGCGAAATGGGAACCAAACTGCAAGAGCGGAACGTACCGAATGAATGGTTCATAGGGAACGTTGAGCCAACGGTGGCCTATCGCCCTCGCTCACCTGGCGTAAAACGGTCCCTCTATGACCCTGTGGATCTAATTCCGCCACAGATTTAAAGGAGTCTTCCTCAGTGGGGCAGGCATGGTCATTGAGGATCATTTGAGGGCTTCTTTCACCTCGACCCCTTGGGAGCCTACAATAGACTTTTAAATCTATTACATGGCCTTCGATGTCGTGGTGAAGCATAATAGTTGTAGAGGGTCCATAATCCATTTTAAACCTTGGGATCGCCTCTTCCACTGGCTTCTTATGAATGCATGTTTCAGCGTATGGTCTCTAATTCCACGCGATCTCCACTGACCAGATCTTAGAGACTCTTGAGACCAGTGACTATCTCTTTAAAAAGGTTTTTGTGGTCAAAAAGGCTGGCGAACGTATTTACAGGTAAGAAAGCGCGATGCAACTGTTTGACCGGTAAGCACATGCAAAGATCCAAAGTAGCGGAGGATTTGCCAGCCAGTGGCTGCCAGGAAGGCCCCTTCATGCGTGGTATTTTTAAAGTCGCGTCGGATCGCTGAAAGTCGCGTGGAGAGTCGCATGCGACTCGCACGCGACTTTCATACGACTTTATACGCGACTTTCAGCGATCCGACGCGACTTTGTCTTGTTGTTTCTCGCAATTTGGCACGACTTTCAAAATTCGTTTGAGAAAGTCGCATACGACTTCCGTGCGACTCGCCTGCGACTTTGCACGCGACTTTTATTGCTGTTAGAAAGAATCCGGGACTAAAAGTCGTATGAAGAGGCCTTCCCGGTCTATCCGAGTCACCAATGATCGACCAGCTCATCAATCATGCGCGAGCAGTAAACAGAGGCTGCATCTCAATTTGAAAGAGAACTCTCTCCAACCCATCGACCTTTAAGTGTGTAGATAGAAGCCCCTCACCAAAATGTCCCTGATTACACCGTCAGTACCGGTAGTCGCAGCGTCGCAGCAGAGGCCATTACTCGTGGCTGTTAGCTGTTAGCTGGCCAGCTGCATGGCCATATGGCCATTGCAGTCAATATTCTAGCACTGCGACGAGTCAGAATGTCAGAATGTCTAGAGTATGGAAAGTTCCCTTTTGCATTATAGGTTCGTTGGTTTGAAATGACTCGGTCTTCGTGCCCAACGCCCAACTAACTGCCGCCAAAAAGGGGAAAAGGGAAAAGGTCATTTCAGTCGATGGAGCTTTTGTACAGTACATGGCATTGTACAGCGTACCTGTAGCTTCGCTATCCACCAGAGCTCCCACCGGAATCTTCGCTGAAAATGGTGCCCCAGCATTGGCTTTGATCAGCTTGATCTGGCTGTACATCATCTAAATCTACCGAAATAACCCATCTATCAACTCATGTCTACAATGTACCGGTGAGCCCAGGCCACCATAGACTTGTGATCCAAAAATGTCCAACTCTTGGAAGGACACATTCTTCCGACCGGTACATTGATGCCGCTTCTACAGCGACGCGAGCTAACTTTGCTTGGGCTTGACCGGTCTCGGCCTGGGTTATCAACGATCAACATCATCGAGTTTACTACAGTGCCTCAACCAGTGGCTAGATTCTCTGTTTGGCTGCTCTTCTTTTGTTAGGAGGATCGACCTCCTCCCCCGACAGAAATATCCTGCTTGGCGAAAGGTGCCAGAAACCAGAATTGCAGCGGGACCGAAGGCACCAGGCTCTTTCTCGTGTGGCTACATGTTGGAAGTTTCAGGGAGTTGTTTTCCAACTGATGGCTTCAAAGCAGACGAATAGAATAATCTACAACCGGACAAGAACTTGCACGTTCCAAGAAGCTCCTTATCGACACTGATTGTTGCTCCTCAAGTCAGCGGCTCTATGGATATTTCTAGTTTGAGGTTGAGGCAGCTTGTATACATTATTGACTTGCTTCCTGTGGCTCGTCGGGTTTCATCCAGTGGGAGGACGGCAACTGATAACCACAGGTATTGGCTGGGTGGCTATCTCTCAGCCTCACTCTGCGGTAGATCTTCAACTGAGCTAGCTAGGCAGGACTTCAAGCAGCTAACACATGTATGATCGCTACCATGCCATACCCCTCTGGTTCAAACGGAGCTCAAAGTTCAAAGCTAGCCCAACAAAACAAAACCTGCAAAACTATACTGTACATCCATCGGCATTGAAGAACTCTAAAAAACAAACTGAAGAACCCTAGAACCCTTAACTGGACATGCGAAAGTCATCGGTCTTCGCATCGTCTTAAATCACTTGACGAAGCCGAATCTCCAGCGAAGAGAACCAGAATGCTACCTAGGTATTCAGAGCATAAGTAAAAATAAAAAATAAATCACTACTCCCAGTAACTGGACAACTAGACTACGACAGTACTGTTCACCTTCGGTGCTTCGTTGCATCAAGCTTTCCAGTGGTACATCGTAGCGTTGGACTTCGTTGAGTTTCGTAGCTGAGTGCATGTGTTGCTATCCTTGTTCTCTATTGTATTTGATGTGTTGTATTTGATGCAACCGTGCTACAACATGTACAGTGGTTAACATTGTTGGGGCTCCATTTACCGGTATTCACTTCAGGTCGGTCACCGGTCGCCGGGGCCAGCGCTCAGTTCCCGCAGACCAGATCTTCATGTACTATTCCCTGCATCGGCGCCAACATTGAGGACCATACCATCATCATGTTACACCTGAGGTCCTCCAGGATAAAGGAAACAAGGCAAAGATACAAAGATGCCACCTCAGTCACCCACAGCGGGGAGCAAGACTCCACCACGATCCGAGCGAACTCGTGAAAAGTGAGAGGAATGTTGGTACCAGTGAAATTGAGAGCCCGGAACTACGAGCCAGATCCTGTTCCGACTCGACTCCTGATCGAAGGCGAGACTCGAAGTTCACGCAAGTCGATCTCGGTCGATGTTCTTGGGGATTTTAGTTTGAGACAATGACTCTCGAACATCCCTCTCCAGCCATTGCATGACAGTGTTAGTTAGCACGCGGACCTTGTCGTTGGCCAGTTGCAGAAATCGCGGCTTGGATAACACTGTGATAGCTTCAATGTTGTCGGGAGTGACAGTCCCAAATACTTCGAGCTTACAGCTGCGGCTTACAGTACATTATTCGCCCGTAGAGTGGGAGAGGAAACTGTTGAGGTCCATCAAATAGAACGAGTGTTCCTTCCTTTGCTCATGCCAACGGTATCCACGTCCCCAGAAACTCCGCACCGCTTACCAGCCACAACAAGAAAGATCAAAGCAGTACACCAGATCATACGATTTTAGCAAAAAGTGACTGAATTAAGTAGTTTTACTCTTGATCAGCACAAACTGCCGAATCGCCAAAACACAGGCTTGACTCTGTGGTAACTTTTCGGTTGTTTGACTTTTTCATCCCCCTTGGGAATCATCAGTGCTTGTGCTATTGTGGTACTTATGAAATCGAGGTTTATGTCGGCATGCTCCGTATATTTCGTTGCAGGAGTTGATAAGCTTTTCTGGCGATTCTCTGGATCTTTTCAGTATCTCGAGTCGCTCCCTGTTGCATAGCTGCAGTGTCGTGTCCCGAAGGTCTTGACAGTGCTGATGGGGTTGCCTTGCCATAGGATGCTAATTTCGATGCTGTTCTTTGAATGTCGCCGTTAAGTCGGAATGGTGAAGGAGAAGCGAAGTTTTGGAATTCGTTGGCGAAGTGTCTTGCATATGAATCTGACTTGCGTCCTGATGCGTGACCTGATCGTCTGGTTCATCAGTTCCCTATCCACCTTGCCAGTTAGCCGGCGAGCGGTTGCGAAGTCCGAGGGAAGAGGGGAGTACACATGCAACAATGCAGCAATCTACATGTATACTGAATAATACTGACAGCTTCACACTGATACACTGATATTCTTAATTATTAAACCTCTTCAGGAGGGTCTGTGTTCTACGATTAAATTTTGAGATGACCTGTGGCTCCCTCACTATGGGTACTATAGAGGGAGTCCCTTTATTCGTCTTATTTTTATTTTTTGCATGAAGAGAGATATAACTTCATACGATTTTAGCAAAAAGTGACTGAACTAAGTAAGTTTACTCACAAACTGCCGAATCGCTAAAACAGGCTTTACTCTGTGGTAACTTTTCGGTTGTTTGACTTTTTCATCCCCCTTGGGATCATCAGTGCTTGGGCTATTGTGGTACTTATGAAATCGAGGTTTATGTCGGCATGCTCCGTATATTTCGTTGCAGGAGTTGATCAGCTTTTCTGGCGATTCTCTGGATCGTTTCAGTATCTCGAGTCGCTCCCTGTTGCATAGGCTGCAGTGTCGTGTCCCGAAGGTCTTGACAGTGCTGATGGGGTTGCCTTGCCATAGGATGCTAATTTCGATGCTGTTCCTTTGAATGTCGCCGTTAAGTCGGAATGGTGAAGGAGACGCGAAGTTTTGGAATTCGTTGGCGAAGTGTCTTGCATATGAATCTGACTTGCGTCCTGATGCGTGACCTGATCGTCTGGTTCATCAGTTCCCTATCCACCTTGCCAGTTAGCCGGCGAGCGGTTGCGAAGTCCGAGGGAAGAGGGGAGTACACATGCAACAATGCAGCAATCTACATGTATACTGAATAATACTGACAGCTTCACACTGATACACTGATATTCTTAATTATTAAACCTCTTCAGGAGGGTCTGTGTTCTACGATTAAATTTTGAGATGACCTGTGGCTCCCTCACTATGGGTACTATAGAGGGAGTCCCTTTATTCGTCTTATTTTTATTTTTTGCATGAAGAGAGATATAACTTCATACGATTTTAGCAAAAGTGACTGAACTAAGTAAGTTTACTCACAAACTGCCGAATCGCTAAAACACAGGCTTTACTCTGTGGTAACTTTTCGGTTGTTTGACTTTTTCATCCCCCTTGGGAATCATCAGTGCTTGGGCTATTGTGGTACTTATGAAATCGAGGTTTATGTCGGCATGCTCCGTATATTTCGTTGCAGAGTTGATCAGCTTTTCTGGCGATTCTCTGGATCGTTTCAGTATCTCGAGTCGCTCCCTGTTGCATAGGCTGCAGTGTCGTGTCCCGAAGGTCTTGACAGTGCTGATGGGGTTGCCTTGCCATAGGATGCTAATTTCGATGCTGTTCCTTTGAATGTCGCCGTTAAGTCGGAATGGTGAAGGATGTGCGAAGTTTTGGAATTCGTTGGCGAAGTGTCTTGCGTATGAATCTGACTTGCGTTTTCCGTAGAGGAGACGCATGACGTCGGTGAAGTGTTGGTATGTTCGTTCTTTGACGTTTCGTTGGGTTGCCCCAACGTATTCCTTGCCTGAGTTTATGCATTTGATGCAGTATATGGCCAGTTTGTTTCTACAGCGGTCGTCAAATCGGCATTGGCCGTCTTTCTTATTTCCTGGCTTGCAGTTGCAGGTTTCATTTTGAATTCGGTGGAGATGACGTCATTGGTGAGTTTCCTCGATAGGTCGCCCATGAACATCTCTCGCAGGTTGGTGAATCGATGGTAGGACATAGACGTTCTGATCCATTCGAGGCCATGGCTCTTCTTGAGGTCGTTGATTACCTTGTGTATTGGGGTCGTCCAGGCGTTGGAGTGTCCTATACAGAAGAATAATGATCGGTTCCGGTTCCTCTTTCGTTGCTTGATCTCTATCTGGTTGTTGTGCCTCTTGTCTTGGGAGTATCTGTATTTCTTCTTGGAGTGTTGGTATCTGGTCTGGAATCAGTCCAGCTTTCTTCAGAGCCTCGAAGTGTAGTGGATAGATCTCATCGAGGGTTTGGTTGGCATTCTTGTTGGTAACTGTAGTGAGTTTACAAGTCTTTGGAACACCCCTAGTGGATGTTTTGAGGCATGCGTTTGTGTGGGTAGTTCCCTGTTTAGATATTTTAGTTGTTGGTTCGGTTTAGGTGGACTCGGAAGTGAAGTTCTTCCTGGTCCGACCAGAACAGTTCCATATCTAGATACGGGAATGCTTTTCCTCTTTCTACAGTTACTTTGGGGTCGGATTGATCTTTTGGGAGTTGTCTTTTGGTTTGGTCTAGCCATATGCTACAGGTGCTAGGTAGTTCTCTCCTAGGCTGTTGACTTTTGCCTGAAAATTGGCTCTCCATTCTACTATCATTTCATATGTCCAAGTTCCTTTGAAGATCGCAAAACCATCGTCTCTGTAGAGGCCATAGTATGATGTTTCTTCAAAATGGTCTTTGGTATTTTCTAGGATGTAGGCTCCTACTAGATCAGATAGCCATGCGGATTCATATCCACCAATGGTTAGTCCTTTCTCTTCTGGATCCATGTCTCCATCATATTCATAGTATTTGTCCTTGAATGTTAGTAGTGTAGAGTTCATCCCAAATTTGATCATATCTAGGCAGTCATCAAGTCGTCTTTGACATTCCGCGTCAAGGTTCCTGGCAAAGTATTATAACTTACTTGGTTTGTTTCTGTGGTTTGTTGGGCGTGGCTCATCTTTTGCTTTTTATGTTTGTGGCTGGTATTCTTTCGGTACGCACAAGCGCACAAGTCAGGTACTAGTATCTCAGACCGCCTTGAGGACCAATGATGTGAACCAAGTCCAAGCGCAGCCAGACACAAAGTAAGAAATGCGGCAACCACGAGACACTGAAGAAGAATCGGAATTGTCCTCCTCATCGGTGTTCTCGCTGTTGTCGTCCTCATGGGCGTCACTACCAACATCCTGCAATCCCTCTCCAATCAGTCGGCATGAGCCGATCAGCTTTGTCGCAAACTGATTGCCATAGGCACATTGGCCAGGAGCAATACCACTGATGCCTTGTGCATCAACCTCGCCACTTCCATGAATGAAATTGCCTTTCTCCAAAAAGGAAGCCCAACTCTGGTATCCAATAATGCTGTATGAGCCCTCAGCTGCACCAGAGCCGCCATTCCTGTAGAGTAGATAAACATGATTGTCATTGCCACAACCCTTGGTAATGCCCCATTCCAGGTTGTCGGTGTAGTTGTAGCCAGTCACTCTCTTAATCATTGGCCAATCATCATCAGAGGCAGTGAAGTTCAGCAAGTTTCCCAAATCCACTGATTCCTCAGTGTCTCGAGTCACACAGTCACTCCATTCAGAATGGGCTGTGTGTTCTGTGAAATTGCAGGCAATCTCAGCATCCTGGATGTGCATGGCTGCTGTGTTGATGCCACTCGTTTTTGCGATCGATGCTGGTACTGCTGAAGCACATTCAGACGACTGCAAACATTCCAATTTGACTTGATAAAAGTTTTCTCCGTTGCTCTCGCGGTATGCTTGCAACGCAGTTGCGCAGTCTTCACTATCAATGGCCAAACCGTTCTCTGTTTCAGTGTTTCCAGGTTGGAGGTCATCCATATCTTCATCATCAGCACACCCCATATTTGTATCCATAGGAACATTGCCTGTTCCATCATCAGTAGCTTCACGAGCTATCAACGCTGTTCCGTGAACATCTTCAAATAAACCTCCTGTTTGGGATTCAGTCCACACAGCATCGGTAATATAGTCTATGCAGGCAACACAACAAGGAGAGAGTTGTACGGGTTCAGTTTGTATCCTGTGTCAGGTGAAACCAGTGTTTATGTATCACTCACTGTTAAAGTTCAATGATTCCATTGCAGTGAACAGATCAGCTGTGGTGTGAGTTGCGCCTGTGATTGTGCAGTGGATCGACTTATGAGAATTTCGTGTGGAAGTATTATCAAAGCAATACAAACAAGCCTACCTTGTGCAATCTCTGCAATCGCATTAAAGTTGAGGGTGATGGGGTACTCGGGGTACTCAGCAGCCACATCAATGGTTTGACCCACAAAAACAGCCTGAAAGGATTCCAGGCTCGGAAATGTTTCCTGGAGCTGCAGAAAAAACCATTCTGATGTTCGAATCATCAATCCATCAATCTCACAGGCAGTTGCTTCTCGTAGTTTGACATCATCAAAGAATAAAAAGTCCAAACGCACACTGCTTTGGAGAGTCTGTGTCAATGCCAGCACATTTGGGAACACGAAAGCAGCAGCTAGGCCGATTTGAAAGAGCATGCTGGAGACTTTCATGGTTGCTTTCAAAAAGCAATGGTTTTCAATCTGTCTGTTGTTGTTGTGAAGTTGTTGTTGTGGAAGTTGTGAGCCCAACAAACCTGAAAACGCCATCATCTGAAAACCGGAATAACCCCATTTTAGGGAACCGCGATTTGTCTGTTATTTTTAAAAAAATATGGTACCATCAGCCTCAAATTTCCAATACAACGCGTGCAATGCCAACGGCTGTACACTTGTACTGTAATCTTGTTGGATCTCTATTTGGATTCTCATTCTCAGCACCGGATGCCGAGTCGAGTCGAGCTTCGAAGGTTCCAGTCATATCCTCCAGATCGTGACTTTAATCCGCCCATAGACCAATAGACCAGCCGCTCCCAACACCTTGCTTGGTTTTCCGCTCTGGATAGTCAGTCAGGTCATATGGACCTTGTCTCGAGTAATACCGGTATGCATGGCTAAATAACACTCTCTGAATCCCTTCCTCGATCATGCCGGTACGCTGTACATGCACCTTGAATACATTCTTACCATCGTGCCATCGCGTCTCCATGTAGTCCTAGTGTTTCTGCCCTGGCAGTACCATCTTCTCTAGAATTGGTTGGAAGGCCCTATTCAAATCGTTGTTCTATCCTCCTGATTGGAAGCTTTTCAAGTCTCACTCGGCTCTCTCTAACATGCACGTAACCAAATTGAACGGGAAGAAGGATTCTTGCATTCCTTGACTGGGCACCTCCAATTACCCAAAGCAAGTCCATATCCGATTCTGCGATGAGCTCAGCCTTCCTTGCAGCTTCCAAGCCGCTTCAAACACAGACGAGATAGATATAGACGAGAGTGGGGGCGCACCTTCGAAAAACAGCCCTGCTACCAGTAGCGCTACCAGTAGCGCCTTGAATTCACTGTTCTAGTCCGCTGTTTCTACTTGTACGGTACCTGGACGTATCCCCAGAATTGGGAGTCCCGTGCAGTTGTAGTTGAGCCATTCATTCACTGTACCGGTCGCCCTTATACCTAAGTTCACCTGTGCAACTTTACTTGTTTGGATTTTGGACTGAAGTAGCTCAAACCAGAAAGGTACGTCCTGTCAGCTAGTCAGAGGATCCAATACGACGAGGGAGAAACGGGAACGCCACAACGACTACTAGTACTCTACGCGTAGTAATCGGTTTGCCACTTCTATTTCTAAAACTCGTCTCAGCTACTTTGGTGGAAGCTTGGCTTTCCGGAAGCACTCAACGTGGCTTCGTACTCTCTGAGTGAGCGAAGTCGGACGATGTAGAGATCGAAAGGAGAAGGCATAATATCGCCTTCAGTTCTACCGCTCGGTACGCACAAAGCACCCCACGCTTTTGTGCCCCTGAACTTGGTTGAGTTCTCCATATCCAATACGCGACAATATTGGTAGCGAGCAAGGAGACAGCGAGCACGAATCACGACATGGGAGATAACCCAGGCCCCATCTGAGCAACAGGATAAAACAATTGCTACCATGAAGCTGAGTTGATTGCCTCACTACAGAAATTGGGAGCAAAGAAACACCACAGAGCAGGTCTCGACTACAAACAATGAACTAGCTAGATCCAGAAGATGCCTCGTCTCCTCTTTGAGAAGATACACATTTCTGCTTATTTTTCATGGCAAAGAATCGCTTGGAGCGATCGTATAGCCTTTCGAAAGTCGGTCACGAAACCGACGACATATCCGTGTGTGTGTGTGGACGTGTGGACTGCGTCGCTCGGACCTTCGAAAACGTTACTGGAGACAGCCTCAAATAGTGGATGGTGCTCATCATCCAACTCCATTCGTTGCCATCATTTGCTACATTCTTTGGGCGGAAAGCACGCTGCCACCAGCGAGCTTCGAAGGAAAGCAAACTGATGGCTGAGACTCTTCAGGGCTCGCACCAATTCTCGAGGGGCTTTGGCCCGCGTCGCCCAATCTGGCTAGATTGGAGGTGCGGGATCATGTAGTCTTACACTGACCAGCTCATAAACGAGGACGACTGAATATGTTATTAGGCTTGGTGACTTTGCGCTGTGGCTTGCCACAAACCAGAACACTGTCATCGCTGAGGTTTGCTCGAGCTCTTGGCAACCAGCACAAAAGACTCCAGCTTGCACCGTGGGAGTCGTCCGTCCTTCTGCACTTCGATGTCACATCTTTCGAACTGGTTTTATCCGTGGTTGAGACGGGGTTCAGTAAACAGTCGGGTCTCAATACGGGACACGGCACATCTGAAAAATGAGACACACATAAACTGGACTATAAACAAGGAAGCATCAGTCCGATGGAAAGCAACCGCTGGCTACAATGGGCTCCTTGAACGCAACCGCCCCCCTTGATGCTGCCGTCGCTTTGCCTGGCAGTACTTCATTGCGGGGCAACCCGACCGTCGGCCCGGCGACCCGACCCGATGCCTCCGGCACGAAAACTGTGTTGGGGTTCTCGCCCGATATGAGCAAGAACTTTGGTGGTTGTTTCGATATCAAAGAGAGGTTGGGTGTCGGCACCACCGGTGCGGTGTGCCATATTGTTGAAAAGAAAACTGGTAAATCCTTTGCAGTTAAAGTTATCAAGCGTTCCAGTCTTCCAAAGATTCATCACAAGAGAATCTTACTAGAAGCGAGCATCATGAAGAAGGTATCCTATCTGGACCACGTCGTGACACTGCATGGACTGCTTGCAGATCAGAATTCGTTTTACCTTGTCCAGGACTTGGGCCGTGGTGGCGACCTTTGCAGTCACCTGATGAGGCACCGCCGAGCCTACAGTGAAGAGCGTGCCAAAGCCATCGCCATCAAGCTGTTCACAACAATGCGGGAGCTTCATCAAAGAAACATCATCCATCGCGATATCAAGCTAGACAACATTGTCTTGTCTGACCCACAAGACGACACATCCGTGCTGTTGGCGGATTTTGGTCTGGCCGCCATCTTGCCAAGACGGGGGTATGCAACCCGCAAGTGTGGTTCGCCATTATACTGTGCTCCTGAAGTTATGGGGAGCAGACCATATGGCAACGCAGTCGACATGTGGTCTATCGGGATAGTGTTATTTATGCTTTTGTCGTTGCGCCGGCCTTTTGTAGCCTCCAGCGTAAGTGAGCTTTACCAAAAGATCAGTGACGGTGCGCAAGTCAAGTTCGAAGGTTCACCATGGGACACGGTCAGCAAAGAAGCAAAAGAATGCATCAGGGGGCTCCTTACTGCAGACCCTCACGAACGATGGACAGCAGAACAGGCCTTGCGGTCTCCATGGATTGTAGGGGCTGCTCGGGTCGAGTCCCAGGCACGCTAAACCACCATGGGAAGATAAACTATTAGTAGATTGATTGGACGTCATTCTGGAAACATGTAACATAACATTCACTATCAGTGCCTCCTCCTGCTTTGCTGCCAGCTCTACGCTATACCGGTGAACGCTAAACCACCATGGGAAGATAAACTATTTGTAGATTGATTTGACGTCATTCTGGAAACGTAACATAACATTCACTATCAGTGCCTCCTCCTGCTTTGCTGCCAGCTCTACGCTATACCGGTGACCGTAACCAGCAACGATCAAGGAACTACAATCGACAACGTGCTTTCCCACCATGTTCGGTAGCGGCAGGAAAGCCAACAGCCAGACCCACCTCTCCAGTGCTCCCGTCAACGCGGACGTGCAAAGTCGATAAGCCAGCTACCAGGTTGCCCGTACGTTTGTCTCCCGTTGTCTCTCCGGCTTCGACCACAACCACAACAAAGAGCAAATAGGTTAGGAGTTCAATGCTTCGATGAAGGGGTTTCACCATGGCGCGCTCATAGTGCTTGCAGTATTGATATGCCAGCTTGGTGATCCAGGAGTTGCACTATCTCGCACAGCGACTGGCCGCCTCCCGTTGACGCTGCCACTGTCGGGGTTGTCGTCGCCCCTCGTACTGGACCCCATTCTCGGAGCGAACAGAGAATTCAGAGCACCTGCAGATGCCGATATCAATGTCATCAACCAAAATGACATTGATTCCGTGGTACTGGCCACAACAACATCTGCCAATGAGAACAAACGCACAAAGTACAATGCCAATGCCAAAGTACACATTTGCAGAACAGCATCGGCATTACACCATTCGTGGTGCAGAGAGGCGATTGACGCAGCCGAGAGCGCTAGCAACAATTGGTCCACGGGAAGACATCATTTGTATCCCACTACAGATCAGCCCGCCGCAGATCTTCCAAACGGAGTGGGCGAAGCTACTCTGGATTTCGCCACAAATGTCATTCTCCCGGCCATTGCCATGGCATTCGACACACCGTTGGAACGGCTGTATTTCAAAGACATGTTCTTGGCAAAGTACGAGCCAACAGGACAACCAGGGTTGGGACGACACACGGACGGCAGTGCCTTTAGCTTTAACATGTTGTTGTCCGATCCGTCGACCGATTTCGATGGAGGCGGGACGTGGATTGAGCCAGTTGGTTTGGTCCAGCCGAATGGAGGCGAGGTATTGATGCATCGTGGGTCAGTGTTACATGAAGGATGTCCTGTCACCAAAGGTTCTCGGTATGTTCTGGTTGGATTTGTTCAGAGCGATGATGATGATGATGACGACGACGATGGCTACAGGAAGAGTGCTCTCGCTTCACAACTATTACAGATCACAATACCAAGTTTTCCCCTGGGGATGATTTTTGAGGTCGACGAAGGAGACAAAATCAAGTGTGCAATGGTAGCGCATGTTGAAAAAGGAGGAACAGCAAGCGAAGCAGGAATTAAAAAGAGAGATTGCCTGCGGGGTATCTTGCTGTCCCATGCCGAGTCTGACCAACATCTCCTAACATTTGACGGGAAAACACTTGACCAAGTTATGGAAATGATTCTGGACGTTGCGAGTAAAGACCTAGGGCCAGTGCAAATGATTGTAGAAAGATGGTGCTGAAAATCTCAAGACCAAGAATGAATGCACAGATCAATGGAGTACTGTACGGAGTTGTTTGAACTAGTGGCATTTGGCTAGGCTTCAAAGCTTCAAAGCAACCATGTTGATTTCCTGTCTGGGGGTAGTTTGGAGGTACTAGCCACGGATCTCACATCACTCTTCCAACCGAGAAGAAAGAGATCCACCAAGACTTGCCAGTTGTGTGAAGATTGGTGGATGTCGCGATGCTTGACGGTCGTATCTTGGGCAAAACTACACTGCCTTGCGGTGTTCTTCCGCACGAATGCCAGTCACTGGCTACTGCATCTAGATAAGACACCTGGCATTCGCTAGCCATGTCAATGGTGATAACCTGCTATTGACTCATCTGTAATGGGGCACACGGGCACACAAGCAAGGCCAGTGATCAGCATGCTGCCAGCTCCACCGGTACCAGCTACTAGCGAAGACCGCCCCTGATCCCACGGAATCTACTAGTCCCCGAATTTGGACTCTGCTTTACTTCTGAAGCCTGGCCCTCCCTGGCTCCCCTCTAGCTAGTAGCTGGATTATCTACGGGTTCATCTCTGCACCCAACCCCCTTCACCAGGAACCCATAATCGACAAGTTGCTTTGTCGATGAAACAGTCTGTGCGCCGTCGGATGTGTGAGTTTGCCGTTGCGTGCCTTTTTGTTCACGATCTCGGATCTGGCTGCCCCAACACAGTCACAATTCCGGTTGTGATGAGTGTCCGTGGGATCCTTGCTCTTCTGTTGACACTGGCTGCCTATGTGATCTGTTTTCTTGGCTTGGCGAAAGATGCCTTCAAGAGGCTCGACGAAATCGATCTTCCCATTCTGGGGTCTGCAATAGCAACACAGGAAGCAGCAGCCGGCATGTCAAAAGGGGTGGTACCGGCACAAAGAGAGCAGATACTGATCCAATCGAGAGCGTTTGAGAAAAAGACACCCGATCGGTTTCCTTGTTTCCTGGCACCCAAACGATGGTGGGCTGTGCCCAAGGATCCTTCCGAACTACCCACCGAGGGTTTCTTCTTTGTCAAGACACACAAAACTGGATCCTCGACATGTGCGGGGATCCATTTGCGCATTGCCCGGAATATGGCCGCTCGAAAATTTGGCTCGGCAACAGAAGGAGAAGGTCGTCCTGGACCAATGTGTCAAAGCCAATTTCATCATGCCCCCGCTCGTGCCATGAAGTATTCTGGACGCTCCAAAGAGGGATCCTTCTTGTGGACTGTGGTGCGAGAACCCACCCAAAGAGCCATTAGTGACTTTTTCCATTTTGGAGTTACTGGAAGAAGTCTGGAACCGACAGCCAAGGCATTGAAGCAGTACCTCGTTGAAAACCGAAAGGTAACGGAGGACTACTATTTGAAAATGCTGCAAGTGCCGGAAGACCGCAGAAATACCAAAAAAAGTGTGTGGACCAAAAAGAGACTGGACACAATCCCCGCGGCTGCCACCATGGCCCGGATTCAAGCTGTCATCAATGATTATGACTTTATTGGTATTACAGAAAGAATGGATGAAAGCATTGTGGCACTACAGATGATTTTGGGACTCCCTACGGCAGATGTATTGTTTCTGAGTGCAAAAAGCAATGGAGGATATGATGCTGGTGGTTGGAACAACACTTGTTTGAGAATCCATCCCAAAAATTTGACACCTGATATGGAAGCATTCCTTCAATCACCACTGTGGGAGTCCTATGTGAAGTGGGATCGGCTACTGTATGATGCTGCCAACCAAAGTCTAGACAAAACAATCCACACTTTGGGGCGAGAAGAGTTTGAGAAAAAGTTGGCCCAATTTCGGGAAGCACAAGATATTGTCAACAGGAGATGCCTTGGCCGTGTGCGCTTTCCTTGCTCGAGAGAAAGAGATGGGCTTCCACCATTGCGTGGCGGCCAGAGTGACTGTTTGTGGGGAGATTCTGCCTGTGGGATGGCGTGTCTGGACAAAGTGTCCGATAAACTGGGGCTATGGAACATGGTTGGCTAACAATACGAATGAATGAATTCGAACACGGCACAACATTATTTCATCTCTCGGAAAGAGCAAATATATACTTGAACAAGTCAGGTCGGGTGCCGGTGTACATGTCACGAGTGCCAGCGTATTAGGTACGCTTTCGTGCTGTGAGGCCCGCCACCCACGCAAAACAGTCTTTTGCAAGGAAACGAATCGAATCCACGAAGGCGATGAGATGCGATGCAAACAACACGAAGCCACCGTAGCAGTGAACGGTATGTCATAGCCTGGAACGGGGCCTTGATGTTCTTTTGGGTGGGGAGAACGGTGGCGTGAATCCGAAAGAGTTCAAATCCAACAATCTATGTAGACTCAATGGTGCTGCGGAAACGAACGTGCACACTGTACGGGGACCCTTTCGTAGGTACCGTACCGGTACGGGCAGTACGGTACCATAACTCAAAGACTGCAAATATCGTTCTCCTTCCTACCGTTGCTGAGCAATAGTTAGCTGAGCCAGGTAAGCGCTCATACTACATGTGTTCACACGACGACGATGAGCAAGATACTCTAGCTAGCTAGAGAGTCCATACGGTATCGACTAGGTAATCACCACGAGGATTGTGGCTCCCGCAAAGCCAAACCCTTGCCCCCCCCATCCAATGGTCCTCAATCTATCGCTCCTGATCCTACTGAACCCAGTCCTGAATTTCGATTAGTCTTTGCTCGAGCCTGGCCCTCGCTTGCTTCTGTAGATAATCCTCCTACTCTTTTTAAAAAACCCCGATTGTGGAGGACTGTGGTGGCTGGGTTATTGTGAAACGCGGGCTCTTGCACGAAATGGGCTGGGACCGCGCTGAGAGCGAAAATTTCGTGGCCATTTTTCGTGCCAAGCCGGATGATGGACAGACCAGCCAGTGCTCTTAAAAAAGACAGGGTCATCCAAACTTGAGTGACAGTCGGAGAGTCCATTGTTCCTTTGACTTTGCACCCCTCTGTTCCATGGGGAAATCAAGACTGCTCGAACTGTTGCAGCAATTTCCAAGTTCCTCACAACAACCTTGAAAAGCGAACAAGAGCTTTCAGGTTAAATCGTTCTCTCCATGAAGATTCACAAGGCAATGGCTTCGCTGTTGCTGCTAGCGGCTTATGCATTCTATTCCCTTGGAGGTGGACAAGTTTCGAAGGATGCAGAAGAGCAACAAAAAGGCCGTGTTCGCCAGGCAGCTTCTCGTGCAGGAAAACAACAAATCATCCAATCGAGGGCTTTTGAGCGGAAACCACTAGATCAATTTCCTTGTGTCCTACAAAGTCCACATGCACAATGGTGGATGCCACCAAAACAAGGAGCCGACAAGCCAAAGGAGGGTTTTTTCTTTCTAAAGACAGAGAAAACTGCCTCCTCCACCAGCGCTGGAGTCCACTTGCGCATTGCTCACAACATGGCTGCCAGAAAGGTGGGAAAGTCATCACCCCCCATTGCCACGCCGATGTGCCTGGTACAGTTCAGTCATTCAAATGCTCTCCAGATGGGCTATGCTGAAAGAATCAAGAAAAAGTCATTCTTATGGACCGTTGTGAGGGAACCAAGTCAACGCATGATTAGTCACTTCTTCCATTTTGGTGTGACTAGACTGAACTGGGAACCTACCGCACGAAACTTCAAACGGTGGCTCTTGGAGCCTAATAACATGGCCGATAACTATTATCTGAGAAAGCTGAGAGTGACCAAACCCAACATATCAGTGCAAAACAGCACGCAGGAGCAGCATCAGCATCAGCAGCAACAACAATCAGAATCATCACATCATAATGAAATATTGGTTGCTGATACATTGGTTGCTCAATCTTGGCAAGCCTTGATTGATGAATATGATTTCATAGCTGTCACGGAACGAATGGAAGAATCGATTGTGGCGCTGCAGATGATCTTGGGACTGAGTACTGCAGATGTTATGTACCTAAGTGCCAAAGAAAATGGGGGCTATGAGGGTGGTGGTTGGAACAACACGTGTCTCAGAATCCATCGAAGGAATGTTACACCTGGCATGGAAGCCTTTCTTGGGTCACCCCTATGGGAATCATATGTAAAGTGGGACCGTCTATTTTATGAAGCTGTAAACCAGAGTCTGGACAAGACCATCCAAGCTTTGGGCAGAAAAGCCTTTGAAAGAAACTTGCAACGATTCAAACAAGCCCAAGATGTTGCACACAAGCAGTGTCGTGGCAAGGTTCGCTTCCCTTGCTCAACTGCAAGGGATGGCCTCCCACCATTGCGTATGGGAGAAAGTGACTGCTTGTGGAACGACTCTGCTTGTGGCATGTCTTGTATTGATGATGTGGCCAATCAACTGGGACTCTGGGAAGCAATCAGTTGAGAACCCGATGTTTTGCAACCAACAAAGTTTGCGTCTGATTACCGGGTTCAGACTGCTGCTACATGAACACACAAAGCACAAAGACGATCAAACTGATTGGCTTTATTAATACCCACGTTATCGCTCCAGGGAGAGACTAAAGAAACGACTGCCTTCCAAGTAGCTGTGGCGCAAATGTGGCCTGCCGTGTTGCTACCGCTGGACGATCTCTGGGCACCGTTGTTCAATCAAAAGTCAAAAGATGACACGTACAAGTATGAAAGATGCGCAGTTTTACTAGTACCAGTAGCTTGCATTTTAGTCCTCCTTTCCTTTGACTTTATCCACAGCGTCATCAAAGTCCTCCTCCTTGTCGGCGGCGTCAAACCTGTTTTCGGAACAAAAGGAGATTGAGATGGAGAGAGCTTGGGAGCCGAGCAAGAAAATCAAGCTGCATGGGATGGTCTCGTTCACAACACTATGCCATACTGGACTCACATTTCAAACATTTCCTCCAAGTTCAGATCAAGGCCCTCTCCCTCTGCTGGTTCGGAATAGAGCTTGGTTGATGCGTGGCTTCCAGGGAACGCTGAGGGTGCGAAGGCAGAAACCGAAGTGGTCAAGGCGAGCAAAACAATGGAACAAGTGAATCTCATGGTGGCTGGATGAATCGAATCTGTACCCTATAAGCTTCTAAGTGTTGTACGTGCTGTTGGCGTCGCTGGTAAGAGACTTTTATGGTGGCTTTTGGGGTGCCCTGATGTGCCATCTTCATGGTGAAGATGTTCTGGAAGTGGTTCCACGCGGAAAGATTCAAAAGTCTGACTCAGTGATTTAGAGATAAAGTTTTAAAATTGACCATCGGCTGAAAGGGACTTGCCGGCGCCTCACGTCCGACCAACCGAAAAGTGCATCCAATGCAAATAATTCAGGTAGATGCGGTAAAACCAAATAAAATTCGTAGTGAAATATTGTTTAGCCTTACCAGAACTACCTCCTTGGGAAGGCATTGTGCGAAACGGAAAAGTGGCTTCTCACATTTCGTCATTTCTTTTCTTCAGCAACAACTCTCGAGCCATTCGCCATTTCCATTCTCCAGCAACAGCACACAAAAAGAGCATTCTGTCTTTGGCGCCAGCGCTTTCAGCTCTCTAGAACTCACACGCAACCATGTCGACTAAGGCTGAGGAGGTTCCCCTTTCAAAGGCATTTGCCTTGTTGGCGGATGAAGAGTACTGCGATGTCTCTTTGCAGGGCACTGATGGAGGGAAAATCCGTGCCAATCGCATGGCCTTGTCTGTACGCAGTCCATATTTCAAGACAATGTTCAAGAAAGGAGCATTCAAGGAAGCTGACAAGGATGTTGTGCCTATTGGTTTTTCCAGCTTTGTTCTAAAGGCCATTGTGGAATATGTCCACACTGACACTGCCAGTATCTTGGCGGAGATTGTCGTTATTGATAATGGTGCTGTTTCCTCTTCTAAGATTTCCGCAGAAGTTATGGAGAAATTCCAAGCGTTGCTTTCATTGACAGAGGCGGCCATATATGTTGATCTCCCCAACCTCTGGGAAAAGGCTCAGAACTGCCTTGAGAGCTTGCTACGTGCATATCCATGCTTTGGTATTTCCATCTTGGCAGCCTCGAAACACGGGGGTCCAGTGATATCCGGGGAATTGAAGAACCAAGCCTGCAGAAGTATCGGCCTGAGCAAGTCAGGAGCATTCAATGAAGATGTCCTTGGCGGTATAAATGGTAGCCTTCTAGCAGCTATCCTGAGGGACGATGGGGTGACGCTTGGTGACGGGGTACGCTTCAAGTTGATCGTTGGCTGGTCCAAGAGCGAACCATCCATTCTTGGTGGTGGAACTAAAGAGGATCGTCAAAAAGCAGCCAAAAACCTGGTGCAAAACCACATTGAGCTTGAATTCATTGACCCAGATGACTTGTCTTCTTTGGTTGCAACGTCGGGGCTAGTGACAACGGAGCAACTCTGCAATGCTTTCCAGCGGCAGGCAAAGAGAGCCAAGCACAAGCACAAAGTTGCCTTTGGAAGAACTGGTTTGCGTGGGTACAGTTATGCTTGGAAATGTGCCAAGTCCATCACTATGACAGCATCACGCGGAGACCCATGGAGTTTTGACACCCTGGAGTGCCAGCCCCTGACAAAGGGAAAGTTTCAGTGGACGATTACCTTGGATTCATCCGGTAGGTCTGAAAACCGGGCCACTTGGCTTGGCGTAGCTGAAACTTCTGCCAATCCGAGCTCGCGAGAGTTTGGAGGAACTCAAAAGGGTTGCTGGGGAGTCCATGGCTGCTACGGAGGTGCTTGGTCCAATGGTGCATTAAAGCCTGTTGCCTACTTTGGCCCCACCGCCAAGTTTGGAGCAGGAGCGACTGTGACTGTTATCCTTGATTTGTCAGTGGGCAACTTATCAAATGGGTCTTTATCAATTTCTGTGAATGGCCTGCCATTCATTGAAGCTGTTTGCAATTTGAAAGCAACACTTAAAGGGAGCACTGGTGGCTTGGTGCCAGCTGTGTCCACCACTGTTGGCAGTGCCACAATCGTGGACTATGAAGAGGTCTAGCTTTCTGTGGTTTAGCATAAGTAATCTCAAAAGTGCATAGGGAAGAATGGTTGTTTACACCTTGCCCGTGTAAGTTGACAAACCCAAGACACCATAGCTTCATGTGGTCGCTTCTCTATGGATGTACCAGAGGCCCACTGTACTTGCATCCATCCTCTATTTCTGCCATTGTGTTGCTGAGAGCCCATTGGCGCTGGAATGAAGTGATCTTGATCTGGGCCTGACACTGCTCGTAGTTGCTAATGTGTTGGGGTTACGCCTCGTAAAGTTGCTGCATGTCCGTCTTCGACTGACTCGACTCTTTTACGTAGGAGTGCTGATTGATTCAGAAGCTGGGAAGACCCCGAACGTTTGGTGATCCAGCAGACCTGGTCATTTATCCCAGCTTCTGGGACCATGGTTTGAAAACGCTGCCTTATTACTAGTACCTAAGTGTGGGTTGAAATCGCTAATTACCAGGGACGGAGGGAGCAATGACTTGTGGCGTAGCCCATTCAAAAGTACAAGTGGAACAGCAACACAATGCAACAATTTAGTTGCGTAACTGCAGCTGTAGTTGAAAGAGCAAAGCTGCTTGATGCCGGGTCCTCAGTGGAGCCTTCTGAGCTAGAACTATCGGATGCTGGCACGCCCGAAGCCGTTGACTCGTTGGCATTGGATTTGCCTGGATCGCTCTCGGACTTGGATCGGTTGGAGCCATCATAGAAGTCATTCATCATGGAAACGTTGCTTTGCCAACTCAAACAGGCAGAAAGGTTGTAAACTCGAACGTGGTTTTGCTGATTGGAAGATCGGAAACGTGACGCAGATCCCGTTGCCATGAGAGTGCCGTCTTCGTTCAATGCTACAGACTGCCCAAACGAATGCAAAGTGATATCATAGTCGTCTTCGCCTAGACGTGTAAGGTAGTAGCCTTTGTCCGCAAAGACTAATCCCCATTGACGAACTGCATCGTCGTATTCAAACAGCCGAACGCGGGATCGTTTGCGCTCGAAAAAGCTCCCCACAGCCAGACGCTTGCCATCCCCAGAAAGAGCGAGCGAAAACCCAAAGGCTTCGTCTCTATTCCCAACAGAGAAGCGATCTCGCAACGTCCAAGTATCGTCTTTCTTTTGGTACACATTGACAGCACCCACCGCGGGAATGCCGTAATTATCTCTGGACAGAATGCCAGCGGCAGCTAGAACGGTGCCATCGGCATTCAACGACGTGGCAATGCCAAGATTGCCGTCCTCATTTGGGACACCCAGAAACTCGGCTTGCAAGGTCCAATCACCGTTGCTAAACCCAAAGATCCGAACTTGTCCTTCTCTCCCTCTCGTATCCTCCGCCGCGTCCACTTGGCTATCACCCACCGCCAATACATGCCCTGATCTGGACAAGGAGAACGTGCCGAATGGAGTCTCTAGTGAAATATTGTTCCCCATGCGTATCCATTCCGAGTCATTGTCGTTGAGGGCAAATGCTTGAACCGTGAAATTGCTGGCGGTGCCTTTGTCGTCCACTTGATACATGGCCGCGACAATAATTCTTCCATCGCCATTAAAGACAATGCCTCCCATGCCCGCTTCAAATTTGATACCTTGGATACTGGGAAGCTCTCTTGCCCATGGCAGCACAATATTGTCGTCGTCGCCGTTCTTTCGAAAAATGTTGGCAGTCGTTGTTGCATTGACGTGGTTTTGGTTTTCGTTTTCGTACAACAACTGAAACACTCGAATAGTGTCGGGGTCCTCGTCAGTGTCTCCTTTGGACAGTACAGCAGCCATGGTGCCATTGGCCGTCAAAATGACATCTTGATGCTGCGTCTCGGTAAAATTATCCTTTCCAGTCTCCACCAGAAGAGGTTTGTTTGGATCCTGCGAGTTGTTGTTGTTCCAATCCGAAACATCCCAAAACTGGACCACGCTCGTGTCTTTTCCTTCAAAGCCAACGGAATCCTCAAATGCCAGCAAGTTTCCGGACAATGCCAAATGATACACTTGACTGGAACTGTTGAATGTAATGGAATAATTTTCTTCGCAAGACGAAGTATTGGGAAAGGGAAAGACTGGGACTGATTGATTGTGTTGGCAGATGCTGCTGTCATTATGCACAATATCATAGACCCGAAGATGACTTCCCCAGTGACCCACAGCCAACCGGGTAGCATTGTCGTCCATGGCAATGCCATTCCCCAGACTCCCATTGTCGTCTGTTCCCGGAATAGTGGCCATGGTTTCCCACGTGTTGCTGTTGTCAGTGTCATTATTGTTGTAGTGCAAGAGAGTGACTCGGTCTGTGCCTGTTCGATTGGTAGCATTCCAGAGAGGAGTTCCAATGGCCATCCAGTTCCCATTGGCGGAAAGGGATACAAATGTACGATTGTTTCCAGTTTCCACAACATCTCGCAGCACCCAATTACTCTCGCTCTTGGTTTGTTGTTGTTGGTACTGGTAAACACTGACGGCAGGGTGGTTGGATTGATTGTTGAATGCTCCCACGGCAACGAGACTGCCATCATGATTGATTGCCAAGGAAAGCCCGGGCCACGCCCATCTCGTGCAACCGAGGCTGTATCCCCACTCGTCCAATTCGATATCCCAATTGTGTGCCGTTCCATTGTACGAACGACGAAAGATTCGGATATGGGCTTTGTCACGGTATCCTTCTTCTGTTTCACAGGCATCATCGGCCGCCACCAGAACATTCCCCAAGGCGGACAAGACCAGTGTGCTGGCACTTGCTCCCGACACTCGCTCTATCACTTGTGGCGGTGGTGGTGGAGAAGAAGCGCTGAGATTATTGGCGTAGAAATCAGTATTGTGGATAGGAAACAATCCGACATCGTTTCTCCATCCTTGTGGTCCTGGTTTCAAGAACGAGTCCATCAAGGATGTCGCCAAGAGAGTGCCATTGCCATTCAACGCCAATCCTCCCACACTGGCTTCCATATCTGGAATGGAGTCTCGTAAACTGTGCGCCACAACTTGCGCCCTTGTCACTGAAAGTGTATGGTTGTTGTCTTTGTCTTTTACAATTCGAAGCACGGAAACAGTCCCCTTTTCGTTGGCGACGGCTACCACACGTCCCTGATCCGCCAAGGCTACCAATTCCATGTCATAGCCAAATGTATCACCCACTTGTTGTTGCATTGCAGTATCAGTATCACCATTCAAGTGAAAAATGCCGTTGCGATTCCGAGCCACGATATTCCCCGAGATTTGGACCACGCCCTTCCACCCGTTATTGGCACTGGAATGATAGGCCGCCCGATCATTGTTGGTCAAATCCACTCGAGGCGCGAGGCATACTGCTCCTGACACACTCGTTGTTGTCACCAAAAGCACTACAACAACAACAAGAAGGATCGACATGTCAGCACAAGAGCAAAGGAAGCCATGCTCTGGTTTGCCTCGATCCTTTCACACAAACACGATCTGTTCGGCCTTTCCAGCACCTCTCTCTCTCCAACAGGAACTTGGTGAGAGGGAAATAAAGAAGCTAGCTGATCTGCTTTTAAGCCCTTTTTGTCCCCCTTCGGAGTTCTGTCATAGACTCGAACGAACGGTATCGCTACTGGAACCAATCCTTTCTCAGCCGGAGAGGCAGAAGAAGACGAAGTACCAGGCTCAGTGCACTGCACAACGCCGCCACTTCACCCCCTTTGTTGTTTCTGCTGATGGCCTCTTTGCTGCCGAAGCTACTGCTGTTCTCCAACGGCTCTCCCAGCTTTTGGCTCACAAGTGGTCCAAGCCCTACTCTGTGGTTCGCTCTTTCATCTCGGCCAGGTTGAGCATAGCTCTTGCCCGTGCCACGACATTGTGTTTGAGAGGCTCCCGTGTCTCCGCTCTCAAGGTTTCCAAGCGTTGGGATGACTGTGGTGCCCTCGATCTCTTCCGCTAGTCCTGCTCCTTTGCTCCTCCCTGCCCTCCTGCCTTCACCCCAATCCTTGGTTTCCATGTTGCCCTGCTTGCGCACTTGATTGCCTGCCTTGCGTTCCTGCGTCGTGCCCCCCTTGACCTCTGTCTCCATCCTCCTCTTAGCTCTCTCTAATCCATAGTAAACCCGATTCATCCTACTAGTACACTCTCTGCGCCCATCCTCATCGTGTATCCCTCCGACTCATAGTAACTTTCCCCGTTTTATCAGTTGATTGACCACCATGTCTAATAACAATAATAACAACAACACTACTGATGATGTCGATATTCTCAAGATTGTGGAGTTGAGATTGCAGCTACGAAATTCAGAAAATTGTCAAGAAGAAGACGAGTCAGAACAAAGAGCTGATGCTGCTCGTCTTGAGACAGCTGGAGACTTGGAGCTAGTAGAACTCACCGAAAAAATTGGCACAACATCACAGATGATCGATAACAGCCAAGACAGAACCACAGATGATGCACAGGTGCCACAACCTACCATTCTAACAAGACAACCCGAATTTTCTAGACAACAACCAAGTAATCCTGGGGCATATGCCGTTGATGGTCCAGGTCTTGCTAACGACAGAGAAAATCATTCGAATGGTAGCTCCGGTACGAGTGAGGAAGGCCTGGACAATTGGGTTGAAGAAATTGCAGATGATGAAGTCATTGCACATCCTATAGACGATGATCAGCAGATAGGCCTGTTACCCAATGCAGAACCACTACCAATCAACCAGAGATCCAGAGCCTACTACTGGAGGCAAAAGTTGCTTTGTTCCCTTTCCGCTGAGGTCATTGTGGCTTTCCTTGCTGTATTTATCTTTGTCCTAATTTTTGTGCTGACATCCAACAAAGGAAACATAAATCAGCTACCAAATCAAAATGAATCAATTCGTATTCCTGAAAAACCTGTGGAAGCTGCAACAGCACAGACCTTTTTGGAGTCACTCAATCTACCTCACTACACACTAAAGGCACTGGCAAACTCCAGGTCTCCTCAGTCCATGGCCTATCAATGGTTGGTCAACAACATCAACAACCAAACCACCACTCAACCAGATCTATCAAAATGGAGACTGATACAAAGATTTGCTATGGCCACATTCTACTATTCCACGAAAGGGGACTATTGGGTGCAACGTCGTGGCTGGTTGGATTGGGAGACTAATGAATGCAGCTGGGAACAAATATTTTTGAAACGAACATTCTCTCCTGACCTTAGCTGTAATGAGATGGGAGAAATCAAAGCACTGGAATTTTAGCATGCCAATAACATGGAAGGAACAATTCCTCCGGAGATTTCCTTACTGGGGAAAAGTTTGCAGTCAATCACCGTGAATCTGCAATTGGAACTCAAGGGAACCATCCCCACTGAGTTTGGACTTCTGACAAAATTGACTGGATTGGTTTTGAGTACAATAAGCATTGATGGCTCCATTCCAACCGAGTTTGGTCAACTGCAGAGTCTCCAGAAGCTTCAGGTTCTTGTGACACCAATTCATGGGCACATTCCTTCTGAGATTGGACTACTGCGCAACTTATCGTCATTCCTTGTGGGAACAGCTGATCTAACAGGTATGTGTGCTTTGTTTTCCGGTTTGGTCAGCAGAATGGAAGCCTGATGTTGTCATTCAATCTAGGTTCAGTACCATGCGAGCTTTACAAATTGCCTGGTCTGCAGTCTCTGATAATTCATGAGTGCCCTGGGCTGGAAACTGAATACATCCTTCAAGATGTCATTCGCAACACAAGACAGCTTCGTAGGCTTATGCTATCAAGCCAAAGCAGTGGGACAGCAATGTCAATTCCATGTAAGCAGGCATGCTAGCATGACATGTGGAAGGGTGGTTGCAAACAAGGATGACTCACTTTCTAGACTGCTTTTGATACAGCTGAAATTGGCAAGCTGACAGAACTGAAATTCCTCACTTTGAGGGACTGGAAAAATCAGGGCACTATCCCGAGTGAGCTTGGGCAGTTGACAAAGCTGGTAAGGAAAGTCCGAGCAATCATATTTGACTTTGAATAGATTACGGTATGCAAGTACACTGATCTTGCATATACATATCAACAGACCGCCCTGGACTTGCATGGGAACTCTGTCTCTGGCATTTTGCCACGTGAGGTCTTTGAACTGACAGGTGAGAGCAGAGACATGCGGTTGTGTTGTATCGTACTCGTGTTGACCTTTTCCACCTGAATTCACCTTTGTTTGCTTTTCTCAGAGCTGACAATCTTTGATGTTGGCTCCAACCAGTTGGAAGGAGCAATGCTCCCTGCTCTTTTTTTCAAACTTTCCCACTTGAAGTTCATATACATCAACAACAACCTGTTCTCGGGCACTATTCCTACTGAAGTGGGTCAACTGTCTGGTCTCAGGATACTAGAATTTCAAAGTACCAACCTTCTGGCACCCTCCCTACAGAAATACTTATGCTGGAGAACTTGACCAGCTTGGTAGTCACCGACACATCCTTGCGGGGCAGCATCCCTGAAGAGCTGTGTGACAGAATGTACGAGCAGAAAACGAAATGCTTCGGTCCGTGTAAAGTCTTGTCAGTGAAAACCAACACAACAGTCTGCCATGGAACTTCCCTGTGTGGCTGTGATTGTGGTCATTGCAAACGAAACTAGCCAGTGTGATGCAGTTACTCATTTGCGCAGGGGCAAATCACATTCACACCGAGACACCCAAGACTTGGATATTCAAGTAGTTTCAATTGCCCCAAGTGAATTGCGAAAAGCCATGCGAAAGCCAGCATCGGGGCAAGCATCATTACTTCTCTGGAGCTCTAGAGGATCCCACTCCTGGAGCCCCACTTGATTCCTCCTTTCAGAAAGCAGCATCGCTTTGGATGAATGTGTATGGAGACGCAGCTACAAATCCAGAGAAGGCCACCTGTGGCCTCCGCGGAACTACATCCACTTTCCGGAAGAGCAGAAACAGGTCCAGCAAACGTGGTAGGACCATGGTGAAGCGGGCCATCGGCCATCAAAAGCTGCAGGATCGTCGTGAAGCGGTACTCCAGGATCAAAAGCTAGAACAGAAAACACGACTGCAATTTGGGCTTCATCTAGCAAGAGTCAGTCAGGTAGAAGGAGCGGAAAAAGCCATCCGCCGAAGAGCAAGACGCTTGTTGCCTCAGGGCGGGCTTGGTGGTTGTGACTGAATGTGTTGCTGTTGTTGTTAGTGCACCTGCTTGGTCGCAGGGTCGCGGACTCGGAGGGCATAGTTTGGTTTGGCATTGTGTTGCCTGTTTTGGTCGTTCCGTGTATAAAGTGGCGCTCCTTTTAAAAACTAGCAAGTCAGGCAGCACCACCACTGACATGCAACCGTTTCGGTCGATGGTGGTGGCGGATGCAGCGGGTGTTTCCTTTTAACATACAATTTTCATTAGTACTTGAAACCTTTCTTTGTTTTTGGCAAGACGCAACCGAACGTATTCAACATACCACGCGGCACGAAACGATCGATTCATAGAAGCCATAAATCCTACTATCCAAAATTGCAGAGATTACCAATAGCTTGTCTCCATTCCTGCTTCGCAACCCACCAGTCTCTCATTTTATTCATTTCTGCTTTTGTTGGAGAGTTTGGAGTACCTTTTTGGCCATTTTCAGGTACCGTTTCTTCATTTCTTCCGCAGCAATACGGTATGGATTGTGGGGGTCACTGTTGTAGAGCACCGCATTGCTGACCATCAAATCCACATCGGCAAAGAATTCCTTCAACGTTTTGTATTCCATCTTGTTTACTTTTTGTTGAATGTACGTCAAGTTCATCTGTGGAAACATCGAGAAAAAAAGAAAGAGGCAAATAATATGGTTGGTGAGATCAAGCGCAAATTGCATAAGACAGTTTCCCGCTGTGCTGATGATTGATTTTGCTCACCGGAGTATTAATGACATCAAAATAATCCGGTGCCCCCATGGCGGCACAATTGGCTCGATCAATGACAATGCGGAATGGATTGGTGGAATTGAGATTGACAAATTCCATGTCCCACAATTTCTTGAAAATGGGACTGTAGAGTTTATGAAGCGCCTGTTCGGGTGTTTCGGCGGCCTTTCGTTTGCGCGCCAATTCTTCTTGTGCACGTTGTCGTTCTTCCTCTTCGCGTCGTCTCCGCGCCGCTTCTCGAGCTCGTGCTTGTGCTCGCTGTCGTTCCAAATCGGCATTTTGTCGTGCGGCTTCCGTCTTTTCGGCGGCCGATGTGGGGGATTTGCTTCCACTTGTGTTAGTAGTACGATGATGATGATGATGATGATGATGCGTCTTTTTCTTTTCCGCTTGCAGTGTCATGGCAATCCCTTCAAAGTGTTTCTTGCGCTCGGTTTCGTCCATTCCGTTGCGGGCGGGAATGGCCGCCAGTGTGGCTTCCAACAGACCCGTTTGTTCGTGTTCCTTGGCTTCGCGCAACGTCAAGGCAGCTCTCATTTTTTCTTCTTCCAGTGGTTGTCGTTGGGCAATGCGATCGTAGGGATCCTTTCCTTCGGTGACAGCTAAGAATCCTTCCACTCGTTCGCGCAATCGAGATCCGACGCGACGGTAAAACTTGTCCTTGACCAACACGGGCCGTCGCGTCGTCACGGTGCCATTCAGAATCAAACGTTTGTAGTTGGGGTCCAATGGTTCTCGTCGATTCAAGGACTGCAGTGCTTGACGTAGACTCTTGCGGAGGTCGTCTTCATTCTGACCACTCTTCTTGGGAGATTCCGTTGCCATGGTTGTATTTAGACAGATAGATTCTAGTATAACAACTAACCAAGATACGACTGTAGAGACACAATAATGGCATGAAGGCTCGGAGCGTGGAGCGAGCTGCTGTTTGGGTCAAAGATTTGGTTTGATCCTTTCTACGGTTGGGTTGGGGTTCACAGAGAGCCAACACAGGCTGCATGGCGTTTGGACTCCCGCACTGTGCAGTAATCCCACGGTACTGGGACCGAACCAAGCACCTTCCAAGGTGCCTTTGCCTTCGTTGCATACTACCTGGTACAACCGACGCATTTACAGGTTGCCTTGGTTGCACGGTACGGTGGCAGGTCAAGGGCGGTCTAGCTAGCAGCTACTAGCTAGAGTGGAGGAGTTATACGGAAGCCGGCAGGGGACCAGGTTGGTTCAACTCTACCTACCAGGCACTTGAACTGCAACAGCACCTTGCTAACCCCCGTTCGAACTGGCTCGTGGAGGTATTGTCGTGTCCTGGGAGCAAGCAATGAATAGCAAGAGTAGAAAGCTCACAAAACCAAAAAGCAACAAACAAAAACACAACAAACAAAAGGGAAACTTACGACAGCGCTACCTTATCCCACAAGCAACAAGAACCACTGCAAAACCAAAACCAAAACCAAAACGCAAAACTACCTCTCTCTATCTACCGACAAACCAATCAAGAACAACAAAACCATGAAATTCTCTGCTATGATCCTCCAAACTGGTGTCATTGCATCTCTCCTTTTGCACAGCGGGGAAGCTCGTTTGGGAAACAAGAATGATGATAGTAACAAAGCACGGGCACTGGATAGTACATCGCCCCAAGACTGTGCAACCGCGTTGCAGTCATATCGGGATAGCAGCGGAGAAACCTACACTCAAGTTCAGATGGCATGTCTGCAGTCTCCAACCTGTGCTGCAGCTGCTCCAATTTGGATCCCAAATCAAGGCGCCGCCCCGATGCACATTGCCTGCAACTTTACGGAAACAACTGCCCAAACCGAGTTTAGTGACTGCGAGACACAAGAATCGGAAGTGTCCTCCGCATTGGGCAACTTGGTGGACTTTCCAGTGCGCAATGACGCCATCGGCCCCGATGTGGCTCTTTTAAAGCTCTACAATATGGAAAACACAAACTACCACAATGACATGGGAATCGAATGGGGCATTACCAAGGGTTGTAATAGTGACAACCATGTGTATCTTCTCTACAAGAACAGAGAGGATGGAGGAGAAGAGGGACTGTATACTGTGGTTGGATACCAGACCTTGGAAACCTTTGTAAACGGAGAATTTGTCCATGGTAAAGGATTTGTGGAAGGAGAAGGTGTCAGTGGCATTGCCCCTGGAAGTGATTGTCCCTTTGGTCATGAGAAGTCACTTGAGTTATTGGGATCCTGTCAACTGGTAGAAGAGGAATCAGAGGAATCAGAGGAATCTGGAAACAGTAAACTTCTCAAGTCTCCGGACAGGCTAAGGTTAGAGAGTGGAGACGTCAAGGCTCCGAAAACAAAGGTTGCCGCAGCCAATAGTGCAGGTGATGAACAGGGAGCAGCAATCCAGGCAGCAAACATGGCAAATCCTCAAGACTGTGCCGCTGCATTGCAGACATATCGTGAAAGTAGTGGAGAAGCCTACACCCAGGTACAGTTGGAATGTGTGCGGTCATGTGCTGCTCCAAGTCGTCTTGTCGATGCTGTTGCCATGCAGAAAGATACCTCTGCTATTGTGTGCAGCTTTACAGAACAGACAATCCATTCAGAATGGAGCAACTGCGAGACAACTAGCACCCAAGAAGAAAAGGACTTGGGCAGCTTGACTTTCACTGCAACAGTTAATGATTGGATGACTGGCTTCCCAATGATTAAAAATGTGCCCGGCTATGACTCCACTGAAAGTATGGAATGGGGTGTCACCATGGGCTGTGGCAATGATGAGCATGTCTATCTCTTGTACAGGAATAGCAATGATGAAGGAGAAGATGCTCTGTACACTGTTGTCGGGTACCAAACCTTGGAAGCTTTTCTGCAGGAACGTGAATTGGTTGATGGAAAGGCAGGGATTAGAGGGGAAGGAGTCAGTGGCATCGCTCCTGGCAGTGATTGCCCCGTTGGACGCGACGATACAACTGACTTGTTGGGATCATGCCAATTCATGGGTTAAGTCCTTCATTACTGGCCAGTATTGCAGCTCGGAAGACGAAGCAAGCAACTGTAGGCGGTGCGAAGTAAAACCTATAAACTAAGTCCAAAACAACTAACCGCCAACGAACAACTTGCACTGCAGCCCTGATTGATAAAAGTACAACCCCTGGGGCAACACTTTTGATAAAGGCGGTCCGCCCAACACCACTACTTGAACCAGAGTCGTCGCTCCATGGTCTGCTTGTTGTCCAACGGCGACACCGACATTTTGCCATATCCGCGGCTTTCCTTTGTCTTGCAACCAAACTTCAGAAGTGGTACCTGTAGGCAACATCCGCAAGGTTGTCGTGCTGGGCGGAACAGCAGCATCAATTTGGGTACTCTCCCTATCTTTCGCAATCATCAGTACTTTAACTTGAGCAGGGATCGTCGACGAGGTATTCGCTGCAAGGGCACGAGCAGAACTGCTGGATTCACGGCCAAGAAGAAGAAGACAATATCCAACTTGTCTCGGTTTGCGATGATGGTCTCTATCCATTCTTGGTAGGAAGCCATGCCATTAAGCAAGCGCTTGCGACCTGCTCTGTTGATTGCCAGATTCAACTGCAAGACCTTGTTCGCGGTGAGCACACTTTCGTCACCGTGAATCACAAGGTACTCGAGGGTATCGTTGTCTTTGAGCGCCTTGGCAAACGACATGGCAACACATGGTGGCATTTCCGGTACGCCTCTCAGATTCTGTTCTTCCAAATGCAGCTCCAGTCGGCGGAGCGTACGGTTGTGTTTCAAAGCTTCCGCAAACGAGAGTAAATTGTGCCTCCAAACGGCCAGGGAAAGGCTTTCCAACGTGCTATTTGTAGCCAATGAGTTAATGATTGTATGTATGGTTCTTTGTGTTCTGAGAAAACTTTGACCATATCGGTTTACTTCCAACCAGCTTGGTGGTCTTCTTCTTCTGATGTTGTGGACAACCTGTCGTATACCCTTGAGAACATGGAATGGCTGTTGCACTGACAGATGCTTCAAGCTCGAGGAGAATGACCATAGTTCTTCCAGGGCGACACAGAACGATTCAAGGCGCTGTCCTCGGGGTATTCTGATGTCTAAGCTCACAGATGTCAGTTGGGGGCAGGTAGATAGAAACCGAATAAAGTCCCGGAACCCTTCCTGGTCACACAGTCCAGTAAACGTCAGCTCTAGATCCTTCAAAAATATCTTTTCCAGGATAGGGTGATCCTTTATAGCTTCTGCGAGAGCCTCCCCGTGATCCCCTTGCAGATAAACGTTGCAAAGATGAAGACTGACGAGGGTATTTCGTGTCTGCTGTAGAATGAGAGACAGGGCAGTGACCGGGATCTCAAACAGCAGGTCTTCCACTGTAAGACTGACGAGAGGCCAACAACCCCATTGCCTGTCTCCCAAGTACGTCCCACTAAACAATACCCAAACCAAAGTGTCCTCATGTTGACGTGCCCCCGTTTCATTGTAGGCTTTGCTCCGAATTCGAAGATTCCGAGGAAGCGTCGATCTCTGGTTCGATTCCACTATCGTTTGTAAGCACTCCAATGCAGAGGAAAGGTCATCTCTGCTTCCAATATCTAACGAGAGAGTCTGGGAATAGTGGTCTGCCATGGTCGAGGAGTGCATCATGGCTCGAGCTTACTTATACAATCGTTCTGCTGTAGCTAGCCATCGTGATGAGGTTGCTTCTTTTGTTCTGTTTTGTGTCGTGTGTGGATTGAGATCTTTGTAGGGATGGGGATAGAAAAGACAGCCGGAAGGGCTGAAATACATCTTGTTAGCCGTCTTGTCGTGTCCTCACTCAACAAACGAGCTTGGATCCCTCCCCTCGAGCTCTGTCCCCATCCTCATCTTAGCTCTCTCTAATCCATAGTAACTTCCCTCTTACTACAAACGAGCTTGGATACGGTAGAATGCACACCGAAGCAACCTGTTCACCTCCAACCCACATGAGGCCGCTCGTCGCGATGACAGCTGAAAGAAACCAACCAAACTAGTCCAATGGTGGTAGCTGTGGCGGAGACCTTCAAGTTATTGTATTTGTTCGCCACAGGATGAAGTTTGACTGTCAAGTTGGGTATCGCCGAGTTTGCGCGAGCTCCTCCGAGCCTACAATGAGATGACTCAGTGCCAAGCCGCGCTACTTCCTTGCAGAAATTGCGCTAAATTGTTATCATAAAGTAAAATATTCAAAATTTCACAAAACATGAAGAGTGGAGCCACAGCCATTCAATTGACAGTGGATTGAAGACTGGGCCCACTTGTAGGGAGCAAGCAATGACCTTTCTAAACGGACAACTCCCCTTCAATGTCTACCTCTTCCATTTCTGGAGTGTCTTCGGAGCATGTACTCTTTGAGTCTTGAGGGAAAACACCCATGGCAAGTTCTGATTCTTGCTTTTCCAGCTGATTGGTCGTGTCAACTGCAGCATCAGCAAACCAATCGGCAAAGGCCTGGTTGGTTTCTTCATCAACAATGGGAGGCTTCAAGGTGGGATCATTTCCATACTTTTGGGCAAAGTAGAGAATCGCAAAGGTGGCAGCCAACATTGCATAGCCAACAGTAAACATCCATTGTTCCCCGTGGTCCCAGCACTCAACAGAGCTCGTGCACACTTCCAACTCCTCTTCTCCTGTACAGGATGTAACTGTGCTGCATTGTTCCCATGTAGGCTCGGAGAAAGTATTAAATCCAGCCTCAGGAACATGGATGATTCCGAAAAGAGCAAAGCCAGCTCCAATCAAGGACCAGACAGCTGCCATGGACCAGTGACGATCAATCACTTTAACAAGCATTGCCACCCACACAAAGGACACCAAGAGAGCACCTCTCTTCCAGGCCAAGACTCCAAACCAGCTGTCCAAGCCTGTCACATTGATGTTGCCTCCAAATTCATCTTGGATAGGGCTCCTATTCGCAACATTGACAACCCAGTCATAGATGGAGGGGAACAGACTGTTTTTGTTGATTGATGATTGCATAGTCAAGAACATTTATGTCAGCATCAGAAAGCAAGCTGCACCAGTCAGATCAAATCAATCTTTACACGTACCCAACCACATAGGCAGCATAGTGTCTTGAAGGGATGAAATTGAGAGCCTCCTCATTTACTGCAAGACCAACGAACAGGACGATGGGACCAATGGTGGCTTGGTTAACAATGGATTGCATCAGAGCCAGAATTCCAAACCAAGATAGCAGGAGGTAAATTATTCCATTGGTCAGACTGTATCCAGTTTGAGCACCACTCTTCTTGTGAGCAGGGTGGCCCTGAATGAAGCAAAACAAGGCAGGTGGCATATGAGTTCTGTTCTTTGGACATCATGCAGGAAGGATTGTATGTTTGTATGTCGAATTGAAGCAGCCATTCACTTACAATGTACAGTGTAGTTCCAAAAGGACTTCCAAAGAAGCTGGCAAGCATCTGATGAAATGAAAGAAAGGAGGAAGGAAGGGTCGTGAGGTTGCTGGGTTCTACGCACTCCGCTTCTCATTTGTTGAGGTTACTTCAGACTCACTGTTCCGATTCCATCAACAATCATACTTTCCCTCACAGGGTATGGATCTCCAGCCTGTTTAGCACTGACCAAACACATCAAAGAGGTTGCTGTGGCAGAGATTCCAATGGGGATGACAATGCCCATGTAATCCTTGACCATTCCAAAATCAGCAAAAAGATCATTGGCTGACCAATGAGGTCCATACCATTTGACCAAGTCAGCAGCATCCTGCACTGCTTGTCCTTCATTGATTCCGGTGGCCCATCCTAGAGCGACGCCAACCAAAATTACCTGGAGCGCTTCAGGCATGCGAAAGGAACCAAAGCCAAGGCGGACTCCAGCATACCATCCCAGGAATACCCACAAGATGCAATTGTATCCGACAATAGGTGCGGCCAAACTGTTGGTGACTTGTTCAAGACCCAAAAATGCAACTCCAATGCCAGCAATTGGAACCAATAGTGCTGCAGGTGGTACAACTTTGAGGATAAAGGGTCCAAAAAATGCCAATACAGTAGAGATGAGTCCGGTGATAAAATTGGCAGCGAGTGCCACCTTGTATGCCATATCAAAGGCTTCAGCAGGACCCTTCTCTCCAACATTGGCAAAGTAGACAGGGTACATGATGTTGAAGACAAAGGCAAAGGCTGCAGGTGTGTTGAGTCCATAGGGTTGGGCAGTATATGGGCGCCCCCAGGCTTTCGTCAATCGAATGGCCTGCCAGGAGTAGTAGGCATTCCCAAGGACCATAGTCAATCCTACTCCGGGTACGATTCTAGCCCAGATGATGTCATTGATAGAATCCATTGGAGCACCAAAATTGCGCATGTCTTGAATGGCGAACAAAGCTCCCAGGAGGGTAGAGAGATTGTCAAAGAAGATCTGTTTAGATTGAGGAAGGATGGTGTTTGGGGTGAGGATACAAAACTCATTCAGGTCCAATCTTTGTTTGTCATTTCCTATTTCCTTGCTTGCTTACCTGTGTGAGACTGCCCCAATCTCCTCCTCTCATAGTGAGACCATTCTTGAAGTCCATGAGTTGCTGAATGACTCCTCCAGCTTTGGAGACAGGAGCGGGTGCGCTTTCGGTGCTCTGCGTACTGATGGCTTGCTCTTGCATGGTGGACGAAAGTGGAAAGCTTAGGAGGTATTCGAAGACAGAAGGAGAGTTTCAAAGGAGTTGATTTGTAGCTTTTTTGCTTTTTGTTTTGTTGCTGGTTGGGATTGTGAGAGCATGATGATACGATTTCCCTGGCATCGGCATCCAAGTTTCACTGAAAGATCGAAACAGTGGCCCCACTCACTCAATGCAAGATGGGTACAAGCGTGTACCAGGTACCTGGTACCATACCAGTACGACAGCACAGCCACGCAGCCCGGTGCTGTTGGCAGTTTCCAGTTCTGGTGTTCCAGTGACACGTCCCGGAGTCTCTGCACTTAGCAACTCATTGAAGAAAGTGTTGAGAACTGTGTTTAGGATGTCCGATCTGGCTTCGTGGGATCAAACCAGATCGATCCGAAGACCCCACTGGAGTTTCCAACTGACCACGCTCACGCTATTTTATTAATAGCTAGCTGGCCAAACAGAACAAGAAGCCGTGGGTCGTGGGTCTTTGCCCGCCTCAAGCCAAAAAGGCATCAAAAATCCAGGGGAAAGATACACTAGACTAGTATATCAAAATAGCTAGCTAGCAAGCTTGCTTGGTACTGTACCGACTCATTGAAAGGTACTGGTAATGAGAAATTCAAAGTTGACCTAGCCATTATTTCTTTCTGTTATCTGTTTGAGATGAGTGTTAAACCTATAGTTGCCATTTGAAAGTAGAGCATTAACAGATAATTCGGACTATATACCCACAAGTGAAGGTTTTTGGCAGCTTAATGGGAAGATTTAACGCAATGACTGAATGACTTAAAGGGAATGACTGAAAGAATAGGTATACACGAATGAAATTGGTGCAGGTTTCAAAATGAAAAATCCTCATTTCCACCGTGTTGAGAATTGGGGAGTGCTTGTTCTCCACAGGAAAGTGACAAAATCGCCAAACAAATGTTACAGCCCCATGCAGAACAACAAGGGGAATGAGGCCGTAGCATTTGTTTTTATGTTTTTACATCTTCTGGTCAATTTATTCCACTCCCCAATTACATTACCACACTCTTTCAATGCGTCGGTAGGTAGTATCGTAATAGTGATGGGCATGGGATCTAGCTAGTTTTGGAACTTACAATGCAAAAACGGATAAAGTAGGGTCGGCTTACTCTCTAAGTTTAAGGGGACGATATGGTTGCTCGCGCTCACATGCTTACGAGTGAGTGGTGGCAAGACGCAAAAATGAGCACAGTCGTACTCTGGGTAGGAACAATGTATGGCATAGGACCAACAAAGGTTAAGGCTAGCAAGAAACCACCTTGGTTATCGACCTGGTTCGAAACCTTTATTTTACTGTATAAAATAGAGTACACAAGGTTCGATCAAGGTTGACTGCCGTTTTCGATCGATTTTAGGTTGGGGAACTATGACCCTTAAGTAAAAATCTAATCAACGGCTATTTTTCCGCACCTCTAACGTCATAACGGTTTGGATTTTTTTCAGCGACCATGTGTGAAAATTTCATTTCCTACTCAACGCTGAGTAGGCGTAAACTCTCGAATTTGTACGATTCAATCCAATTTTACTTTTGTTTGATTCGTGAGCTATGCCCAGTGCCGAAATAGCGTAATTCCTTAAATCCATCTGTTTCTGAGGGGCAGCAACTGAGTCCGTGCAATATATTTTGAGTTTGATATCGCAATTCGGAATAGATGTATGCGTTGGTCTGTGATGTGATTCGAATTTGGATAGATGTGCTTTGCGTTGATGTCAATCGTACGAACGAAGTAGTAAACCGTATCTTTAAGCTACAATAATGAAACCTCAAATTCTTGCACAAATCGTATGACATATAGTTGTTCTAGAATTTGATTTATCACAATTGTTGCTAGCTGTCGGGGTTCTTAGCTAACGGAAGCTTAAGAGTGGAGGAACGGAGTTGACACCAATGCGAAGGCTGAAATCGACCGATCGACCAAAGCAACTTCATTCATTCCTCACTTCTGCACTCATAATTTCCAACCAACAAAGCTTGAAACTGACCTATCTTCATTTACCTTCTTACCATGACGGTCCATTCCAACCTCCACTACTTCCACCATGACCACCCATCGATCCTCCAAGTGCCGGCATCTTCTGATCGTCGATCTCATCTTCATCCGGACTACTACCCATGACCATGACGCCGTTTCCTTGTGGGGTAAGTGCCGATGGTTGACGTGGAACGTATTGTGTCGCAAAGAGTACTTGCTCACGAAATACTCCCATTTCCGCTTTGTACAGACCACGTGGATCGACCAACGATGCAAAACCTTCATGAGCAAAATGAAGACCATGACCAAAGTTGCGTCGAGGTGGGACGGCACTGCTGACGGGATAGGCAGTACGTGGAGCGACGTAGGATTGACGCCGAAGACGTTCAAGTTCCATCCGTTCTGGATTCATTGCCATCATTTGTTGCGAACGAAGGTATTCGAGTTCCTGCCGTTCGGATTCGGACAACCCATTGCCGAAACTTCCTTGATGAGGCAGCGGCACAGCGGAACGACCAACGGGCATCATGACTGGTCCCCCACGGCACTCTTCATGGGAATATCCCATCGTGCGCCCGATGGAATATTGAGGCGGATATTCTTCCGTGGAAGGTGCACGTTGAATCGTCGAAGTACCCGTGGATCGATCAGGATTGGTGGTGGTTTCGGGTGGTGACTTCCGTTTTTTGTTATCTCCAACCGTGGACTTGGCAATGGCGGCAAACCGACTGGCATCATGCACGGCCGAGTGCTCATTATACTCACCTTGAGTATTGATGTTCTTGTGACGCATGAACTTGGCAACCACATGTGGGTCAACGTTCTGTCCCTTCATGACAGTGCAAGCTTTGGCTCGGATGGCCTGACCTGTACCAGCTATTTCGGCATTCTGGACACCAATCAGGGCACACAACTTCTTGAATTGGGAGGTGATGGCATTGTGACCGATGTTCCCGGGATGACGGTTCATCGAGACGTTGGCAGGCTTGTACCAAATGTCATAGTCAATGATGGGTTTCGGGTCATGTGGATTTTGGGCATTGTACTCTATGTCACGGAGTTTCATGGCGGCATTCTCCTTCTGCCGCTCCTTTTCAGTCATTGGGTAGGCGTAAAAGCTGACTTGATCAGGATGGGTATGACTCAAGTACGTGTCCCACCAAGCGATCATCTTCCACGCGAGTCCATTTTGGTCGATGAAGGTATTGACTCTTTCATGATCGGGAGGAAGCTTGGTAGACCCAAAAGTCAGTTGGTTGGTCTTATCTCAAGATACGAACATGCCGCGCCAAGGAGTACCAACAAGATCCGAACCACCGGCTTCTTCTTTCGAGAATATTCCGCTGCGACAATGGGAAAGAAGGGCATTGTAATGATCCATTTTGCCACGGAATCCACTACCATACGCATTGGTGGCCATGGCGACACGCAAGACATCCCATGAATCGGTGATCTTGAGAACTCCATTCGCAATTGCATCACACATAAGCCCCATGAAGTCTTCTTTGATGCGTCGTCGATTGGGTTGGGCCCCAAAGGACGGATCTTTCTTGTGTTGCTTATTCCAAATGGTGGAAACTACCCCGCGAAGTTCTCCAGGTCCGTTGAAGTGATTGTTGAATTCAAACATGATCCCTTTCGAGTGAAACACATTGTACGTGTTCTGCAAGTACTTTTCCAAACTGACCGGTTGCATGGGCTCGCCGACGGTACCTTTGGCGCCCGTTTTCTTCACAATATTGGTAGCAACCACGATGGATGCCGAGTTCATGATCTTCCGCTTCCATTCGGTCATTTCTCCACCCACAATATTGAAGAAGGCGTAATCAAGATCGACAACATTGCGACTGAAATCATTGTACTTGACTGGTACAACTTGAAGAAGTGGTTCCGCAAAACTCCCACCAAACTGTCGAAGAGTGTCGAAAAAGCGTGCCTCCTCTGAAGCCTTCCGCTTTTCAACTTTCGCAGTGTTCTTTCCACGTGTGGTGTTGTTCACAGTCTCAACCAGAGAAGGATCCATTCCATCATATCCTTTCTCTTCGATGAGGGCAAGAACATTTGCAGCAACAGAATTGGGTGGAGCTTCTCGCCCTGGAAGTCGAGAAGGGTTGTGAGTTATACGGGGAAGAGGGCGAGAAAGAGATGGAGCGGAAACTTTCTTTGGAGCAGCCTTCTTTTGCTGGTCACTCTTGTACGGATTCACCCTTGGCGTTACTGCGGATGGTGGTTGCACTTCCCCAGGAATGACAAAAGCCTCTGGTGGTTCTGGCATTTGTCCAAAGTGACGGTCTTGTCGGTAAAAGCGATCATCAAAGGTGGAAAAGTTGATGTGTCGCTGATTCTCTTCGTGTCGGGCATCCTTCTTCTTTTGAGCTTCCATACGACGACGTTTGGACCTGTCTTGAGCCTCTTCTTCTTCAGGAGGAGCAGAGTTTCTAAGACCAAGAAGAACACCAGCATTCTCTACTTGCGACATGGTGGCATTGGAGAAGAGGTTTTCCTTGTTGGCATTGCGAACCATGGCCGTGGAATTCATGATCTCTGGAGAGCCTTGGAATTCTGTTTCTTCATTGGAGTTCCAATCTACATCATTTTCGAACTTCACTTGCTTCACAAGGCTAGGAGGAGGATGAAAAGGATCACAGTCTCTTGCGCCCATGAATACTGCTTCTCCTTTATTGACGCGAGAGAGAACTTTTTGACCACGTGTCACAGGTGGTTGAACAGAAAGAGCAGCACCGATCATCGACTTGGGAGAACTGTCTTCTTCATCATCCTCATCCTCGCTTTCACTGGAGCTAGAAGTGGGTGGAGTCTTGAGAGTCAAAGGAGGTGATGATGGAGTTGGTGAGTGAGCAGGTTCAATCAAAGTATCAACCGTCCCATTGACCGTGGCTTCTTCGATTGCTGCTAGTTGTGACGAGAACGATCCTTCTACTTGGAAGCCTCCATTGCGTCTCATCGAACGCCGACTCATGGTGGAACAGAAAGGACTTCACTTCACTCGCTCAAACTCTCGTCGTCTCAAACTCTCGCTCTGCAAATGGTTGTCCTCTTCGATTGCGATTGTGTCAGAGCAAATTGCACCGTCTATTATTGAGGATGGCAAATGATGACTTGCTTGTAAGTGAATAAGCCTACTAATCTATTGATGAATACTCCGAGTTGTATGAACCTGGGCGTTAACCGTCGGTTGGTTTCCCATAGTAACATACCTTCCACTTAGGAGCGCTCGGGCGGGACCTCCGACCTCGGCCAGTAACCTCCGACCATCGGCTCGCGCCTCGGTCTCGGTTACTTAAGGCCTCGGTCTCGGTCCGCCCTTGCCTTCCGGTCTCGGTTTCCTAAGCATGAAGGTCTGTTCTCTATAAAATACCTTGGCCTTAAGGAAAATGCAAGTTGAGGGCACTGGCCTTCGGCTGGCTGTCCTTTTACGAAGTGACACGATCGTGGTGGAAATCCAAGCACCAGTACGACAACAACAACAAAAACAACAACAACAGTGACAGCACCAAGCGACCACGCTCCTACCTAGAACTTGTTCTGCTGTTGGCGAGGTCTGCATCTTGCTCTACTAACTATCCCAGGTAGAAAGAAAGGTCCATTCAACCAAACATCGATTCACGATGGACGAGAGAATGGAGAAGGACCCGACCGACGAAACAAAGGGATCATTGCCTTTACTAGCTAAAATTGAGGAGTTTGTGAAGACGATCCAGAAGACTTCGGGGACGACACGGAATTGGTTCCTCTGACGGATGAGCTCAAAACGGTCTTCGGAACCAAAGAGCTTAAAACAGAAGAAGAACTCCATGACTTCATGAACAAAGCAGGTATAGCGGATTTCCCAGTCATTCTAGTGGATGAAGGTTTGTACCTGAGAATGCCAACAGATCAACATAACCGGTTCACTTCCAGGACAATCTTCAAGTTTGCCTCGCGGCATGGGCAATTTGGATACGTCACAGGGACTCACAATGTTCACCTGTCTTCGACGAACGATTTTCGGCATCGAGAACCGCACGTTAGTTTCTTCGGTGCCCCTCGCTGCGTAGAGGACGAGGACGGGGACTTGGGTCCCTACGATGATGGAGCAGTTCCCGATGTTGTGATTCAATTTAGTTGGAGAAACAAGCGTGGATATGAGGAGGATGCCATAGATGAAATGATGAACGATGCGGTAGAAATCGAGAGAGGCCCGAAAAGTGTGACTTGTCCGCGAGTTGGTTTTCTCATCAAAGTCCGTTTCAAGAAGAAGCGAACACTTCAGAATGCCCTGAAGGGAAGCAAAACGCAAGACATGGGGGGCCTTGATCTGTATCGGTTGCCTCATGGCACCACCGTCGATGATGCAATCAATGGAACTGGTGGAGCTAGCAAGGTCACCTATGTTCCTGGGGGGCCGGATCATCACATTGACATTACCGCACAGGATTTGGGATTCCCTGGCACGCCACCAGTGGCGTGGAATGGGTTCCAAATTCAAATGTCCCGCATATTCGTTGAGATGGATACTTATCACAAGAAGCGTCAGCAAAACCTTCTTGCCTGCTAGAGGTGAGCTAAGCAAGCAAGTGACATGGAAATTAGGATCGTGTCTTCCCCCAAGTCCACCACCAGTGATGCGAATATATGGCTTGTGGTTCCATTATCGTCTCTAACATGAGTGGCTTTGAATTGTACTTTTGTATCTGGTTGTTAGGTGTGGGATTTGGAATTCTTGCCAAGTTTGATCCCAAACTTTGTCGCATTTGTTGGCCTCGTCGATGGCTTCCCAAAAAGTCTACTCAATGCTAGTCTTCGTTTCATTCAATGCATGCAGTCCGGTCTTGGTTGGTTTGAGTTGGGATGAGTCATCATTGTCAATTGGGGTGAGGGCTTCCTTCCTCTTGATATCAAGAATGCCGTGAATGATGTCGAGGCTGGTATCGGAACCCAGGTGACTGCTTGGGAAGAGGCCTACCAGCGTCAAGTCCGTCCTTGGAATCAGCAGCAGCAGCAGCAGCAGCAGCAGGGCGGTGTGCCTCCTGGTCAGTGAGGAGATGGACGATGATACCGCTCCTGTGGCAGTCGAGCTAGGTATTGTTTGATTTTAAGATTTATTAAATTTGGTGGTTGCGGCTTTGCAAACCTCGTCCTCTAGAATACAGGCTCAGTCGCCACCGGACTGGATATAAAGGGGGACCGAGCGAATCTCCAAGATTCGATTCATTCGAATCACTATAGTAAAACAGTAAGGGACACGAGGCGGTAATAATAGTATCGCCCTATCACGTGTAAGCACAGATATCCGGGACGTCATTATGATTTGTTCTACGGTTAATAGCCTAAGAGAGAGAGAAGAGGAGCCAATTATTTTAGAGGCTCTACTTCGGGAGGGGAGGGTTACTAAACAGGATATCGCAGAATGCAGAATATTTTAGAGACAGATATGCGAGTATTCCTTATTGGATGTTACACCCACAAAAAACCAGGAAGCCTGCTACGGTTAGCGATAGACTCAACATGTACAAAAATAGCTATAAAGCTCCTAATTCAGCACCGTTATTTTCAATTGAGAGTTCTTCTTGGAGTTCACTCACTAAACAGGAGAAATCATCATTGTTAAGTTGGGTGCACTCGAACTCAGAAGGGACTGCGGCGTCGTCATTTAGAATGAAGACTCCTTTGATGTATGGGTTCCCGCGGAGGGACATTCTGTGGACAAATATTAGATAGGCCATTGCTCCTTGATTCCACGTGTGTTCCATGAACGCGTCTTGGTCCTTGTCGTTTGAAGGGAAATAGAACTTTAGGGCTACGGTCATGTTGGATGCAAACTTTATTTCTTCTCATAAATTTTATGAGACTTAGATGAGTTTTGAATTGTGGGCAAACATGAGTGCGACAACTAAACATTACCAATTCATATTGTTCTTCAACTTCAAGAAGAATGGAAAGGGGCGACCACAAGCCCAGAAATGGCGGGAGGATGCGTTGGCTTACCTGGTGAGACTGTTTGAGAATAAGGCGGGATTTGCCTGTATTGCTCGAGACGAGAACAAGTCCTCTCTCTTATTAAGGGGGTACGTGAACCTTAAATCACCTTGTAGAGCTGCCTATCTCAAGGGATTGCTTGGAAAGTACAGCGCCTGTAAACCGTCCTATTTTGGAGAGATGGTAAGCCTCTGTCGGCTTGTTCATATCGATAGGGATTTAACGACCGTGGGACGGTTACAACTAAATGGAGCAAACCCTGTATGCAAACCATTTGCAGGCGATCCTAAGTTCTTTTTGAAGGTTCTGCTTGATTCCATAGATAACTTTTTCACGGGAAGCCGAATCGAATCGAGGAGCTTCCCCTCTGAATCTGTCACTACAAGAACCACACTGATAGCAACAAACACATCCAATCGGTCATACCTATACCATTACACTATCTATTAGCACCATTAGAAGCATTGAAACGAAGCGAAAGGACCTCAGGAAGCCTGTTTTCTGTTATCTTGTTGAAGAGTACTGTTTTACTATAGGAATCCGCTCAACGTCATCACAGGAAACACACTCCCTTTTCCTCTCTTTATCTCTCATTCAAGCCCTCCGGTTGACAGGATCGACACCTCTGGTATCTCCTCTCAAGTGCACCTCCTCTATCAAGCGACTATCAAAGCGGCCTTCTCCGGTTCAGATTAGAAAGCCATCCCAATTGAAATCCTACGAGATCGGGCGGGTTTTCTATTCTCGACCGCCGACGGCCAAGTTGGAAGAATTTGAACACAACAAGAATTTTGAAGGTTCAGAACCGAAAGCCATCCCAATTGAAATCCTATTACGTTGGGCAGGTTCTCCGATCTCGACCGTCAAAACAACCATTGTCGATCCTTTCGTACGATCGAACGATCTTTCCACAGCAACAACAAGTTCAGTTAACCTTACCCCTAAGACAACTGACTCACCCGAATCGCGAATCGAACCGATTCGAACCGATTCGATTCAACGAATTGAACCGAATCATCCAAGACTTGCTACTCAGTGAATCGATCAATCTTCCCGTGACTGTACCTCTTCTTCGTACCTCTCCCTCCGTACGGATCGAACTACTATTATCAAGAAGGACTTCACGAGATACCTGCAGTGAAGAGAATTACACCTGTATTCTTACTTTCTCACCGGCCACTAGTGGTTTCTCCCGACGTCCTTGTTGGAACTGATACCTCCTGCTACTGTTACCACCCCTCCATTGATATCTAACTCCTCCCCAAGAGGAACAACAAACAACAACAGAGTTACTGTAAGGACTTGAGTTCTTGTATCTCCAGGCTTGGCTGCATATTTTAGAGTTTTCACAGCCCCTCCCTGGGATATCCAGCTCCTCTCCAAAGGACCTCACCCCCACAAGAACAAACTACAAAAGTTGCCCTCTCTAGTTTGAGGCTAGAATTGTGCAACACTTCATTGACACCGCCACCTCTCTGCTACTGCACCTGACTCTCCTACTGAGTGTGGTACTCCAAAGGATTGAGCCCCAGACAGAACTGCAGCGTGGTGTGGCATAGATATTAATACATAACTGACTCTTTCTCTCTCTCATTGATTGTTGAGTGACTCTCCAGTGACTTTCCACAGTTCCACCTGAATCGAGTACCTTCTCCACATCTTGGCTTGACTCTCTGTTGCATCGGTCACTACAACAGATTGAGTACCAGCCTTTGAGACAACACAGTGTCATACAGTAACACAGCCCCATCAACCAACAACACCCCTTGATCCCCCCACCACTGCCTCTACTGGCTATAGCTTGACTTCTCCAGTTTTCCCTGAAAGAATCCCTAACAGCCTTTGGCTCTGATACCATCTTCTCCTGCAGGTAGTGGTATACCTGCACCAGACTTGGCCACAGCCTTTGATCCAGTGGCAACAACAACCCAACAACTTGATATAAACCTTGATTACCAGTGCCTCAGTGCATTGGCCCTTGAATAAACCCCTCTACATCAATCCTCTCGCCACCTCACAAGCAACCTCCATTGCTTGCGTTGAAGCAACGACACTACAGCCAACACTCCAGGATACACAACTCTCCCACCAACCCACCTACCACCCATTATGACTTCCCCATGTCTACCCACAACTTCACTCAAACCCAAGGTCCTCCCAGACATTCCCCCACTCCCACACTTCACCCAACCAACCACATCCACCATCCTCCGCAGACTACACAACACCACTCCCCAGATGATCAGCCAACAGCTCCTAGAGCATGCAGCCATCTTGAGGATCACACCCTTCCGAATCACACCCTACCCTATCAGGGAGGATGCCTTTGTTCTCACCCTTGAACACAGGCACGCCTCTATCCTACAACACACCATCAACCATGCTACATCTCAACTCCTACAACAACACTCCAACACCAACAGGATCTCCCCTCCTGCCCCTGGCACCAGCCCACTCCCAGTGCCCCCTTATCCTCCTTCTATTGACTCAACAACCCCTCGAACAGCCCACAACACTCCAGCAGCCACTGTGCCTCCCTCCTGGGAACCACAGACTGCCAGTGTGTCATTTGACCCCATCTTCTGCCTGCTTGTTGGCCTCTATCTAACAATTTTTGTGCATTGGATGGGTTACACCCTGCTCTGGTTCAGCCTGAGGAGTACCACCTCCTACGGGCTCTGCTGGCATCTTGCCTTGCATGCCAAGGCACTTGCCACAGCTTGGGACCTGATCACCCAGACACACTTACTGGCGAGCACTCTTTGGTCTGGCAATCTATCTGGTCCTCACGGCCCCTTTGGTGATAATGGTTTCAATACCGACAAAATCCTGTGTAAGCCCCTGTAACCCAGGTTTTGCGCTGCAGGTTCCCTATCAATGTGCTCACCCCCCTACCCAGGGCATCTGTCTACTTGGTGCTGGCTCCACGTTGGGCCAGTGGATGAGGCCATGTTGATTGGGCAAACAAGTAGATGACGACTCAGCTAGGTGGGGGCTTCCCCACCACTTGCCCGCATCATAAAAGCCACTCCGTGGCCATAGTTTGCTAAACAAATGAGTAATTTACACCCCTGCTTGATTCCATAGATAAGAAAGACTTATTGAGTAAGGAGGAGGAGGAGCAGAGCGACCCGGATGGAAAGGTTGAAGAATAAACGAATTACGAAGTATGCATTAACAGTATTTAGGGAGACTTGCTACGAAGACGTTTCTTGTTTTTCATCAAAGACGGATCAATGCTGTCCATGTGAATCACAGTGAATCGACGGTTCAAGGCGTCGAGCAGCTCTTCATTGACTTCGCCGTCATCATCTGCTTTACCAAAGAGAGATTCAATGCTGTACTGGCTGGTGATAACGAGGCGTTGGTGTCTAAGATGAACGGTGCGGCCTTTGGTTTCACCAGTGCATGGATAGTGGTCGGCCCAGCGCTTTAGCTAGTGGCTAAGACATACACCTTTCTTGTCGAAGTCATCGAGTAGAATTGTCTCCTCACCAGCATACCCATCAAACCATTTGTTCTGGGGCGTGACGACAGCTGGCTGGATGCAGGTCGACACGAATGGAGGGACAAAACTGGCTGGATGGGACTGGCTGCAGGTCTGAGAACAAGAACAAGGAACAACAACGATTTGGGTGGCTACGAGCACGATGGAGCTATAGGAGCAGGTCGAGACGAACGGAGGGATGAAACTGGCTGGATGCAGGTCTGAATGGCGTGAGAACAACAAGGAACAACACTGATTTTGGTGGCTACGAGGACGATGGAGCTATAGGAGCACAGCCCTAGCTATAAGCTATAACAGCGATGGGGGCTACTACTACACGTAATAGGAGCACAGCGATAGCTAGCACAGCGATAGAAGCACAGCGCTACAATAGGAGCACAGCGATCGGGGCTACTACACAAGCAATAGGAGCACAGCGATAGCTAGCACAGTGATAGCTAGCACAGCGATAGGAGCACAGCGAGATTGGATCGCTCACTCGCCGCGGGGCTATCTTGGGTCGCTCAGTCGCCGCGGGGCTCGCATGACACGATTTTGTATCAAAGTTAGGCTCGGGACTGGGGAGCCCCGATTTTGTATCAAAGTTAGAATCGGGACTGGGGAGTCTACTGTTTTCTCTATAGTAAATATGAAATCGTGTATCATGTATCAAAGTGTTCAGAGGTAATACTAGATCCTGAACACTGTGATACATTTTTAACGTTAGGGTTCTCTTCGCGGGTTTCATAAACTCTAACCTTAACAGAATCAGAATTCAAGAATGAGAGTCGTATCAGTTGGTGGCCATAGATACCTTGACAATGGCATCTTCCTTGACGGTAGGAAGAAGACTTTAGAAGCTGTCGGCCTAAAACTAAAAGAACCTGAGACTGAGACGAGGCGGGAGCCTGCCAAGAAGACCGTGAAGAAGAGAAACAGGGAGTCTACCAAGGAAGAAAGACGCAGCAAAGCTGCACGAGGTACTAAATCCATCACAGCCTTTCTCCTAGATTAAACTAGTTATTCTGTCTTACTAAAGAAAGCTTGCATCGGCTGGGGAAGCGTCGAAGGGAGACTGCGAGTGGATTGCAACTGTCTAGTCTTCTTGTGTTTTTGAATCTTGTAGGGTGTAATCGTCTCACTCTTGTCGAAGCCAAAGTCAGCGCGGATCTTCTCTTCTGCTAGTTTTGCCATCCGTCCTATTGATTTCTTGTCTGTAGTGCTAGGGAAGGAATCGGTGTGGAGGAGGATGATCCTGACTGCGCATTTGATCGTGGCGAACCGATTGGTGAGTTTTCGACGCTCAGCCTGGGGGTAGTCCTGAGGACTACTCTTCCATGACTCCTTGTCGAGAGCGAAAGCGGTTGGGAAGTTGTCGACAAAGAACTTGGTTGTTACCTCCGAGATAGAGGAATCTTTGCTGAGTGCTTTGCACGAGACGGAGAATTTGATGACTCCCTTGGTTGGTGGAGGAGTGGGTGAGGAGGATTCGGACGCCGGGAGGAGATGGTCCTTGAGCAACCGAACAGATTCGCACACGGTGGAGAGCTGCTGATTGTCATAGGCGCGCCGCAACTGCTCGTGGCGAACAATATCTGTTAGATCGTTCAGCCGGTGGCGGAGTTCTTGTACCACAACATGGGTTGATTGGGTCACGGATGCAAGCTGATTGAAATGGTCTGTGAAACGACACGGATCTAGGGACACCTCACCACCTCTTTTGCTTCCATACAACGAGAAGTTCTGGATCGATATTCCGTCGATGTTGCAAGTGAGGAAGGCGTTGCGAGCATACTCACACCAAGACCTGAAGAGGTTTGAGTCCACTTCGGCCTTTTCCATGGCTTGATTGACCTTGCAAAAGAACAGATTGTTGCGGATGGTGTCGTACTCCTGAGATTTCTCCAAGTTGAAACGCTCATCTTGAGGATTGTACTTCTTCAATGTGCATTCCGGAATCCATGCTGCGGGGTGAGAGCGCAGAACATCCAAGAATTGTTCATACCTGAGCAGGAGGGTCGAGACCAACAGTTCGCGGACCTTCTGATCCCAGACGCCATCTTGATCATCCTCGAATAGTACATCGGTGAAACGCTGTAATTGATCATCCTTGAATAGTACATCGGTGAAACGCTGTAATTTGTCGCGCGCTCCGACAACAGGGCCCATTGCGACAGCTTCCGAATCTTGGGAAGAAGGTGGCGATGGCGGTGAATGGTAACCCGGCGATGCTAAAATGTCGTCAAACATGACGGATTGTCCACAACCGTCTCTGGAGGGCCACTTGGCTACCGCCTTTGCAGCTGGACGCTCAAGAGCCACTGATCCAGCTATGTACTTCAGCATGGTGATGGCGGTGCTTTGCCAGCCCGCACGAAAGTATTGAGACAGTCCTGAAGCTGAGGGGCTTTCTGCACACAGCTGTTAGGAGCCTCGTTTGTTGCAATGAGATCTCAGGGCTTTGTTGACCGACAGGTTCATCTCGTCGAGCGATTCCAATAACTCGTCGAACTCGGATTTCCAAAGAGCAGAGACCATCGACTTGGACTTTCCATCAACCGTGGATAGGGCGGCGGCGGAATACCTTGGAAACATATATTCATTGTCGCAGCCACTCAGGACGAGCATGTAGATTAGACTAAAGTACCAGTCCTCCAAGACTCCGCATCTGGGTAAATCTGGATTTCATGGTAGGGACCATTCTTCTGGCGTTGACAAACAACTTGGAGAAGACGGTAGCGGTAGACGGATTCGGTCGCCTCAATGGCAGATGTGCCAGTTGCAGCTACCAGTGAAACTTCAGAGCCTCGTGCACTGCAGTGGAATGTGCTGTTGAGAAGGTGGAGGAATTCCGATGATGTGGCAGTAGCTTGCCAGAAGGCAGCCTTCGCAAGAGCCTCCCTATCTTCGCGGGTACTGGAGGGTTTCTTCTTTGGTGGTTTGCCTCTGCTGGATTCGCGGAACTTGCCTTTGAGTTTGGAGCGCAGCTTGCCCCATTGTGGGTCTTGGAAGATTGGGATGGGAGTTTCGTGCCTGAATTTGGTTGTGAAATATTCCTTGACGGACGAGAAGAAACCATCAGCCGATGCTTCCGCGAGGCGTTTGTTGGGATTCCTGTAGTATGTAGCGGTGCTGAGGTAATCGACAAAGCAGCCCATTAACTTGGACCAGAACTCGTTTGTATATTTCGATGAAGCCCTTCGAGGTAAACCGAGCCCTTTGTAAGGAATGTCTTCAACCTCCATGGCGTCACCGAACTGTGGTAGGTAGTCGTCTAGGAAGAGCTGGAAGTGATTCAAGGCGTTCCTCTGTTTGCTAGTTGCCGAGGCCAACCGGTCTTCCGCAACATCATTGTACTTCGTTGTTGCCATGGTCGCTGGCTAGCGACAATTGGTTGAGGCGTTGAGGTCAGTGTGGACGGAGGTGGGAGCTTGGAAATGGACTGACTGACGATGAGCATGGTTGTGTGAACGCGGTTACCTGGTGTATCCGTGACATCGCGCTTCTAGAATGTTCTTGCTGGTTTCGACTTGGACTCTTCTAGAATGTTCTTACTGGTTACGACCTGGACTCTTCTAGAATGTTCTTAATCTACTAACGCTCTCAGGTAACGGTCCCATTCGGGCACGAAAGGCGCTGGGTCTTCTGCGGTCTTCCACGACTGATCTGGATCTTGCAAAAGTTACGTACAGTATCCAGCTGTCTTTCCTCATACAGAATTAAAGTGCATTTTGCACGGTCGTTTTGGGACAACACCAATTTACTATATCGAAAACAGTACACATGATTTAATTGGGTCTGTCCCAGTGTTTTTTGAGGGGAATGACTCTAGAAAGCTTCCGTGTACAATTATGTTGGACTCTAGAGAGCAGTAGAAGAAGCAGATCAGTACTTAATAAGTAAGCTCAACCTGGTTTATTTGCTCAATGGAGACTGAAATGCTATTAATTGTATGAGGAAAATACGGTAAAAAATCAAGTAAATATGTCATTTGGGACAATCGTTACAGCTTAGAGTGGGTTAAAAATGTTTTCCAACGAATTTACGCCTGATAAAGCACGGTCCCAATCAAAACCCAATTTAATCTCATACCGATACAGTCCATGGAGGGATGATCAGCGAATTGGCCGCTCGTGCAGGTTTCATCGCTTGACAAACGACCAGAACAGGTGGCAGTGATTGAGTGGAACTATGGAATTCAATCTCGACAAAGTTTCGTGCGGGATGGTTCAGCTGGTTAGAGGAGGTATGGACCACTCTTTCTCGCTCCAGGTTCGATTCCTGGCGTCAGTACCTGCCCGTGAGGGTGGGTAGGGTCTTCCTGCTGGTAAGTTTGCAGGTTTCGCCCGAACCGGTTCCAGGTGTGATTACGAAGGTAATATCTCGTGTTACAGTTGTTGCTGGGATGCTGAAGAGCTTTGGGTCTGGGGCTTACGAACGATTAATTAGTAACTTAACCCTCGGGACAAATGGAATTACGAAGGTTGTGCTTCGTGTTACAAAGTACCGAGTCTGTGCGTTGGCTTTAGAAAGTCTCTGTTATGAAAAATATCTCGTGGTTACCATACGGCACTTAATGTATCTGGGGGCTACCGGTACTTCACACGGTAGTGTGTCCTTAACAAGGTTAGGCATAATAAATAACAAGATCTCTGATCTTTAAATCTCGACAAAGTTTCGTGCTCCTTTCTGGAGTTTTACTATGTACCAGTTTTCCCAAACAGCAGGGAAAGACAAAAGATCTAAGCTAGCTGGCTATTTCTCATGCGGCATCATTTCCCGTACCGAAAACGCCAGTTATGGCTTCGCCGCTTACGTGCAATCAAAAGAGATAACCTGCGTGCCCCTATCCACCCTCGTGGAGACCCAAAGCAGCCGAAGTGAAGGAGAGAATTGTAGTACGGTATGACACAACGAATACGTTTGCTGATTGCTTGTTGTTGTTGCTACTATAGCAAGCCCCTTTCGTCGTCGTTTCCATCAATCCTTTACGTATGGCGGTTTGCAAAAGCTCTTTTTGGCTGGAAAACAACGCCTTCCAAAGAGGTTTCCCGACAAGAGTGTCAATCCAGTCCCCTGTTTCAGTTTCATAAACTGATACGGCCGTAACCGTTCATGAACATCGCCCAGTGATTTGTCGTTGAAATCCTTCTTGAATCCACCTGCACCCATGCCATCATACAGTATACAAGTGAGTTTATATTAAAAGCGAGGCAAGACAAAACAAAAACTCCCACACAGAGAATACAATCATCTTACACATGTACCACCAGGTTCCACAATCTTCAAAATCGGTCTTGCCCGGTTTGTGATCGGGACCTTGCTGTTCATCGCAACAAACATCGTGCTCGTCGACAACATCCAACTCCCACACGTGATCAAATCCATTGGCTTGATTGAGATATCGAAATTTGTTGGCCAATCCTTGGAGATCGCTTTCGTGTGGAATGGGCTGTAACCGATGCGGCGCCAGGACCCGCCCCTGATCGGCCTGCGCTTTTAGCTGTGGAATGGATCGTGCATTCAAGAGCGTGTCGGGTTCGGTGAGATACAAATATTTCCAATAGGATGGATCTCCTTTGCCCAACCATGTTTCGACGTATTCCGTTTCATTGGGTTGCAGTTGATCTTTCGGCTTGTTTCCCAATTCCAATGCCAACCGGGTTCCAAATAGCACGGTCCGGGGAATATTCTTGGCCAAATGTTTGGACTTGGCAATCGTTTTGGATCCCGGAGCATACGCCACTTGCAAATGTCCAATGTGCGTTATGATGCCGTGGGCATTTTGGGTGTGCGTCATGTCGGGCACATGTTTGGCCAAATAGGAAAAGGCGTCTTGGGCAATTTGTTGTCCATTGTCGACCAATCCCACCACGACGACCCGTCCCATTTGCGCTCGTCGAATGGATTCAATCGTAGCCGCCAAGGATACGACGGTCAAATTGTAATGTCGAACTTGTTCGGTTTTGTGCAAGTACGGTTGGAAGGCAATCATGGAGAGTGTTTCGGCCAGCATGGGTTGTTGTGGTGGTGTAGGATAGTTTTTGCCGCGTACAATATACGTGTGCAACCGACTCATGAGTGTCTCGTAGGCGACATCTGTTTTCCAAAAGGTCATGAATTTCCACCATTTGGACAAGTGTTCGACGGAAAAGTCGAGGACATCGACGGTCATGCGCAATCGTTCGGGAAAGGATTTCCAAGCCTCCCAGGCGGCATCTTCGCAAATCATGATTTTGTCCAGTGGCATGTCCATGAACTCTTGTTTTCGTTGGAACCAACTGGCACTAAAGGAATCTTGCATGGAAACTTGACTAATATTCATAAAGTGAATAGTGGGAGCATCAAACAATTCAAGTGGGGCTGACGTGGGATGCAGCAGGGGTGTGATTGTTTTGGGAAAGATGTAGGGTTTGTTGCGAAGATTTTGGTTGATGTTTTTAGCAGCGATAGCAGTAGCAGTAGTTGCGGTTTGAGCACCAGGATTTGGATCTGGCATCACGTGGTCTTGATGATCCGATTTCTCTTGAGGTGGAAAGTCTTGAAAGAAATGAGTCTTTTTCTGGCGTAGTGGTTTTGTAGTGGTAGTGGGCGGATTGGTGACTGATGATTTTGTTTTCCTAGTAACTTTGGCAAAGTTGGAGAATGCCTTTTCTTCTTTGGGCATGAGCAAGGCATCCTCCTCCTCTTCTTCTTCCTCGTCTTCTTGCTCTGCTTGTTTCTTTTTTTGGATCTGCCGTTGGGAATAATGTGGATCCATTCCCTTGGGTTTTCGTCCCGTTCTCATATACTCTTCCTGTTCCAATTGCTGCACTGTCTTGCGTTGTTGCGGTGTGGGAAGCAACAACTGTTCCGGGTGCTCCTGTTGTAGTTGCAGCGCGGACGAACGAGTACTGGCATCGTAAAATCGAAGAAACAACAGGAGCGTCGATATCGAAATGGCCAGCAATGTAGAAAGAATACAAAACAGAGACACCTTCTTGCTCTTGTGCTTCTTCGCCCGAAGAGATACCATGGACGATGACGACGATGAGGATCCAAACTGTGTCATGCTGCTAGCTAGTACCACAGTACTTATTCTTCATTGCACACAAGCAATTCCTCATCTTCGAGCGTAACAGATCTTGATTCAGCCTCCATCGAAAGTCCTAAATTGATCTCGACCAACGAATCACAAGATACTCGTGACTAAAATTTCTCAGGCCTGAACCAAACATTTACAGCACATCCACATGGCGTACTGTAGGCGGGTCCTCATGTAGAAAAGTTGCTATATTGACAATTGGCACAGATGACTTTGAAAACCAATAGTGCAAGCTTGAGGTTTCCTTGTATAGCATCTAGCTAGCTAGCTCTAGAAACATGGAAGGTTGCAAAGGCCCCAGACCATTTAAAATTAGGATTGAATCATTCCCACCATTCAAAGCCAATTTCACCCAGCATGGTTTTCCTCTCTGGTTCAAGTGAACCCTTTGCGTAGAGTCGCTTTTGAGCCGTTGACCATCCATGAAGGATAACACCACAAACACTGTTATTGGCATAGCACTGCTTCAGCTCCCCATAGCTTTCCAGCCAAGATTTTTCAAAAATCTCATCGAAGTCCCAAACAAACCCAATTTTGTCAAGTTTTTCTTTCCGGTCAATTCGTAAGGTGCCATCTTTGTTTCGATTCCGCTGATTGTGGACCCAATGGCCCAGTTCTTCATTTTTGGATATGGTCGTGGAGCGCGGGGATGACCATGCTGTTCCTTGAACTTACAAAGTGCGGCATATTGGAAATTCCACAATGTTTCATGTTCTGGTTTCTTCACCTCGACAAACCTTTTTAGCCTCCACTCAAAGCCAATGGATTCTAGCATTTCTTGTCTGTCTCTCCGGAAATTGCCGGTAGTGTACTGACGGCGTTGTGTTTTGACCCATCCACCGAGTTTGCTTTTGTCGACAGGAACTCTGCAATGTCCATGAGTGTCCTTGTATTCCTTCAGTGCCTCAAACATTGCCATCCACCACCTCTCATGCTTGTCCAAATGAGCATCCGTCCATAGGAATCCAATACCGTCTAGGTCAGCGATCTGGTCCTGTGTCAATCGTCCTTTATCCTGCCTCAAGTTTTTCATCCATAATGCTAGATTGGGATATTCTTTCGAGTACTGAGGGATGTTGACTGTGGCATGGATTTCTTTGTATTCCAGCATTGCCGCAATATTCTGATCCCAAGTAGGATTGTTGATTGCAAATGTGCTGAGGTGGGCATCATTTTCCAAATGTGACACTATCTGTTTGTTACCGGAGGGCAGTTGTTTTTGGGGTGTTTCAGTTTTGTTTGTTGTTGCATGTAAGACATCCTCTATCTTGGTGGCAAAGAGAGGGGATGCTGTTTTGTAGTTTTGATATCTAATTTCTACTGGTATGAACAGGCGGTTGGAGTGGCTACAGGTTGTTGGCCGTTGACGGTGAACAAAGAAACAGCAGCTTGATGGGTGGGGAGTCTCTCTCGTAGTGAATGCCTGGACAAAATTGCGTTGAGCGTGCCTATGAACTGTGAGATATAGAAGCAGGGGCATGATGACGGCAGAGGGTGGTGCATCGGATGGCCAGATTCGTCTTCGTTGTCTGTGTCGCTCCATTTTGTAGAGCTGAGAGGAATGCTGTTTGTGTTTGCCTTTAGAAGGTTCGAAGTCCTTGTCCGTTGTTCTTTTTATCTCGAATAGCTAAGATGGGCTCAATGGGTGGTACCTGGTAGGTCTTCTCGTAGCTAGCTAGTGACAGCGAAGGAGTCGAGTCGTCATCATCTGCTCTGAACCCTGTTGGGTGTGTTGGTTGTCCTTCTCTGTTTGCCTCCGCTGCGTGTGTGTGATGCGTGAGTGTCAAAAGTCAAAAGAAATATAAAAAATTCAATCACAAGATACTCATGACTGAATCGAATCCAAAAGACGATTGCATACATTAACTCCCCCATCCTCAGCATAGCTCCCTCAAACCCATAGTAACTTTCCCCGTTTGGAATCTATTTAGTATTTGTTTTCCTACAGTACTACTGGTACCATAGCTAGCTACTAGAATGCAATTGACCGCTCTCCTACAATACTCTTCGACTCTCCAATAACGCGCCTTTTCCATCGTCATGTGCACCTACCGAACTATCCAGTGCTGTCTACGTGAGCAGTACCAACGAGTGCGTCACTCTCCAAATGAAAGCAGGAAGAAGCAAACCACTGCCGGACAAGGCGGAAACAGCGTGTGTAGCGCTCGGTAGGGTGTTCGTGGTTGTGACACCAGATGAGCATGCCGTTACAAAGGAACTGCCAAGGCGGCCATCTTCAATGACGCAGTATTGTTGTCGTCTTGCGGGAATCTCTTTCATTGTAACCATAAAAACGCTACATAAGGACCTACCGGTCGTCAAGCGCAAACGCAAGCACTGCTGAGTCCAATCATAGCTGAACATAATGTGGAGTACCAAGATAGCTGTTAGAGCTGCATTTAGAAGCCAGCATTTTGAATCGTCGAGTGGAGTCACCATGCACTACGCCGGTACCGGTACCCCTCTGCGAAGTGTATTACCCGGTCGAGACAACCAGGAAATCAAATGATGGGGGTTTCCACCATGCATTCAGTGTGCTGATGCGCTGACTTCAGCACTAGTTGAATAAGGTAATGGTATCTGAAATCACAACCATGGTAGAGTTGAACGCACCGGTACAGTAGGGGTACCGGCACCATTCGCCCCAGGTGCTCTGAAGGTGCCAAAAACACATTGCATTCTTTGCCTATACTTCTTCATGCCCCCACATCATAGTCGTGACCTTGATTCTGCGTTTTCATTCTTCATCAAAAAGACAGGTTTGAATAGTTTGTGCAGCAAGGGTTGCGTGATCACTGCTGTCAGGCCCCAAATCCTCTGGTTGTCCCCTGCAGGAAAGACTGGGATATCTGCTCGGAACCGTGGAGATGGCTCGGTGGTTTCCATGGCAATCAGATCTTCCAGACTAACGCAGAATACTTCTTCCACTTCGCCATCATGTCCTGGAAACGTATCTTCATGTATTGGAACTGGAAACACGGCAATCACGGGAGTAACAGGAGTCCCCTTGATCGAGGGTAACGCCGTTGCCTGTCCCAAGACTTCAACCTTGTCCCAGGGATAGTCTTCGCCCAGTAATTCCTCTTGAGCTTCTCGTACTGCCGTATCTTCTAGTGTAGAATCCTCTGCAACGTCAAAATGCCCACCTGGAAAACTGACTTCAGAGGCATGCGTTGGAAGATGGCTCGATCGCACGGTAAATAGCAAGGAGGGTGTTCCATCAAAACTAACCAAGGGCACCAAGACGGCAGCTTTTCGTTCCTGATTTAGTTTCACCGTTTTCCAGACGTTTGCCTCAATCTTCTTGCTCAACAGTGGAAACACAATCTTATCAGATTCTGGGTTCTTGGTTGACTTGTTGGCAAAGACGGCTCTCAGTTGGGGTAATGCCGTCGACAATACTGGACAAGGAGCGAGGGACGAGGCTCTTCTGGCTGATTGGGTAAGGCTCCGCCGTCTTCGTGAAATCACTGTTGAACAAGCCATTCGCTTCATCATTGTTGTCTTCAAGCTCTGATCCAACAGGTACATGTATGCCATAGCCACCGGCAGCCCTTTCCGGCTGTCAACGAAGATCCATCCTGTCATCATTCGTGGTTCCTCGCTGTTCTCTCAGGACCCGAGTCCGCCGTTCATTTCGCAACAGCTCTATCAGCTCATAAAATCGATCAACTGTACGTACCATACTACCGATAGCTACATGTACCGATACCGGTAGCTATTGGTACCAGTGCTACCTGGTAGCTAGTATGCATAGTTCTCTCAAGGAGACTGGAAAAGGGGCGGTCTGTAGAAACCAACCAAAGGCATCTAATCTAACAAGTATCTAATCTAATCTAATCTAATCTAACTAACTATGCTCTCAATAGCATTTTCCCCATCTAGCTACGGTACAGACCCGAGAGAGGGGCTAAGAACCGTTGTGGGTCCCGCTACTCTCAAGGGAGCGAAGGTTTGAGTCCACAAGTGGAGTTTATAGCTAGAGCTGCTCCTGCGAGGCTTGCACCTTTTGGCTCCCTGTCCGATGGTTTAGCCACTCGTCTTGCCCCCACCATAAGACCTGTACCAGTAAGGGTTGTGTAAATGAGGGTCTCCCCGACTTCTGATACTTGTAGCCTAGCAAATAAATGCTGGCCCCACAGCCCTGCTGTAGATTGCTTCGGAGCTTCCCGTCCTCATTATTGCACGCCAATGCCAACAAGCTTTGGCGGGTCGCTACATTGATAAATGGATAGTCAAACACGTTGGCTACAAATCCATACAGTTGTAGCTATAGCCAACTGGATTGACAGTACTCAAAGATCTAAAGAGTTAGGAGACGAACGCCGAAAAGCCGAATGCACTTCTTGCAAGCCAGACCAACATGGCGATCCAATGTGCTTTGCGGGCTGGGCTGCTCTTCGTCACCAGACCACATTGTGACACAACAAGTTATCAGTGATCCTTGCTATGCGGAGTGCCTGTCAGTGCAGCTTTTAGGAAGCAGTGCTTTCAGAGGTGACATGAGAGCGAATCATCCGGGTACAAGCAATGGTGGATGCCCCGATGTAGGTGGCCCGAATGTGACGAGAATGGCAATGGATTTGAGCGACCTAGACTAGATGCCACAAAAGCAAGGCATTTCAGCAAACTTGAGGCGACGCGGCACCTTGGGCATCGTCTCTGAATTCATGAAGAGTACCAGGTACCAGACGTAGAAACAAAGGAATGACTTGAGCCACTGTCAGCGGATGTCTGACGGAGGCAACACTTTGCCGACAATGCTATTATGGACGATCGAAAAAGTAAACCAGCGCACAGACACCGTGCTTCCAAGTGCCCTTCTTGGAAGCCGGAGCTCTGTCTGCTGAAGTCATGAACCAAATAGGCTAAGTGTTCGCTGGGAGACAATCGAGCTCAGGGGCGGCACGACACCTCCGTGACTTCTAAGCAACAACGTCTCATGCCAAGATTGGAACCTCCGATATCAAGTGAAGCTACTCCAAATGCAGTTTATGTCCCCTTATTCTATACTTCTTAGAACTTTTACAGCTGAAATCCGAGCAGGAAATAGGGCTGAAGATTCGAAGACGAAAGACAGCAGAGTCTGTTTTCTTCGTCGAGAAGACAGAACCGAGAATGTGGACGGTAGACGAAGGTGTCCAACATCAGGCTCATAGTGTTCCCCGCCGGCCGCTCCTTGTCACCCGACCCTCGGCCGAAACGGAGTCACGCTTCCGCTTTGGCCCAACAGTGCATGATTCAAGATTGTCATTGCCAACCATCTAAACCATGCAACAGACGGGACATTCCCCGAATAGCTGGGCGCATTTCGTGCACAAAGATTTGTTCCAACAACCATTGCAATTCTGGCTGGGAAATTGAAGAAAGCAGAAAGAGCAGAGACTTGCAAGGTCTGAATCCCAAATGCGCTGACATCTTCTTGAGAGGCCGTAATGACATCTTTGTCGCCGAGCCCATTCGATTCATCCACCAGAAACAGACTCTTGCGAACCCCTCCAGTAAGTGCCGTGACGGCATGGAGAAGCTCTCGAGGATGGCCCACCAAAGAACCAGCAGGCCGAGTCAAGACCTCAAGCCGATTGTTGGAAAAAAAGCACAGCTTGCCCCCTTGGTATTGCTCTGGACCGTTCAGTGCAAGTTGCATCGTGTAGGTGGCGTAGTCTCCATCTTGATGAAAGTTGATACAGGCTTTTGTGGGTCCTTTGGTCATGCGCAAGGCAATCTTGGGAGTACGCCAATGTCGCATGTTGTCGAGCTTGTCAAAGACTTGTTTAGGACTCCACTGTTCCTCATGCTGATCTTGACAACGATCCGCAAAGGGACGAAGCAGATCAACCAACAAATCATCGGGTAGAACAACCTTCATGTCAACGGCTGTATCGTTCTTGGCCATTTGAGTGCTCCACATGAAGTCAAGAAACTGAGCAAGCACTGCACGATGACATGCACTTAGCACATTGCAATTTTTCTGGAACGTAAAAGAGCTTGTGGTAAATTTGTGCGCAGCTTGTGGGTGTCGTTGATGAATTGCTTCAAGGGGAAATGGTGTCACCTGTCGCTCTTCTTCGGGAAGCATGAGATAACGCACCAATGGATCATTCATATCATTGAACGAAAAGGAGCTGATCATGCCCGACTGTCTGCGCATCACTTGTACCGTAGATTCATGTTCAATGTGGAGCTGGGAGAGAGTTTGTGGACCAAATAGCCCAGCACCGTGAGACAAGATGCGCTGGTCATGTGGTGGTATTCCCGATAAGTACTGAATCTTGACCATGAGCGTGTCGATTGTTGTATTTGGGCCTACATTCACGGTAAAAATTTTCTGTTCAACGCCGCGACAGCAACGCATGTCAACAAAGAGTTGCATGCGGCCTTCTTCCCGAATCAAATAGAGAACTGAATTGTCAGCAATTTGATAATAGCGGAGTGCATGATGATCATGGCACTCTCCGCCAACCCCAAAATACAATTCCTGTTTATCCTCAGGCACTCCCAACTGTTCCCGGATCTGACGTTTGACGTGCCCAATTGAATCTTTTGAGTTGACAGTGAGGCGACAAATTTCGGTTTCCGTAGGCTGTTGGACTATGCGAATAGTAATTTCACAAGCCTTGGGACGCACAACCACTCTTTGGTTCTGAGAAGGATACAAAGCTGCGTCGTCATGTAGCAAGAGCTGGCTGGTAGTATCGTGAAAAATCAGCTCTTGATCGCTTGCTGGAATTCCAAACTGGTGAGGGTTTTTGCTACATTGTGTGCTATAAACTCCTTATCTACCTATCTAAACTCAACTGTTGCCTGTTGATATTTCTGCAGTTGCTTGTACATATTTCAAACAACTGCAGTTGAGGATGCAGGGCTACTGGCAGGGTTGGAAGCATGCTGACTGTTCAGGTTGTTGAGGATATCATGATCCCTCACAATCTCACACGCCCTCAGATGCCTTGCTGGCTGCTGGAGCTCCTGCATCGTCATTGCCTCTGCATCCCACTGCATAATACTCTCTCGTTGAGATTCAAACAGTAGTGTAGGTTGTGGCTGCGTGGCTATATCAGCCAACTGGTACCTACTTGGCACCTTGTGGATTGTAATCTTTCCGTTGCGTACATGGTCCCTGAAATGATGGACCTTGACGCAGATGTGCTTGGTCCTTGGACGCATCTTCGGCAGCTCTGCCATCTCGAGAGCCCCAACGTTGTCTTCAAAGACCTTGCAATGCACAACCGGTGGTTTGTTGTGTGTTCTCCACCGCAGCCTGCCTTTCGTTTCCTCTATCAGTTGCATCAGGCTGATTGTATCTCGCAACGACTCAGACAAGGCATTGTACTCTGCCTCTGTCGTTGATAGCGCCACTTCTCTCTGCAACTTCGACGCCCAAACGACTGGACATCCTCCATACATCACGACAAAACCTGTTCGCGATCGAGCCGTGCCTGGATCAACGTCTGCTGTGGCACGATTCCAGTTGCCGACAAAGTCAGCGTCAACGAATACATCAAATGAACAAGACTTGGGGCAGAGAATGATGCCCTTGTCCCTTGTCTTCACCAAATATCTTCCGATCCTCTTGACCGCGGCGGCATGAGACTCCTTTGGTTCTGCGGAGAACCGCGCACACTGGTGCACTGAATAAGCGAGGTCAATCCTTGTTGACTTCTCTAGAAAATTCAGTTTCCCAATCACACTCCTATAGTGCCACTCTTCGTCGAAGTCTTTGCCATTGATGTCCCTGTGGAGTTTGACTGTTGTTGCGGCGGGTGTTGGCTGTGACTTTGTGTTTTCGTCGAAACCCAGATCCTCCAGGATTTGGTTGATGAGGTGTGGTTGGGATAGCTTGATCGTTCCATTTGGGAGTGGTTCGATTTTCACTCCTAAGTAGTCCGAGAGCGTTCCTTCGTTTGTCATGTTGAACGCGCGGAATGTCTTCCCTTGTCTGTTCGTCACGGGCTTAGACAGTGAATTGTAGGCGTCATCGATTTCCTTATCGGTGGGAGCAATGAATATCCCATCGTCAACGTAGATGAGCAGAACGACACTCCCTTTGTAGTAGACGCACATGTCCACTGTGCTCTGGGTGAATCCCCGAGCAAGCAGACCGTCGTGCATGTACTGGTTCCAGACACGTCCTGCTTGCTTTTGACCGTACAGGTTCTTCTGCAATAGCAGACAGTGATTGCCCTTGTAGCGACGTTTGTCACTGGTCTGTTTCAGTCCGTTCCTTCCGTTCTTCTTGACAACGCTGAACCCTTGCGGGATTTCCATGTACATGTCACATTCGATGTCGGCTTGAGGAAATGCAAGCACGAAGTCGACTTGCCTGGATTTCCATTTGTTGATCAACATGAGCACCAAGAACGTCCTGATGGTGGCCCAACCGACCACAGGAGAGTATGTCTCCCAGTAGTTGACGAACTTCGTCTGTTTTCCTCCATGGACGTTGAGACGTCCCTTCCATTTGTAGATCTCCTGCGTGGCTATTCTTCTCTTCCTTCTGAAGGCCCAGACTGCTGGCAGAAGCCGCGTGCCGTCTGGAATTGTCTCTCTGTCCACGATCGTCCAGTGCTTCATGGTCTCGTGGGATTCCACTTCCTTCACCATGGCTTAGCGAAATTGTTTGGCGTCGTGAGCGGCCATGGCACCATCAATGTACATGATGTCTGGGTTTGACGAGGCGGCGAACGCTATCGGATCATCCATCTCTTCTTGCACGTCGTAACCGTGCTCATGGAAGACATCCCAAGGAATTGCTGCGTAGGATTCGATTTCTTGGATGAGCCTGTTCGGAGCCCTGACCACTCTGCCCGTCCTCGTCCTCGTCGGTTCCACCGGTGCTTCCTGCACTCATTCGACGTCCTCCTCATTCTCTTGGACGTGCAGCGGCGTGGAAGCTGATCTTCCGTCATTGTTGTCATCGGAACTCGGAAGATTTCCTTGTTGTTCCGTGAGTCCCCCATCATCGATTTCGGGACTGCCGTCCGTTCCAGTCGCGAGCGAGCTCGGTCGCGATTCGGAACTCACTTCTTGTTGACTTGACGATGGGGATCGATCGACGGCATCTCCGGCAACGAAACCCGCCTTGCCTTGCCATTTCGATGGTGGCATAGCGTTTCCAGACGATGGTTTGAGCGTGTCGCACAGATCATCAAACTGGCAATGGAACTGGGGAGAGACCCTTCCTGTTTGTAGACTCAGGACCAATGCCACCTTTCTCGAATGCCGTGGAGACATTCCAAGGTACATTCCTATCCTCGCCTTGTGCTCCCACTTCGACAATCTTCTTCCTTGCTGGATCCTCGCGTCTAGCACGTACACTGGGGAGCCAAAGGTGTGCGTGTTCTTGACCTTGGGAGCAACCTCGACTCCAGAGAACAGCTCGATTGGCGACGCATGATTGTCCTTGCTCAGAACCGGAGCAGAATTTGCCATGTCATTCGCGTACCTTACCGCAAATGGCCACAGGTTCGCCGTGACTGCGTTCGGCCACCTTTGCTTGGCGTGCAGTATCATGGTGCGAGCAGCTTCCTGGAGATCTCTGATCTTCTTTTCTGCATGCCCATTCATGTGGTGAGCATTGACTGCGGCATACGTCATCGTTTGTCCGCATCTGTGGACCTCTCCAATGAAGGCCTTGCTGTCGAACACTCCATTGTCTCCATGGTAGTGCCGAATCTTGACTCCGAAAGTGCTGGCATATCTCTCGAAGGCTTTCTTTGCGATGATTGTCTCTTCTGCTGAAGTTGACATCTGGAAATGGACATACGACAGCCCACTGTAGTGATCGACAAACACGGTGCTGACTGTATACCTCTTTTTCGTGAGAATGCCTCTCATCTGCCCGACGAGCCCTGGCGTCGAGGAGATGAGCTGATCCACTCCAACCACCGCTCCTGCGCCCATAGCATTGGGAACTTGAATCTTGTTGGGTGGTGTCCGAGTTCTCCACGGTCTTCTCGTGGCTTTTCCAAACATGCAGCTCGAACACTGAGGCGCCCTTGCTTTGGCGAGATGGCCTGGAAGCGACCCTCTTTCTGCCAACTTCCTAATCTTCTCGAATGAGATGTGGCCGAGTCGATAGTGCCACGCAAGGATATCCGCCCTTGGGGACACATACTCGGTGTAGTCATGGTCCACAACTGGGACTTGACTGATCTTTGCGAGATCCTTCCGCATTCTGAATTCCTCGGTCACGCTCTGCTGGAAATCCTTTTTCAAAAAATAACGAAGTTTTATTGTTTAGGCTGCACCTCAATAGACCACCCGCTGAACGGAGCCATATTGAACCGGAGTACCTCAGACGTACAAGGACGCCCACATAGGAACCGGCCTAGTGCAAGCCCCCCACCGGAGAAGTTTAAAAACTCCGGAGGGTGCTTTGCAGCTAACGAACTACCCGTGGCTGGACTGCCATCTATTTCTACGGCAGGATCCCTTCTGTGCGTAGTTACCCTGTGTCATTGTTCTGCATTGTGCGTGCATGCTCGTCCCTGAGTGCCTTGTCGACGACGGGCAGCCAATTGGCAAGCCACGCTTTGATGTCGCCTGGGCCCTTTGCCATTTGCTCGTCAAGCGGTCGCTTGAAGATAAAATCCACCAGCTCCGCTGGGATCAGATCGCTTTCTCGTAAATGAGTTCAACCTCCCGCTGAAGCTGTTCGTGCTTCTTCTTCCACTGGTCTTCCTTGTCTTTGCCATGCGTGGCAGCGTTGCGATCCTCCCACAGGTTCCACCACTGCTGGATGAGCAGTGAGGCCAGGTTGGTGACCCAGAGCTGCCCTGTCTTGGTGGTCTCCTGGGAGCCGACCCGATGCAGATATGCATCTTGATGCTTAGCCCAGTGCGTGGACAAACGTCCTCTCAGGAGTTGTCCCAACCAATGAGGTTTTGAGTGTCAACGAGGTCCCTATACCTGTCAGGTAATGCCATGGTGGAGGAATCGATTTTCAAAGTGGTATTGTAGTCCTCCAGAGCAATTTCCAGGAGGAAGGGGTCGGTGGAATCCTTGCGCAACTTTGTGCTGATCGCTCGTTGCATGGTCCCTCGCCACAAATCCACGTCAACATGTGGGCATCTGTAAACATGGGTTTCAGTCTCGTGATCACCGCCACAACGGGGACAGTGGTGTCATACTTGGGGTCATCCGGTGACCCGTTTCCCAACTGGCACAATTGAAATATAGAAACTTCACAATTGTCGGTTTGTGGATCTCATGACGGTTGACAGCTCGACCATGGCTCGTCCAATCAACCAGTGCGGGGTGTCCTCGTCCCAATCGATTCAGTTTGACAATGTGGTCGAACAATGGCTGGTCTTTCCTGAGATGCCGCAGGGTTCTGGGAGCTTGTATGTGCATGTTCCTATGGGAAGGTGCAGCTGGGCAGGTTTGCCGGAAATCGGAGTACCTTGGAGTGATCCTGTTGGATGTGTCGGTTCATGTAACTGCTGCCAGTTTGTCAGCTCTGCAGTTCAGTTGTGCTTTTAGGGTAGTGTTTCGATGGCCTTGTGCTTGTCCTGGTGCGATTTGATGTGCTCCATCTTGGCACAGTGACTGCAGCCCGGAACAAATCCTCGATCTGCTGCAAGACATCCCAGTCGGAGTTAACGAATCATTGGGGTACCATCCCTCTACTCGAGACAGCTAGGCACTTATTCGTCACAGATCATTGTCGCATAAGTGTACATAATTCTTAATGCTGGTCTGATCGTAGAACTCCAGCAATCGTCGAAGAAGGCAAGTAGGCGATAGAATGCCATAGGCCTGGCCCTGTAGGAAGTCGGAACCATACCAAAAACTGGACCAGAGCACCGAAGCACAATCTGGCCGCGGTTGTCTGCCAGGACCCATGCAAAACTCGCCTTACGGCTTCAATGTTGCAGCCCATCGCTGGCCACCAGAAGGGCACGGCTGTGACAATCTGCAGGACGGAGTAGGCGTCCACATCCACTCAAGCTCGTCATAGAGAGCTGTTTCCCAGGCTCCAAAGTGGCAAGAAAGTCCTCAAATGTTGTCGGTGTGGGTGGTAGTGGACGAGCAGGAATGCCTGCTGTGAAACCACTACCAACAACCACTGTCTCACGCTTGTTGAAGAGGGTGAGGTCTAGGACTCGCCGCTTTCCAGAGTCTGGCTGGACAGACGGTGCAAGATCGGGGAAGTGGGGATCCAGGGCACCAGTTGTTGTAGGATGCTGGCGTCCAGGTAGGTCTCATCTCCGAACTCCCAGCGATGAATGTCCGTTCCTTGTTCGGGACTGGATGTGGAACATCCAGAATTCGGACTCTACATTGTCAACTTGTTGATAGACTACGTTGGCATCGACTTCATAGAAGAACTTGTGGCGCATCCGGAGCTTGTCAGCAGAGACAGCCACACCTCCCCAGGGGTACATCCAACGTCAGATCGGAGCAAAGGGTAAGGCTTTCCTCCAAAACACCAAGTCTTGGGATCCTGGGTCATCTTGAAATCTCTTGAAGTAGGTGGTGCGAGCATCAGTGGACTGGAAAAGCCATGCCAGAATTCCTCCCGGATGTATGTGCCACATGCCGTTGTGATGTCAGCCACCGTGACAACTTGGAAGTAAGACGCACATAGTTGATCCTTTCAGGTCTGCCTCGGAGAATTTCCATACCATCCCACCCAGCCCATAATGTAGGAGTCTTGCTCGGCTGCAAGGCGGAAGGTGGGCGTTATGCACTTCGATCGTGCCTCCAATGGATTTAAGGAACCTTCGCATGCATTGGAACAGCCCGACTGGGAGATGACAACGATTTCGAGGTCCTCAAGGATTGGCCGGCCAATTCGGCATGGAATTGCAACCAGGCGTATGTCACTTCACTTAGGTCTCTAATGTCGGTGCACCTTGTCCTCCAGTGTTTTAAGAACTGCTGGATGACCCGATTCCTTGCTTGTCAGCGAGTCGAACCATTTCTATACCCCCCAATTCCAGGAACCATAGCAGATCACTTTCGCAGTATTCGATCGATACCGCATCTTCTGAAGTGCAGCCCGGCGTGGAGCCGACTCATTTTATCGAGATCGACATCTTGAAAAAGTCGTCTCCAAGCATTAACCCACGCTCGAGAGGAGATGCTTCGATAGAACATGTTGGCTTCCCGTCTATTCAGTGGGGATCCCTTCAGGACTCTGGTATAATTGGTGCATTTCTTGATCAAGGCTGCTTTCTGCCGGCGAGATTTCCAGCCGGGCCTTTGAAATTCCAAGTGACTTGTGATCTTTGTAGTTGTCTACTGGTTTGATCGGCGTGTCGATCCCATCAGTGGATTTCATCTTGATTGGATGGTGTAAAGTCAGTCCCCAGACAGCTTTGGTTCGCCATGGTCGAACTCATATCGGAATGATGAAGGAACACTTCGAAGCCTCAAGCTTGCCACCCGACGACCCAGAAGATCACTCCACCACTAGCATCTTTGGTTGCCTTTTCCACCAATACCTGCACTGTTGGAACGGTGTTTGTCAGAAAGCAATTCGTTTCTTGAATTCGTATCATCCACAAACCCCGTCATGAAGAGCCTGACCTGCTTTGATCCGTCTGGCTGGCAAAGGTGGCACCAGTTGCATAGGGCTCGAAACAATCAATAGTGTGCTCGAAATAAACAGCCATAAGGCCGGGGAGTTCCAAGCTCCTTGGCCAGACCCGTGCCAGGGATCTTCCTCCGTATGACCGAGAAATGTGATGACGTTCCCAGAGTGGTCTTGATATGGTATGGGCCTGTTCCAGATTCATCCGTTACTTTACAGACACGCACTGGCTACCCATCTTTCGGCTTGCTAGACTGGCAATGTACATGAAATCCGATCGTAGCACGCAGCTGCGTCATTGTCATTCTTGATTAGGGGGTGCAAACAACAACGTGATACTTCATACTCGAGTTCCTCCATATAACAGAGATCAATGGCGGACCTTCCTGGAACGGAACCAAACTGCTTTGTTGATCAGCCTTGCTTGGAGGCATGGTGGAGGAGTTCACGCCACTTCACTCCGAGAAGTGGTTATAGTCGGCTTCAAAGATATGGATGACTCGCAGACGATGGATTTTGCACCACCCTCATCCTTTGGGATGGGGGTGTTGACAATTTTGTTCCATCT